TATCAAAGTCTTCTTAAGGCCCCTGTCTTTCGCAACTCTCCAAGACGAGGTCCCTTTACTGCTGGTCTCCTCCTTCGTTACTTCTCGTTGTTTTTTAAGCTGACGCACCTCCTCCCGCAGAGAGTCCAACTCTGTCCTCAGGGCTCCCACTAGAGTCACCAGGTCCTTCACTACAACTTCCATATTGCTATGATAATATAACAACACTCAGGAGCTCCGGTTAACACAACCTCTCACTGTGACTTCACCTGACCGACTGGCTATCTATCACTTCTCAACACTGGGGAACCCACTCACATTCTTGGAGGTTCTCTTGATCTTACATTAATCTCAACAGCACTCCAGCAACAGGCGAAGTGGGAAGTAGACCCGGTGATCACCAGTGACCACTATGCTCCTGTCACGACACTCAACCTGGCACGACCTCCTACACCTCCTGCGCGGCCTCGGTGGAATTTAAGAAAGGCCAACTGGAATATATACCAGGAAGAACTTGAACAATGGTATGCAACATACACGCCACCTGAGGATTGGAACATACATGAGACCAATCTCCAGGAAGCCGTTGCAGCTGCTGCAAACAAAGCTATTCCAATCATTATCTCAGGAAACACAAAACGAAAGAACTATTGGTTCTATAGTAATGAAGTTATGAGCCGGTAACTTACCTGGCACAGGAGCGGGGCAAGTAGCTCGGGCTATGGTGAGCCCGTAGTGGACTTACCTGGCACAGGAGCGGGGCAAGTAGCACGGGCTATGGTGAGCCCGTAGTGGACTTACCTGGCACAGGAGCGGGGCAAGTAGCACGGGCTATGGTGAGCCCGTAGTGGACTTACCTGGCACAGGAGTGGGGCAAGTAGCACGGGCTATGGTGAGCCCGTAGTGGACTTACCTGGCACAGGAGCGGGGCAAGTAGCACGGGCTATGGTGAGCCCGTAGTGGACTTACCTGGCACAGGAGCGGGGCAAGTAGCACGGGCTATGGTGAGCCCGTAGTGGACTACCTGGCACAGGAGCGGGGCAAGTAGCACGGGCTATGGTGAGCCCGTAGTGGACTTACCTGGCACAGGAGTGGGGCAAGTAGCACGGGCTATGGTGAGCCCGTAGTGGACTACCTGGCACAGGAGCGGGGCAAGTAGCACGGGCTATGGTGAGCCCGTAGTGGACTTACCTGGCACAGGAGCGGGGCAAGTAGCACGGGCTATGGTGAGCCCGTAGTGGACTACCTGGCACAGGAGCGGGGCAAGTAGCACGGGCTATGGTGAGCCCGTAGTGGACTTACCTGGCACAGGAGTGGGGCAAGTAGCACGGGCTATGGTGAGCCCGTAGTGGACTACCTGGCACAGGAGCGGGGCAAGTAGCACGGGCTATGGTGAGCCCGTAGTGGACTTACCTGGCACAGGAGTAAGAATGGACAACACCTCATCTCACCCTCCAATAGGGTGAAAGGAATGTCAACTGTAATTAGGGGAAAGATTTGATTGAAGAACATAAGAACATAAGAACAAAGGTAACTGCAGAAGGCCTATTGGCCCATACGAGGCAGCTCCTATTCTATAACCACCCAATCCCACTCATATACTTGTCCAACCCGTGCTTGAAACAATCGAGGGACCCCACCTCCACAATGTTACGCGGCAATTGGTTCCACAAATCAACAACCCTGTTACTGAACCAGTATTTACCCAAGTCTTTCCTAAATCTAAACTTATCCAATTTATATCCATTGTTTCGTGTTCTGTCCTGTGTTGATACTTTTAATACCCTATTAATATCCCCCCGGTTATGTCCATTCATCCACTTGTAAACCTCTATCATGTCACCCCTAACTCTTCGCCTTTCCAGTGAATGCAACTTAAGCTTTGTTAATCTTTCTTCATATGAAAGATTTCTAATTTGGGGAATTAACTTAGTCATCCTACGCTGGACACGTTCAAGTGAATTTATATCCATTCTATAATATGGCGACCAAAACTGAACTGCATAATCTAAATGGGGCCTAACTAGAGCAAGATATAGCTTGAGAACCACACCAGGTGTCTTGTTACTAACGCTGCGATTAATAAATCCAAGTGTCCGATTTGCCTTATTACGAACATTTATGCATTGATCCTTTTGTTTTAAATTCTTACTAATCATAACTCCCAGATCCCTTTCGCAATCCGACTTCGCAATCACAACACCATCTAGCTCGTATCTTGTAACTCTATCATCATTACCTAACCTCAGAACTTTACATTTATCAGCATTAAACTGCATCTGCCAATCCTTTGACCATTTCAAAACCCTATCTAGATCAACTTGAAGTGATAGTGAGTCCTCCTCCGAATTAATTTCCCTACCGATTTTCGTATCATCGGCAAATTTGCAAATGTTGCTACTCAAACCTGAATCTAAATCATTTATATATATTATAAACAACAGAGGTCCCAGGACAGAGCCTTGAGGCACTCCACTTACAACATTTTCCCACTCTGACTTGATTCCATTTATACTAACTCTCTGTTTCCTTTGGTATAGCCATGCCCTAATCCAGCTTAATATAGCACCCCCAATACCATGAGACTCTATTTTTTTAATCAGTCTTTCATGTGGCACTGTATCAAAAGCTTTGCTAAAGTCAAGGTATACAACATCGCAATCCTTACCACTATCAACTGCCTCAACAATGCTAGAATAAAAAGATAACAAATTTGTTAAACATGAACGGCCATTTATAAAACCATGTTGCGACTCAATTATTAATTTATGTTTTTCAAGATGAAGACGAATTTTATTTGCTATTATAGATTCGAGTAACTTTCCCACAATAGACGTTAGGCTAATTGGTCGATAGTTAGACGCAAGTGATCTATCTCCTTTCTTAAAAACTGGTATCACATTAGCAACTTTCCAAAACTCTGGCACTCTGCCTGACTCTATTGATTTATTAAATATGGTTGACAGTGGGTCACAAAGCTCCTCTTTGCATTCTTTAAGCACCCTAGCAAACACTTCATCCGGCCCTGGGGATTTGTTTGGTTTGAGTTTTACTATTTGTTTAAGAACATCCTCCCTGGTAACTGCTAAACTCGTCAACCTGTCCTCGTCCCCACCCACATAGACTTGTTCGGCTGAAGGCATATTGTTAAGTTCCTCTTTAGTAAATACAGATACAAAATATTTATTAAAAATACTACTCATCTCTTCATCACTATCTGTTATTTGACCTGTCTCAGTTTTTAATGGACCTATCCTTTCCCTAGTCTTAGTACGATATAACTGAAAAAACCCTTTAGGATTTGTCTTTGCTTGCCCTGCTATGCGAACTTCATAGTTTCTTTTTGCTTTCCTTATCTCTTTTTTAACATTTCTAACCAGTTGTACGAATTCCTGTTCTAAAGTGACCTCCCCATTTTTAATCCTTTTGTACCAAGCTCTCTTTTTACCTATAAGGTTCTTCAAATTCTTTGTTATCCACTTTGGGTCATTAGTATACGATCTATTCAATTTGTATGGTATACTACGTTCCTGTGCTTTGTTTAGAATATTCTTAAATAAGTTATATATTGAATCCACATCGAAATCCCCATTTAAGTCACCTATCGCTGGGTTCATGTCTCGCTCCAAGACCGGCCCACACCCCATACCCAAGCCTTTCCAATCAATTTGACCCAAAAAATTTCTTAGGCTATTAAAATCAGCTTTTCGCTAAATCTGGCATTTAACAGAATTTTATAAACTGGTCTAAGTCATTCTATGCTAAAATGTTCTAAGTGATCAGTGCCTCAAGGCTCTGTATTAGGATGTCTGATTTGCGTTTCCCTGTTATACATAAATCTATGATTTAGATTCAGGTTTGAGTTCCAACATTTGCAAATTTGCCGATGATACAAAATCTTCTGCTTCACTATCGGTAGGGAAATGAACACGGAAGAAGACTCAGTATACTTCAAGTTGATATAAATAGGGTTTTGAAATGGTAAAAAAATTGGCAGATGCAGTTTAACGCTGATAAATGTTAAGTTCTGAGGCTTGGTAATGATGATAGAGTTACAAGATAGATGGTGTTGAGATTGCGAATTCGGATTGCAAAAGGGATCTGGGAGTTATGATTAGTAAGAATTTAAAACAAAAGGATCAATGCATGAATGTTCGTAATAAGGCGAATAGGACACTGGATTTATTAATCGAAGCGTTAGTAACAAGACACCTGGTGTTGTTCTTCAGCTATATCTTGCTCTAGTTAGGCCCCATTTAGATTATGCAGTTCAGTTTTGGTCGCCGTACTATAGAATGGATATAAATTCACTTGAACGTGTCCAGCGTAGGATGACTAAGTTAATTCCCAAATTAGAAATCTTTCATATGAAGAAAGATTAACAAAGCTTAAATTGCATTCACTGGAAAGGCGAAGAGTTAGGGGTGACATGATAGAGGTTTACAAGTGGATGAATGGACATAACAAAGAGGATATAATAATAGGGTATTAAAAGTATCAACACAAGACAGAACACGAAATAAATTGGATACGTTTAGATTTAGGAAAGACTTGGGTAAATACTGGTTCGGTAACAGGGTTGTTGATTTGTTGAACCAATTACCGCGTAACGTGGTGGAGGTGGGGTCCTCGATTGTTTCAAGCGTGGGTTGGACATGTATATGAGTGGGATTGGGTGGTTATAGATAGGAGCTGCCTCGTATGGGCCAATAGGCCTTCTGCAGTTACCTTTGTTCTTATGTTTATGTGAGCAAAACATTGATGTTTTTACATTCTTGTAAAGCAACTAACATGCATAGCGTTTCGGGCAAGAAAGTTTGATGTCAAACTGTTGCCATTTACAAATCAGGGACGACCTATATATATATCGTCTATGATGCCATTAGCTCCAGCAATTGAGTAAATGTGTAATACTTGGCGACGTCTCGGGGCTGAAGTCGAGGCTCACTTGCTGCTTCCGGACGACGGGTCAGCTGGCTGGGGTTGACACCAGTGCCGCTCCGGACGCCGTGGTGGGAGGACGCACGCGCTCCTCCTCTTCCCCTACAGTTCTTGCCTGTAATAACACGACGTTCACTGGTGTTTGTGTGAAGGAAGAACATCAGTTGAACATTGTTCTCCATAACCTGACAAGACCTCGAGTGTGAAGGGAGGACTTGTTGCTCCAGGCTGTTGTGGTCAGCTGGGGGGAGCTGTGGCTGTTGTGGTCAGCTGGGGGGAGCTGTGGCTGTTGTGGTCAGCTGGGGGGAGCTGTGGCTGTTGTGGTCAGCTGGGGGGAGCTGTGGCTGTTGTGGTCAGCTGGGGGAGCTGTGGCTGTTGTGGTCAGCTGGGGAGCTGTGGCTGTTGTGGTCAGCTGGGGGGGGGGGAGCTGTGGCTGTTGTGGTCAGCTGGGGGGGGGGAGCTGTGGCTGTTGTGGTCAGCTGGGGGGAGCTGTGGCTGTTGTGGTCAGCTAGGGGGGGGAGCTGTGGCTGTTGTGGTCAGCTGGGGGGGGGGGAGCTGTGGCTGTTGTGGTCAGCTGGGGGGGGAGCTGTGGCTGTTGTGGTCAGCTGGGGGGGGGAGCTGTGGCTGTTGTGGTCAGCTGGGGGGGGGGGAGCTGTGGCTGTTGTGGTCAGCTGGGGGGGGAGCTGTGGCTGTTGTGGTCAGCTGGGGGGGGGGAGAGGGGGGGAGCTGTGGCTGTTGTGGTCAGCTGGGGGGGAGAGGGGGGGAGCTGTGGCTGTTGTGGTCAGCTGGGGGGGGGGGAGCTGTGGCTGTTGTGGTCAGCTGGGGGGGGGGGAGCTGTGGCTGTTGTGGTCAGCTGGGGGGGGGAGCTGTGGCTGTTGTGGTCAGCTGGGGGGGGGAGCTGTGGCTGTTGTGGTCAGCTGGGGGGGGGAGAGGGGGGGAGCTGTGACTGTTGTGGTCAGCTGGGGGGGGAGGGGGGGAGCTGTGACTGTTGTGGTCAGCTGGGGGGGGGGAGGGGGGGAGCCGTGACTGTTGTGGTCAGCTGGGGGGGGAGGAGGAGGGGGAGCTGTGGCTGTTGTGGTCAGCTGGGGAGGAGGAGGGGGAGCTGTGGCTGTTGTGGTCAGCTGGGGGGGGAGGAGGAGGGGGAGCTGTGGCTGTTGTGGTCAGCTGGGGGGGAGGAGGAGGGGGAGCTGTGGCTGTTGTGGTCAGCTGGGGGGGAGGAGGAGGGGGAGCTGTGGCTGTTGTGGTCAGCTGGGGGGAGGAGGAGGGGGAGCTGTGGCTGTTGTGGTCAGCTGGGGGGAGGAGGAGGGGGAGCTGTGGCTGTTGTGGTCAGCTGGGGGGGAGGAGGGGGAGCTGTGGCTGTTGTGGTCAGCTGGGGGGAGGAGGAGGGGGAGCTGTGGCTGTTGTGGTCAGCTGGGGGAGGAGGAGGGGGAGCTGTGGCTGTTGTGGTCAGCTGGGGGGAGGAGGAGGGGGAGCTGTGGCTGTTGTGGTCAGCTGGGGGGAGGAGGAGGGGGAGCTGTGGCTGTTGTGGTCAGCTGGGGGGAGGAGGAGGGGGAGCTGTGGCTGTTGTGGTCAGCTGGGGGGAGGAGGAGGGGGAGCTGTGGCTGTTGTGGTCAGCTGGGGGGAGGAGGAGGGGGAGCTGTGGCTGTTGTGGTCAGCTGGGGGGAGGAGGAGGGGGAGCTGTGGCTGTTGTGGTCAGCTGGGGGGAGGAGGAGGGGGAGCTGTGGCTGTTGTGGTCAGCTGGGGGGAGGAGGAGGGGGAGCTGTGGCTGTTGTGGTCAGCTGGGGGGAGGAGGAGGGGGAGCTGTGGCTGTTGTGGTCAGCTGGGGGGAGGAGGAGGGGGAGCTGTGGCTGTTGTGGTCAGCTGGGGGGAGGAGGAGGAGGGGGAGCTGTGGCTGTTGTGGTCAGCTGGGGGGAGGGGGAGCTGTGGCTGTTGTGGTCAGCTGGGGAGGAGGGGGAGCTGTGGCTGTTGTGGTCAGCTGGGGGGAGGAGGAGGGGGAGCTGTGGCTGTTGTGGTCAGCTGGGGGAGGAGGGGGGAGCTGTGGCTGTTGTGGTCAGCTGGGGGAGGAGGAGGGGGAGCTGTGGCTGTTGTGGTCAGCTGGGGGGAGGAGGAGGGGGAGCTGTGGCTGTTGTGGTCAGCTGGGGGAGGAGGAGGGGGAGCTGTGGCTGTTGTGGTCAGCTGGGGGGAGGAGGAGGGGGAGCTGTGGCTGTTGTGGTCAGCTGGGGGAGGAGGAGGGGGAGCTGTGGCTGTTGTGGTCAGCTGGGGGGAGGAGGAGGGGGAGCTGTGGCTGTTGTGGTCAGCTGGGGGGAGCTGTGGCTGTTGTGGTCAGCTGGGGGGAGCTGTGGCTGTTGTGGTCAGCTGGGGGGAGCTGTGGCTGTTGTGGTCAGCTGGGGGGGAGGAGGGGGAGCTGTGGCTGTTGTGGTCAGCTGGGGGGAGGAGGAGGGGGAGCTGTGGCTGTTGTGGTCAGCTGGGGGGAGGAGGAGGGGGAGCTGTGGCTGTTGTGGTCAGCTGGGGGAGGAGGAGGGGGAGCTGTGGCTGTTGTGGTCAGCTGGGGGGAGCTGTGGCTGTGTGGTCAGCTGGGGGGAGCTGTGGCTGTTGTGGTCAGCTGGGGGGGAGGAGGAGGGGGAGCTGTGGCTGTTGTGGTCAGCTGGAGGGGGGGAGCTGTGGCTGTTGTGGTCAGCTGGGGGGAGCTGTGGCTGTTGTGGTCAGCTGGGGGGGAGGAGGAGGGGGAGCTGTGGCTGTTGTGGTCAGCTGGGGGGGGAGGAGGAGGAGGGGGAGCTGTGGCTGTTGTGGTCATCCGTTAGGAGGGTGGGGAGGTGTACTCACCTAGTTGTACTCACCTAGTTGTGCTTGCGGGGGTTGAGCTCTGGCTCTTTGGTCCCGCCTCTCAACCGTCAATCAACAGGTGTACAGGTTCCTGAGCCTATTGGGCTCTATCATATCTACACTTGAAACTGTGTATGGAGTCAGCCTCCACCACATTGCTTCCTAATGCATTCCATTTGTCAACCACTCTGACACTAAAGAAGTTCTTTCTAATATCTCTGTGGCTCATTTGGGCACTCAGTTTCCACCTGTGTCCCGTAGTGCGTGTGCCCCTTGTGTTAAATAGCGTATCCTTATCAACCCTGTCGATTCCCTTGAGAATCTTGAATGTGGTGATCATGTCCCCCCTAACTCTTCTGTCTTCTAACGAAGTGAGGTTCAATTCCCGTAGTGTCTCCTCGTAGCTCATACCTCTCAGCTCGGGTACTAGTCTGGTGGCAAACCTTTGAACCTTTCCCAGTTTAGTCTTATGCTTGACTAGATATGGACTCCATGCTGGAGCCGCATACTCCAGGATTGGTCTGACATATGTGGTATATAATGTTCTGAAAGATTCCTTACACAAGTTTCTAAAGGCCGTTCTTATGTTAGCCAACCTGGCATATGCTAGGTGTGGTTGGCTGGGGGGGGGGGGGAGCTGTGGCTGTTGTTGACAACCAGAGGGGGGGGAGGGTGAATAATGTACTGTTGTGGGTGGATGGGACCAGGGGGGGGGGGGAGTGAATTGTGGTTGATGGGATTGGCTGGTAGCGGGATGGGGGGGGGGGTCTGAGAGGTGTGGCTGACCCTTTAGATAGAATGACCGGGGATGGGTGACAAGGGAGACAGGATAGGATACATTAAAGTAGCTCCATCCATCCGATTATAATTATCAATTAATTGGGAGCAATAAAAGAAACTATAAAACAAAAGATAATTGCTTTTTCCCGACTCTTTCCCAGTGCTATATATATATATATATATATATATAATATATATATATATATATATATATATATATATATATATATATATATATATATATATATATAATATATATATATATATATAATATATATATATATATATATATATATATATATATATATATATATATTAATTTTTTTTAGATATATACAAGTTACATTCTTGTACAGCCACTAGTATGCATAGCGTTTTGGGCAGTCCTAATATAGTCCTAATGGCTTGGTACTTTCTCCAGATAGTTCCCTTCCCTTCCTTTGACTCGTGATCGGGAATCCTGGATTCGAATCTCTTTTTAAGACAGTAATGGTTGCGAAACTTTGCATTCACCTAATATTCCTGTTCACCTAGCAGCAATATGTACCCAGGTGTTGGGTTAACTATTGTGGGGTTGCATCCCTTGCAGGGGGTCAATAGTTCTATCCCTGGAGGGGGGGGGAGTTTGATACAAGCCTAGCATGTATATATACACTGTCTGCCTGTCCCTAACCAAAATACTGTAATTACCTTGTTCAATATAGTAATCTGGAACAAATTAAAATATTAAATATTTATCTTACGTATATACTTAGAGTACTGTAGGCTGTTTGATACAATACTGTATATGCTCATTATGTTGACAATATTGGTCAGTAGAGTTCATTCAATAAATTCATTCACGTTAATATTGTTGAATTGGCATATTTCATATATGTGAAATATGAGGACATGTACACACGTCTTCAATTGGCTAAAGAACACGAGTAATGTGCAAGTGTGTGTGTGTGTATGTATTAACACGATGTACTGAACGGGCTGAGAATAGCTTGAGCTACCTCGTCCCTTTGTGTGTATTTTACCTCGATAAACTTATTTCAATTTGAGTGTAGGGACGAGTTACACGTACTAATGGAGCCACTATTACACAATGTTTTGGGCAAAACCTGATATTTTTCTCAATTCTTCTGAGGTATTAATGGGTAAACACTTAATACTAAGAGATTTAATTTGATTACTGTTTTTCAGGTGTGTGCAAAAGAGACTATTAATCATGGATATGTTCGAGCAAAAGCGTTGCAAGTCGATGATGACGCGGGTAAGTAATGTTAATTGAATTTATAATTTGATATGAAGTATTTTACATAGTGGTGCTTGTGCAACTCCTTACTTAATTTAAGTCTATCTCTGCTCTATATTCCTTGTATGCATTTTATTATGAATAAAGTTACTATACTAATAGGGTGTAAAAGTACAGAGGTTGTTGATTAAATTAGTCTTGCAAAGCCCCCCCCCCCCACATCCATACAGTATAACCATTTAAAGATTATTCATCCAGATTGAGGATATATATAAATATATATATAGAGAGAGAGAGAGAGAGAGAATGGGGTATACATTGTTTCTTGATCTTGAAGCTTGTTTGGCTCAGAACCTTTTAGTCAAGGGTTGGGGATGTCTGAGAAGTCAACCATCCAGTTACTGGCCAGACCAGAAAGTGTTTAACCAGTCATATACATCCCTTGTGCTATATACGGCATGCCAGAAAAGGCAGATAGAAATGTTCATGGTATAATTTATAACACACTTTAAAAGATTTGAAGAGCCATTTTTACATGGTTTCTACAGTACTGTACTTGTATGTATATCTACACTGAAAATATAAAATAAATTTCCAATTAGGTGGGTTGGGATAGACCTGGCAGCCACCCTTCATGGGCCATCCTTGGTTGGTGGCCAGATGCTTGGGGACTAGCCTCATTAAACTTTGCAGGATAACTATTGGGTGTGGGGGGGGGTACATAGGTGGGTGTGGGATAGACCTGGCAGCCACCCTTCATGGTCCATCCTGGTTGGTGGCCAGATGCTTGGGGGACTAGCCTCATTAAACTTTGCAGGATAACTATTGGGTTGTGGGGGGGCTACATAGGTGGGGTGGGGATAGACGCAGGCAGCCACCCTTCATGGCCATCCTTGGTGTGGTGGCGGCAGATGCTTGGGGACTACGCCTTCATTAAACTGGTGCAGGACTAACTCAACTTTGCAGGAAACTTGGGTGTGGGGGGCTACATAGGTGGGTTGGGATAGACCTGGCAGCCACCCTTCATGGTCCATCCTTGGTTGGTGGGCAGATGCTTGGGGACTAGCCTCATTAAACTTTGCAGGATAAACTTGGGTGTGGGGGGCTTACATAGGTGGGTTGGGGATAGACCTGGCAGCCACCCTTCATGGTCCATCCTTGGTTGGTGGCCAGATGCTTGGGGACTAGCCTCATTAAACTTTGCAGGATAACTATTGGTGTGGTGTGGGGGCTTACATAGGTGGGTTGGGATAGACCTGGCAGCCACCCTTCATGGTCCATCCTTGGTTGGTGGCCAGATGCTTGGGGACTAGCCTCATTAAACTTTGCAGGATAACTATTGGGTGTGGGGGGGCTTCCATAGGTAGGGGGTTGGGATAGACCTGGCAGCCACCCTTCATGGTCCATCCTTGGTTGGTGGCCAGATGCTTGGGGACTAGCCTCATTAAACTTTGCAGGATAACTATTGGGGGGGTGGGGGGGCGCCCAGGGGTGGCCCGAGGTGGGGGGCGGCTGCCTCATGGTCCATCCTTGTTGGTGGCAGATGCTTGGGACTAGACCACCATATCCAACTGAGGAGATAGACTATGGTGTGTGTGGGGGCTTACATAGGTGGGTTGGGATAGAACTGGCAGCCAACCTTCATGGTCCATCCTTGGTTGGTGGCCAGATGCTTGGGGACTAGCCTCATTAAACTTTGCAGGATAACTATTGGGTGTGGGGGTGCTTACATAGGGTGGATAGGTAGTCCATCCTTGGTTGGTGGCCAGATGCTTGGGGACTAGCCTCATTAAACTTTGCAGGATAACTATTGGGTGTGGGGGGCTTACATAGGTGGGTTGGGATAGACCTGGCAGCCACCCTTCATGGTCCATCCTTGGTTGGTGGCCAGATGCTTGGGGACTAGCCTCATTAAACTTTGCAGGATAACTATTGGGTGTGGGGGGCTTACATAGGTGGGTTGGGATAGACCTGGCAGCCACCCTTCATGGTCCATCCTTGGTTGGTGGCCAGATGCTTGGGGACTAGCCTCATTAAACTTTGCAGGATAACTATTGGGTGTGGGGGGCTTACATAGGTGGGTTGGGATAGACCTGGCAGCCACCCTTCATGGTCCATCCTTGGTTGGTGGCCAGATGCTTGGGGACTAGCCTCATTAAACTTTGCAGGATAACTATTGGGTGTGGGGGGCTTACATAGGTGGGTTGGGATAGACCTGGCAGCCACCCTTCATGGTCCATCCTTGGTTGGTGGCCAGATGCTTGGGGACTAGCCTCATTAAACTTTGCAGGATAACTATTGGGTGTGGGGGGCTTACATAGGTGGGTTGGGATAGACCTGGCAGCCACCCTTCATGGTCCATCCTTGGTTGGTGGCCAGATGCTTGGGGACTAGCCTCATTAAACTTTGCAGGATAACTATTGGGTGTGGGGGGCTTACATAGGTGGGTTGGGATAGACCTGGCAGCCACCCTTCATGGTCCATCCTTGGTTGGTGGCCAGATGCTTGGGGACTAGCCTCATTAAACTTTGCAGGATAACTATTGGGTGTGGGGGGCTTACATAGGTGGGTTGGGATAGACCTGGCAGCCACCCTTCATGGTCCATCCTTGGTTGGTGGCCAGATGCTTGGGGACTAGCCTCATTAAACTTTGCAGGATAACTATTGGGTGTGGGGGGCTTACATAGGTGGGTTGGGATAGACCTGGCAGCCACCCTTCATGGTCCATCCTTGGTTGGTGGCCAGATGCTTGGGGACTAGCCTCATTAAACTTTGCAGGATAACTATTGGGTGTGGGGGGCTTACATAGGTGGGTTGGGATAGACCTGGCAGCCACCCTTCATGGTCCATCCTTGGTTGGTGGCCAGATGCTTGGGGACTAGCCTCATTAAACTTTGCAGGATAACTATTGGGTGTGGGGGGCTTACATAGGTGGGTTGGGATAGACCTGGCAGCCACCCTTCATGGTCCATCCTTGGTTGGTGGCCAGATGCTTGGGGACTAGCCTCATTAAACTTTGCAGGATAACTATTGGGTGTGGGGGCTTACATAGGTGGGTTGGGATAGACCTGGCAGCCACCCTTCATGGTCCATCCTTGGTTGGTGGCCAGATGCTTGGGGACTAGCCTCATTAAACTTTGCAGGATAACTATTGGGTGTGGGGGGCTTACATAGGTGGGTTGGGATAGACCTGGCAGCCACCCTTCATGGTCCATCCTTGGTTGGTGGCCAGATGCTTGGGGACTAGCCTCATTAAACTTTGCAGGATAACTATTGGGTGTGGGGGGCTTACATAGGTGGGTTGGGATAGACCTGGCAGCCACCCTTCATGGTCCATCCTTGGTTGGTGGCCAGATGCTTGGGGACTAGCCTCATTAAACTTTGCAGGATAACTATTGGGTGTGGGGGGCTTACATAGGTGGGTTGGGATAGACCTGGCAGCCACCCTTCATGGTCCATCCTTGGTTGGTGGCCAGATGCTTGGGGACTAGCCTCATTAAACTTTGCAGGATAACTATTGGGTGTGGGGGGCTTACATAGGTGGGTTGGGATAGACCTGGCAGCCACCCTTCATGGTCCATCCTTGGTTGGTGGCCAGATGCTTGGGGACTAGCCTCATTAAACTTTGCAGGATAACTATTGGGTGTGGGGGGCTTACATAGGTGGGTTGGGATAGACCTGGCAGCCACCCTTCATGGTCCATCCTTGGTTGGTGGCCAGATGCTTGGGGACTAGCCTCATTAAACTTTGCAGGATAACTATTGGGTGTGGGGGGCTTACATAGGTGGGTTGGGATAGACCTGGCAGCCACCCTTCATGGTCCATCCTTGGTTGGTGGCCAGATGCTTGGGGACTAGCCTCATTAAACTTTGCAGGATAACTATTGGGTGTGGGGGGCTTACATAGGTGGGTTGGGATAGACCTGGCAGCCACCCTTCATGGTCCATCCTTGGTTGGTGGCCAGATGCTTGGGGACTAGCCTCATTAAACTTTGCAGGATAACTATTGGGTGTGGGGGGCTTACATAGGTGGGTTGGGATAGACCTGGCAGCCACCCTTCATGGTCCATCCTTGGTTGGTGGCCAGATGCTTGGGGACTAGCCTCATTAAACTTTGCAGGATAACTATTGGGTGTGGGGGGCTTACATAGGTGGGTTGGGATAGACCTGGCAGCCACCCTTCATGGTCCATCCTTGGTTGGTGGCCAGATGCTTGGGGACTAGCCTCATTAAACTTTGCAGGATAACTATTGGGTGTGGGGGGCTTACATAGGTGGGTTGGGATAGACCTGGCAGCCACCCTTCATGGTCCATCCTTGGTTGGTGGCCAGATGCTTGGGGACTAGCCTCATTAAACTTTGCAGGATAACTATTGGGTGTGGGGGGCTTACATAGGTGGGTTGGGATAGACCTGGCAGCCACCCTTCATGGTCCATCCTTGGTTGGTGGCCAGATGCTTGGGGACTAGCCTCATTAAACTTTGCAGGATAACTATTGGGTGTGGGGGGCTTACATAGGTGGGTTGGGATAGACCTGGCAGCCACCCTTCATGGTCCATCCTTGGTTGGTGGCCAGATGCTTGGGGACTAGCCTCATTAAACTTTGCAGGATAACTATTGGGTGTGGGGGGCTTACATAGGTGGGTTGGGATAGACCTGGCAGCCACCCTTCATGGTCCATCCTTGGTTGGTGGCCAGATGCTTGGGGACTAGCCTCATTAAACTTTGCAGGATAACTATTGGGTGTGGGGGGGCTTACATAGGTGGGTTGGGATAGACCTGGCAGCCACCCTTCATGGTCCATCCTTGGTTGGTGGCCAGATGCTTGGGGACTAGCCTCATTAAACTTTGCAGGATAACTATTGGGTGTGGGGGGGCTTACATAGGTGGGTTGGGATAGACCTGGCAGCCACCCTTCATGGAGTCAGTGATGGTGAGATGTTTGGCACATTGTTCAGACTTTTATGATTCAGATATTGGCATACAAAACAATGTTGTGATGCCAGGTTTGCTTTCTAGGGGGGGGGGGGGGACCTTAACACTTAATTAACACAACCTTTTTGGGTAGACCCGAGCACTGCCGGGTAGCTCGTCTAGTTTATACAGCTACAGTACTGTAGTCACATGCTGCATTTTATGCAAACTTAAAATTAAAAGTTTTATCACAATTTTAGGGCAATTTTTAATACTAACAGGTAAGATGTATACAACATTATATATACAGTGGCACCTCGATTAACGAGTTTAAGCCGTTCTGGCACCGAGCTCGTTATGTGGAGAACTCGTCTTGAGAAACAAATTTCCCCATTTAAAATAAAGGAAATAAATTTAATCCATTCCACTCCCAAAAACATCCATACTTGTATGACATTTTATAATGTAAATATAATACTGCACATGTAATTATAAATATTTTGTTGTACTGTTTTCATGTTTACTTTACCTTATGAAGAGTCGTTGCTGGCTTGAGGGAGACGATGGGAAGGTGGGAAGGAGGAGAGGGGTTATGGTGTGGAAGAAGCTACCTTGAGTCAGGCAGGCTCTCTCTTCTTGGGATTTTCACCCCACTGGGACTGGGTTGTGGTTCACTATCACTGGCTCCTCTTTTCTCTACTTTTGCAAAGAACGTATCTATTGACAATTGCTCTTGTCTTTGTTTTAGGATGCTCCTAAAACAAGACAGCAAATTGTCATTAAACATGTTCACACACCGGGTTGTCACTTTTATCAGGGTGATGCTTTTCCTAGAATAGTCACCTTTTCAAACATTCCCAACACTTCCCTGATCTCGCTGGAAGAGGCAGCATCCTCCCTTACCTCCTCATTCCCTTACTAATGGTACAAATTGTTGATGAGGACCTGCCATACTCCCTTGTGAGATCAGTCACACAGACACCACACTCATGCTTTGCTATAATTTCCTTCTTCAAATCCACAGTAATTATCTTTCTTGCTCTTGACAACACTTATCTTTAGCAAGCAGCTTCTTTGGCAACATCGTGCGTTACAAATTGTAGTCACAAAACCACTAAAACCCAAAGAAAAGTGCAAATAAATGCAGAGGGATGCTTGTCATGTGCAATACAACACTGGCATCGGAGACTTCCGAGAATTTGCGAGAACCAGCGAGACGCTAGGAAGCACCATGTGGTTTTGCTCGTTAAGAGGTGAAGCTCGTCAATAGACAAATTTGCTGCGAGTGGCTCGCTCGTTACTCGAAATGCTCGTAAATAGAGCCGCTTGTTAATCGAGGTGCCACTGTATATACATGTATACATATATAATAAAATTGAGTGTAGAATACAGTATTTTAGATTATATAGCCTGTGTCCTGTACCATGAAACACCAAACCAGAGGAAACAAAAGTTGTGTAATTTTCCATTGTATATCCCTTCGTCATGCTAGAAGTTTGCCAGGTTATATTCCTGAAAATCTCTGCACAGTAAGTGGTGATCATTGCTGCAGAAGTCTATATTTTTGTATTTATTTTCATTTAATAATTGGGAACTAATGTTAATACTGCACAGTGTACAGTACCTGTGCATTGAAAGATTTCATAATTTTCTAGGCCCTAATATTTTTATGAAATCCTAACCAATTAGTTTTATAAACTACAGTACTTATTTGCAGGCAGAAGCAGAGTTCATAATGAAGAAAGAAGTGCCTGAGCGAGCCTTCTGGATTGTAGATTGTTTCTGCAACAATTACAACCGATTACAGGATGTACTTGGTAAGACCCAGTTACTGAGGTTACTTATAAGATGCAGAATTTTATATTGATGCCTCAAGTACTCAAAAGTATTTTGGGCACACAGGCCGGGTTATTGGTAGGTGTGTGGAGAGTTGGGTTTCAGGAGGGAAGGGGGGGGGGGGATTTTCCGAAGATCATAAAGGAGAGGGATGCTGTGGCATGGTGCCCAATCGTCGTCTTTACTAAAAATCAAACCGTGATTCTTTTTGCTTGCGAGAATTCTTATACCATGGGGTGCTAATGTGAATAAGTACTATTTTTATAATAATAATAATAATAATAATAAATAAATGTTTAGTCATGTAAAGGTACATACATAGATGAGTTACAAACCAAATGTTGGATGTCTAGACAGAGCTAGTACTTATTATGCCTAAAGCTACTAATACAGCATTTTGGGCAAGATGGGGGAAAACACTTAGACTAAAACTTAAAACTTTTCTATGTAACCAGGATGATTAATAATTATAAAACATTAAATCATGTTATAAACTATTAATGCAATTATGAAAAGGGATTAAATTGTTTTTGCCAGTGGTGACTAGTCTTGTGCACCCATACTTGCACAGTACTATACAATTCCCAATATATCCCAATCACATTGCAGAGTGGTTTTCAATTGGTTTCCCAAACTTGGTTAATACAGCTGCAGCACATGGCTTCCTCTTGAATTGTATTTACTCAGTCTCGTTTGATACGTCACAATTTACCCATGTTAGCTGGACGAGCTATTGCCTTACATACCACCAGCCTTGTTCAGTACATGCACTTGCCTACCTGTAGGTGTCTACAGGGAAGTAAGGTCTTCATACCACCAGCCTTGTTCAGTACATGTACTTGCCTACCTGTAGGTGTCTACAGGGAAGCAAGGTCTTCATACCACCAGCCTTGTTCAGTACATGTACTTGCCTACCTGTAGGTATTTACAGGGAAGTAAGGTCTTGGGGGCACTGTCCTCCCTGCTAGCCAAGTTGTCCATGTCATAATTTTAAACTATTTTTGTTAAAATTGTCAAATGTGGTCTGTGTTTATCATGGAGGATACACACAGAAATCAATTTAATATCAATGAACAAATCCACAGGAGTTGTGATGAGGGTTGGAACCTATGGGCTGGGTGTTCCCAGATGCACACTAGTCCACTGTGCCACAACATGTTTCAATTCTTGTATTGCCATTCTTTTACCATGACGTGTCGCAGTGGACTAGAGCGTGCGTCTGGGAATACCCACTGCACAGGTTTGAACCCTCATCACAGCTCCTGTGCATTATGGAGGATAATATTTGGATGAAATTTAATAAGAAAGTTATATTGAAGACTGTAAATGTGTTCTAGAGTGGAAGAAATATCCACTGAGAAAAGTGGAAGAAATGAGCACCGAGATTACAAACTCAACAAAAGTAAATATTTTAATTTTAAATACTGTGTCTACAAGTATACAGCAGTCTTGCTGCCTGCATTGATTTATGGAATATAGTGTAGGTACTACATGCATAGAGGTGTAATGGTGAGCTTGGTACCGTCAGATGTGCTGTACAACACGCTGCCTGGGAATGACTACAGTGTGTCGTATCTTGCCAGCCAGAAGGGCACACGTCTCGTCATTTTCTGTCAGGTATTGCTAGCATGTGTGCGTGTTGCCTGGCAGTGTTGTACATCCTTGACTCAGCACAGAAGGCACAGTTGGTCCCCAGGTGGGTCAAGTTTCCTTTTACCTGATGCCTCTTCACCTAGTAGTTGATAGGTACCCAAGAGTTAGAAAACCTTTGTCTATCAGCGACTATGCAGGAGCGAGATCTACCCCAATGTTAACCACTGCTGCGCCAACCGAGAAATCTCGTTTCGAGAGTTGTACTATTTTTTTTTAAATAGGCTACATTTTAATGTTTTTTAATGTTTTCATCACTCCTTGTGTTTTGAAATGAAAAGTTAGTTTGGAAACATTTTGACATTACCTTAACATTCATAAAAACAACAAAAATATCAGTAATTGCACTAAAGTGTCAAAAACAGGTGCACAGTGCAGGGGTTAATATGTCTCTAAGTTTTAAGTGATATGCTTCATGTCTTACTGAGAACCCTATCGCTAAAAAGTCCAAACACATTTATGAAGTTACGAAAAGTCACAACTTTTGTTAGACCAAAGCTGGAATATGCAGCAGTTGTATGATGCCCATATCTTAAGAAGCACATCAACAATCTGGAAAAGGTGCAGACATGCCACTAAGTGGCTCCCAGAACTGAAGGACAAGAGCTATGAGGAGAGGTTAGAGGCATTAAATGTGCAAAAACTAGATAGAAGAAAGAGGCGATATGGTCACTACGTACAAAATAGTAACAGGAATCGATAAAATTGATAAGAATTCCCGAGATCCGGAACTTCAAGAACAAGGTCATAAATTTAAACTAATGAAACGAAGCTGCTGGAGAAATATAAGAAAATTCACTTTTGCAAACAGTGGTAGACGGTTGGAACAAGTGAGAAGATGGTGTAGGTCAAACCGTCAGTAGTTTCAAAGCATTGTATGACAGAGTGCTGGGAAGACGGGACACCACAAGCGTAGCTCTCATCCCTTAACTACACTTAGGTAATTACAGCACAGTACTAAATGCATTTGCAAAGGAAAGAACACAGACAGCAGCAGCACTCCACAAAATGCAACCTATAACAGTTGGTTGATCCATGGGTACCTATTTACCACTAGGTAAACAGAGGCATCAGGTAAAAAAAAAACTGGCCAAACGCTTGTGTTCTGCTCCAGGAATAGAACCGGGGACCTTTGGGCTGTTATCTAACTGCACTGACCAGTGGCACTGAATGATGTATATTGTTGTATTTTGTGCAATGTTTGTTGTGCACTATCCTGGGCTGTTTTATGGGGACTCCAGTGTGTTCTATATAGAGTTATGTTGTGCACTATCCTGGGCTGTTTTATGGGGACTCCAGTGTGTTCTATATAGAGTTATGTTGTGCACTATCCTGGGCTGTTTTATGGGGACTCCAGTGTGTTCTATATAGAGTTATGTTGTGCACTATCCTGGGCTGTTTTATGGGGACTCCAGTGTGTTCTATATAGAGTTATGTTGTGCACTATCCTGGGCTGTTTTATGGGGACTCCAGTGTGTTCTATATAGAGTTATGTTGTGCACTATCCTGGGCTGTTTTATGGGGACTCCAGTGTGTTCTATATAGAGTTATGTTGTGCACTATCCTGGGCTGTTTTATGGGGACTCCAGTGTGTTCTATATAGAGTTATGTTGTGCACTATCCTGGGCTGTTTTATGGGGACTCCAGTGTGTTCTATATAGAGTTATGTTGTGCACTATCCTGGGCTGTTTTATGGGGACTCCAGTGTGTTCTATATAGAGTTATGTTGTGCACTATCCTGGGCTGTTTTATGGGGACTCCAGTGTGTTTATATAGTTGTGCACTATCCTGGGCTGTTTTATGGGGACTCCAGTGTGTTCTATATAGAGTTATGTTGTGCACTATCCTGGGCTGTTTTATGGGGACTCCAGTGTGTTCTATATAGAGTTATGTTGTGCACTATCCTGGGCTGTTTTATGGGGACTCCAGTGTGTTCTATATAGAGTTATGTTGTGCACTATCCTGGGCTGTTTTATGGGGACTCCAGTGTGTTCTATATAGAGTTATGTTGTGCACTATCCTGGGCTGTTTTATGGGGACTCCAGTGTGTTCTATATAGAGTTATGTTGTGCACTATCCTGGGCTGTTTTATGGGGACTCCAGTGTGTTCTATATAGAGTTATGTTGTGCACTATCCTGGGCTGTTTTATGGGGACTCCAGTGTGTTCTATATAGAGTTATGTTGTGCACTATCCTGGGCTGTTTTATGGGGATTCCAGTGTGTTCTATATAGAGTTATGTTGTGCACTATCCTGGGCTGTTTTATGGGGACTCCAGTGTGTTCTATATAGAGTTATGTTGTGCACTATCCTGGGCTGTTTTATGGGGACTCCAGTGTGTTCTATATAGAGTTATGTTGTGCACTATCCTGGGCTGTTTTATGGGGACTCCAGTGTGTTCTATATAGAGTTATGTTGTGCACTATCCTGGGCTGTTTTATGGGGACTCCAGTGTGTTCTATATAGAGTTATGTTGTGCACTATCCTGGGCTGTTTTATGGGGACTCCAGTGTGTTCTATATAGAGTTATGTTGTGCACTATCCTGGGCTGTTTTATGGGGACTCCAGTGTGTTTATATAGTTGTGCACTATCCTGGGCTGTTTTATGGGGACTCCAGTGTGTTCTATATAGAGTTATGTTGTGCACTATCCTGGGCTGTTTTATGGGGACTCCAGTGTGTTCTATATAGAGTTTATAGTAATTCTTGAAATATGGAATGGACTTGTTAAAGTGGTTACATTGTGAATACAGTAATCATACTGTATATTATATACATCATTAATATACACCATAATTTATTATAAATTATCAAGCATGTACTGTATTCCCCAAATACTGCCTGTAACAACCCAGTGAGCACAATATCCACTACTGTAGTAATATTTTTCAGCTTAGTCAACATTACTCGTTGATAATGTGCCACTTGGTGGTTAAGACAACATTTCGGGCATCAAGTATATGCATACTTTTCTTCCCCAAGGTATGCCGCATTGAGCTGACATCCTTTGGCCCCTTCTCCTCGCACAACAACGGCAAGAGCCACAAGAGGGTGAGCTTATAAAGAAACGTGTCCACCTGCTCATCTTGTGCCGATATCAACAGGTTGCTCGGGTATACTGGGGGAGGGGGGGGGATTTGTGTTGGGGATTAGTATCGGCAGTAATTTACCAGAAATTGAATAATGTAGTTTGCCAGAGACACAAGTGCACTTGCATGGGGAACTATTGATAAAATATTGTTTGTTCATCTTACATTGCCAGACAATTGGAGTGTAAAATGTTGTGTTTTCTATGACCTGTTTTCATGCGATTGCTCAACTTTTCTAGTTGCAAGGACGAGGCTTCTTGTGTTGTCCGTTCATCCAACCCACAGTGCTTATTGATGTCCCTTCTGTAGTCAATGACAAGGCTGTCCATTTGGTTACCCAAGCAGTTACCGATCAGATTGTGTTGGTTAGCCAACCATCATGTGCATCATCTGCCGTCGGAACTTGATTTAGAATAGAGCCGTGGGGTTACCTTGAGGTGCTTCCGGGGCTTAGCGTCCCCGCGGCCAAGTCGTCGACCAGGCCTCCTGGTTGCCGGACTGATCAACCAGGCTGTTGGACGCGGCTGCTTGCAGCCTGACGTACGAGTCGCAGCCTGGTTGATCAGGTATCCTTTGGAGGGGAAGGCTGGGGGGGTTGCAGCTTTATGGTGGGCTCGTAGTTAGGGGCCATTATCAGTTTGGTAGTTTGATTTCAGGTCCTGAAATCAAACTAGGAACCTGAAATCACCTTTGAACCTGAAATCAAGATTTAAAGTTGTTTGATTTCACATCCTATGTGTATAGGATATATTGGAAACTTGCATGCTTTAACCAAAACTTACATGATTTAACTCTGCCACAGGAAAGACTCATTTCTGAGACAGGTTCACAAAGTAAACAATTGTTGCCCATTAACATGAGCGGCATATTACCCATTACAAGTATTGTTCTACCATTTCTCAGAGACAGCAGCAGGCAGCATCAACGAAGAGTGTCAACAAGGGCAGGACCCTCGAACACAGGCGTCTCAACGAGCCCAAAGGGATCTTCCTGAAAGGCTCTTTAGAGGACCTAATTGACTCTACCCGTTTCATCATCCTTGGTAAGGCATTGAGAGTTTGAAGGGTAAATAATCTTGTAACTAGTCTACAGGATCAACAGAGCACTATCAATTATGCTCTCAACTTGTAGAAAATCAGATTAAATTTCTGTGCAATTTCTAATAAGTTTTTGATGTTATTTCTGAAAAAAATAACATGGCTAAAAGTCAACCCCCAATACATATCTGGAGAAAGGAAAGTGACGTCATCACTTTCCTTTCACAGGGTCCCAGTAGTACAGTCGGGTTTCTCTTCACAATGGAGAATTCAGAGTTCAAATCCCGGGCAGACAGAAATGATTATTTTTCCTATCGCCTAATGCACCTGTTCTAGCAGTAAATAGGTATCCCCAAGAGTTACTTTTTTGTGGGGTTGCATCCTGCAGGAGGGGTCAGTAATTTGAGGTTAGCAAGTGGGAGAGGGGGACCTCGGTACAAGTGGAACATATCCATACACTGGTTACCTCTCCCCTCGGTAATAAATTAGTGTTGTGGCGGTTAGCTCTATTAAATTTAAATATAATTGAGCTATAACCCCAAACTTACATTCTATAAAAAGGTAAATATGAACACTGGTTAATTATGAATTAAATATAACAAAAACTTTACATTTCATATATATTGAAGTACAGTATATTTCAGAAAAGCATAATTCAAATTTTTCCAGACTGTTTTCCAGTCACGCTAGTCGACCAATGTTTGTATACCCCCATCGTCCAGACTCGTAAAAAGGTACAAAACTAAAAATGTGAATTCATTAAAGATTCCAAAATTAGAATTACAGAGCTTTTAAAGTACTGCTGATTGAGGGAGTGTACCAGTTCGGCCACATAGCACAGCAGAAATAAAACAAAATTGGTTGGGATTACAATATAAAAATAACAGAACGGCGCACAGATGTAAAAGCATCGCCATTTGTATTATGGGAGATAATGAGATTATTTTGATAGAAGCTTCAGATGCAAAAGACACTCGGGCCTACATCAGATGTTTGTATGTCGGGGACTTCTTTGAACATGTTGTAGTGACCTTAGTGACCTCTGATGCTGTTTAAGGTTTTCATGCTCGTCAAATTGGCTTTAGCTAAATTGGCTAAGACCATCAAGTTATAATCTCTGAAAGAGGACGAGGTTGGTGATTAATAGGTACAATTTTTATGAATTTTGTAAAATAACTAATTATCATGTAGTTTACAATGAAAGCCACAAGTGTGCACACATGTATTTTGTATACTGTATTATATATATACTGTATGACATGCAGGTGTGCAGTTTGTGTACAAAGAGTGCATCTGTGGTCAGTATTGCTTCACATGTCAGCTGTGTCAGGGAGACTGTGAGGTAGAGAGGGTCAACGCCTCAACAATGTTTACACACCTGCGATCAGTTGTCCACAACAAGAAATACATGGCGAGTTAATCATCTTTCTTCCAGTAGAGAGAGTAGCCGAGGTTTTTAATTGATTTATTGTGTACACAAGGTATAAAGGGTTATGTGAGCATAGTTGATGTAAGTGGTACATTGTTGCAAAGCCACCAACACGCACATTGCTTTTGTGAAAGTCGTGAAGCTAACGCAGAATTTGCAATTAATTTGCCTTTCGTTTTGTAATTTTAATATTTTTTAATAAATGTCAAATGTAATGACAGGTATATAATGACAATCTTTACAGTACTGTATTTTGTGAATTCAAAGTGGTGATAAAAAGATGTTGATCTAGACATACACTGTAATTCTAGATACATCATCTTAAATTATTCATTATGGAGTTAGAGGTCACTCCCTCCAATATCGTCAGTCTTATCTTACTGACAGGCTCCAGTATGTTTGTGAATAATTAAATTTCTCCCACCCTACCCATCAACATTGGTGTTCCTCAGGGCAGCATACTTGGCCCTCTCCTCTTTCTCATCTACATTAATGACCTTCCAAATGCCTCCCAACACCTCAAACCAATTCTATTTGCTGATGACACAACCTTCATTTTCTCCAGTCCTGACCCCCTTGCTCTTAATGTTACAGTGAATACTGAACTAAATAAAGTCCATCATTGGCTAACTGCCAACAAACTCACCCTTAACATTGACAAAACTTTCTATATTCTGTTTGGCAACAAATCCTCAAATCAAATTAATCTATGAATAAACAATATCCAAATTAGTAACATAGTAGATGGAAAATTCCTTTGTATTCTCATCGACCACAAGCTGAATTTCCAGAGACACATTCTAAATATATCAAAGTTTCTAAAACTGTTGGCATTCTTTCTAAGATCAGATATTATGTTCCTCGCCCTGCCGTGGTGACGCTCTATTACTCTCTCCTCTATCCTTAAATACCAACTATGGTATTTGTGCTTGGGGTTCTACTATACAAAATCATTTACGTCCTCTAATTATTCAACACAAAGCTGCTATTAGAACAATATCTAACTCTGGCCCCAGACATCACTCGGTACCCTTACTCAAATCTCTGAATGTTAGATATTAAGTCACTGCACATCCTCTCATGTGTACTCTATATATTTAAGACTGAACTGTGATACCAATCTTTACCTTAGAAGGTTCCTGGAAAGTTGTAACAGAACCCATGGGCGTCACACCAGAAACGAATACCTATTTGATATTCCAAGAATGCGACTTGAACAAACTAGAAATGTTCTATAAATCAAGGGACCCAGAATGTGGAATGGTCTCCCCAATCATGTCAAAGGCTGTACCCCTCTCAACCAGTTTAAGAGTAAAACCAAGTGCTACCTTATTAACTCCATGTAACCTACCTTACCCCCTAAATGTCAACCCATGTCTTGCTTTTTTTTAAACAATGCTGTTTGTTGACAAACTTGTACAATTGCTGATTTCTGCCATGTTCCCCCTTTTTTATTCCTTCTTTTCAACACAATTTATACCTAATCCCAATTGCTATTAAGTTTTAGTCTGTTCCCCCCCCCCCTCACTTTGCCTAAAATGCTATGCGTATTAGTGGCTTTAGGTATTATGTACTAGCTCTATCTATAAATCCAACATTGTTTGTATATCAACTATGTTTATACTTTTCTGGAATAAAAATTTATTTATTAGGTACCATGGTAAAATACAGTACTAGGAGAGTTAACTTAGGGCCTGTGGCAAATGCTGTGCGTGTTAGTGGCTTCGCCAGAATGTACGACTCCATTACTTTCAGAACCCTATGTACCTTTTTGTAGTTTGAGTTGAAATCACTGAAATGAATGAGTAGCACAAAGCAGGGGATACTATGGTGGTGAAAGTGTACTTCATTGTTCTACTTTTGAATGGCGTAAATTTTAGTAAATTTAGGAATGAAAAGTCTTAAAAACTGTTTTGCCATGTTAAATCTGAACATTTATACTGTTTATTGGTGTCATTTGACAGGAAGTGAAATATGGATACGTCAGGGAGCCAGATGAAGATTTTGCTCATGACATTAAAGAAATTGAAGAGTTTGAAGGGAAGATTCATAACTACATTATTGATTTCAGTAAGTAATGTGAAGCATCGTTGATATATTATGTCATCTTGAGATGATTTTCGGGGCTTTAGTGTCCCCGCGGCCCGGGCCTCGACCAGGCCTCCACCCCCAGGAAGCAGCCCGTGACAGCTGACTAACACCCAGGTACAGTACCTACTTTACTGCTAGGTAATGGGCATAGGGTGAAAGAAACTCGGCCCATTGTTTCTCGCCGGCGCCCGGGATCGAACCCGGGACCACAGGATCACAAGTCCAGCGTGCTGTCCACTCGGCCGACCGGCTCCCCCGACTATGATGGTTTAACTATGAATGCATTCTGGATGTTGACAAACCTTCTGTTATTTGCTATGGTGGTGGGAAGTGGTACTCGCTTAATTGTGCTTGTTAGAGGGTTGAGCTTTGGTACTTGGTCCCAACTCTGACCAGACCACCAACCACGAGGCCTGGTCAGAGACCAACCCACAGGGACATTTATCCTTGGAATCGACACAAGATAATCCACTTCACTTTATAGCAGTATGGTCTAAAACCTGCACAGGTATGAAAATTTACTTTACTGGATGGGGGAACCCCTATGGCTCCCCGGAGCTATTCATGGCTGATATGGATACCCTAACTATTTTGCATCAGTCGATGTGAGTGGAGTTCTAGTCTACCGGGGACCACGAGCCAGAACCTGGCCCCCCTCAGAGGCACGAGGAGCAATGGCCCATAGAAATGCGCATGTGATTTGGAGCATTCTATATCTGCCATCGACCGGGACTGGCATCCAGAAAGGTAAGCACCTCAAAACAAATCCCTATTCTGGTTAACAATGAAAATCATCAAACGAGTGGACAGAACTCCCCAAAAGAAAAACGGGCAAATGAGCATGACGTCACACGAGCCGCGCCGCATGTCTGCGCAGCTCCCCCCCCCCCCCCCCCCCACTGTGGGGGTAGCTCAGCTCCTGGAAGGAAAAGGGGGAGCCCCAGACCCTCCTGCCGGCGATCCTCACCCCAGTTCCTCGGCTAATGGGATCGTACATGGTCGTGTGGCTCCAGTCTTCTGTGCTGTTCATTTTCAGTGCTGCTAATATGTGGTCGTACGAGCCTGGAGTATTATTTTCAGGTACTCGGGCTGCATGTGCTTAGGGTCACCTTCCCTGAGTGCCCTGTAAGTACCGCCCTTGGGGCTTGGGGTTCCCTTCCACAAGTCGCCTTGGGTCTACCTCTGTTGGCCTTTCAATACTTGGCGTTTGGCTGCCCCGAGTGTTTGGGGGTTTTCCTCCCTTGTTTACCTTGAGGTAAGTGGTAGGTATTGCACTGGTGGGGCGAGGGGTACTGTGTAGCCAGTTTTCACCTATAACAGTGGCTGGCTCTGTTCCCTCTGGGTACGTTGTTCACTTAGGTGGTTTTTCTTTGTTTTTTCCTGGTGGGGGGGGGGGTCTGCCTTGTTCCCACCCTCCTTCTCTTAGGGCAGTTTTGTGTGGTGGCACCCCCTGCTTCGCCCTCGTGAGTGGACACATCCTGTGGGTTCAGCTTTTAGCAGTTTTCTTGGTAGTTTGGGGCGCCGGTTAGCAGTGCCCTGCCTGGGATAACCCTTAGCAGACCAAGTCTAGGGGCCCTGGAAAACCCCGCGGGGGCACTAGTGTCCGATGGAGGAACCCTTGCGTTCCCTCTTGCTTTGTGCGAGTTTGAGAGTTGCTCTGTCCCCTTGTCTCAGGGCAACACTCATTGTATTTTTCTGTCATGCTGCCTGTTGGGTCGGTGACACATTCGACCCAGAGTCCTGCGAGCTTTGTTGCTTGTTCGTGACTCGATTCACCCAGACTAATGATGATTTTCTTCGGGTGCAGGCAGCACGCACATTGCAGGGTAGGTTTAGGTTATTGCAATGTGCTCGGGTTGTCGCTTCCCCGGACACCCCGAGGCTGCCCTACTTTGCCTATAGGGACTTAATTGAACTTGGGGGGGGGGGGGGGGGTGTTGGTCGCTTCGGCCTTGGTTCCATCTGTGCCCTCTCATTTTTCCCCTTCGATGGTTCATTCGGTCCCCCAACCCTCCCCCCTGCTTCCGGCCCCTAAGCGTTTGAGGGCTTCAGGGTTTAGAGGTTTCTGAGACTCAGCCAGTTTCGGGGGTTGCCCCGTCCAAGGTGGCTACAGAGGCATTCGATTCTATTCCTCCTGCCGATGCTCCGGGGTCTGACCCGTGGGCCCCTTCCCTTCCGGCTCTTTCAGCTGCCCCAGCTTTTATTTTGTGAGGCCAACTCACAAAATAAAACTTTGGGGAACGACTCAGCCCCGGGGCCTGGAGTGGAAGTTCACATGGTTGGGAAGAAGCTGACTTGGGGCCCTTGGGGCTCCATTGGACCCCACCTGGATTTTCCGTCCTTCTGAGCAGGGCTTACTGTTGCAAGGAGTGGGGTTTTCTTCCCCCCCCCCCCCCTCTGCGTACGATTTGCGCTTGGGTTCTGCTTCTTCCCGGGTTTGGTTCTGTATCCCTGTGGATTCTTCAGTTCCGTCTTTCTGGAGGTTTTTGGCTTCTCGCATCTCGCCGTCTGAGGTGCAGTCAGCCATTGTGGCTTACCGCCTGTATGACCCAGAGTAAGCCTCCATAATGGATCCTTCTTCGTTCAGGTTTGGATCATCGTGTCCTTACTGGGTGTGTTATGAGGTTTCGGGGTCGTCCTGGCTTGCAGACTGTCCCTTTATTCATTGGATGCTTGGGACTCGTTCCATTGGACCCGCACGTTTGAGTGGCGCTAAGCGTTGACAGTGGTCCAGGTTTACCTGGGGGCGACTTTGAGCATTCAATGAGTGCCTTTTTGCTCCTGCCCTTTTGCGGGATGTTGATGCGGTTGTTTCATGTGCAGGTTCCTTCCCTGTCGACTGCACTTGTGGCTGAAGACTTGAGCGCTCGTGGCTTTTTAGCTTCGGTCCTGCATTTCTTTTCCCTCTTGGAGCTGTCTTCGGATTGGCTTGCAAAGGATGTAGAGGCGTTTGGGGCCATTCCTGGGTCTGGCGCCTTAGTCTCGGCTGCTCGTGCGTCGTCTGCTCTTTTGAAGCTGTTTGCGCCGATCCTACGAGAGGCATTGCTACGGTTTCTTGCTGCGTGGTTTGTGTGTTGACAGGCGGTACTCGTTTCTTCCTTGGAGTCTGCTTGGGCCTTGGTTCTTCGGTTGTCTTCTCCTTTTTGTCCTCTGCTTTTTGAGGCCTCTGTGGTTGCTCTAGGGGAACTGGAGGGTTCCTTCTCGGTAGGGTCGTGCCAGGGCTCGCAGTTCCGTTCGTCGGGGTAGGCTACAGGTGTCAGGTTCGGTGCCGGTGCCGCCTGCTGTCCCGCCTGTGCCTGGTCGGCGCGGTGTTCGCTTTGCACACAGGTCTTGTTCTTGTAAGGGGCAGCGGCCCTTTTGTGGTTTGCCCCATTGATGGGGCAGTGGGGGGAAGGGAGGCCTACTCGGTTCGCTCACGCCTGGTCTCAAGATTTGTGGTCTTGTCGGGTCGTTTCTCTCGGCCTGCGGTGGCGTTGGGTGGCTCCTCCTCCTTTGGGGGATTTCTGGCTGACAGGGCAGGCTTCCTCACCTGTGCTCTGTCGGGTCATCTTGGAGTGGGTGCGCTTAATTGGGCATGGTCGAAATGACGTCGTCTCTCAGGTGGGTTTCCCGCCTGTTCTCAGTTCTGAAACGGGACTGTGCGGACCTGTGGTTCATTCTGGACTTGTCCTGTCTGAACCCTTGGGTTTCTTGCCCCTAGTTTCAGATGACCACTCTGTCCCAGGTCCGGCTTAAACAGAAACCGGGCGCTTGGTTGGTGTACCTGGACCTCAAGGACGCATATTGGCACGTCCTTATTCATCTGGGATTCAGGGACTGGCTCGGTTTTGTTGTGGGGCGTCAGAGTTACCGCTTTCATTGTCTCCCTTTTGGGTTGAATCTGGCACCTCACATGTTCACACGCCTTACCAGAGTCGTGGTGGCCCGTCAGCGTCTGTTGTGTGTTCGAGTGTTGGCTTACCTCAACGACTGGCTGGTTTTGGGCTCCCAGTCGGTCCACGTGTGCTTGCCAGGGATTTGGTTCTTTCCCAGCTCGCCGGGTTCGGGTTCGGGTTCTTGGTGAACTGGAGGAAGTCGCATCTGGTTCCCTCCCAGGTTCGGTCCTGGCTGGGTCTTGTGTGGGACCCTCGGACCACTTCCTTGTCTCTCCTCCGGCTGCGGTCTCGCCTGTGCTTGTTTCTGGGGGGCTTCCGGGTCACCCGGCAGTTGCTCGAAGGTCTGTGCAGGAGCATGAACTTTACGATGTTGGTCTACCAGCCGGGTCGGGTTTGGCTTCATCGGCTGTTCTGGTTCCTTCGGGGATGTCCCTTCCGCTTCTCTCGCGATCGCTGGGTTCGTCCCCCGGGGGCCTTGTGTTGACTGCTGCGTTGCCGGCTTTTCGGGGTTCTGTGCCTTGGCGCCTTCCCGAACCCTCGCTCAATGTGTTCATGGACGCGTCGTCTCTCGGCTGGGGCTTTGTAACCAGTGCTCACCAGGCCGGCCAGGGGCGGTGGGGTCCGTCCTTCTGTCGGGTCCACAGCACGGTGCGGGAGTTCGCGGCGGTGTGGTTTGAGCTTTGGAGGGTTCGGGTCGCCCGCGGATCAATTATCAGGCTCCATTCAGACTGCTCCCCAGTGGTTCATTATCTGAACCGAGGGGGTTTGATGCAGTCCTTGGTTTTTTGGGATTGGTCGCTTTGGGTGACACATCTGCTGAGTTCTCTGGGTTTGGCTCTCCTGGCAGTTCACGTCTGGGGGGTGTCTAACGTCCTGGCAGACGGCCTGTCCCGGTTCGTTCCCCTGTCCACGGAATGGATGATCAACACCAACTCATTCAGTTGGCTCTGCCAGACATTCGGGCACCCGGAGGTGGACCTTTTCGCGTCGGGGTGGTCGAGGCGTCTTCCGCTATATGTGGCGCCCTTCCCCGACTGCGAGGCTGTCAGGATCGATGCCTTTCAGCAGGACTGGTCGAGGTGGGGGTTCCTATACCTCTTTTCCCTGGTTCAGCTATTGCTCCAAGTCCTGGCTCGCTTTGAGACTTGCCAGGGGTGTGTAGTCCTCTTGGCTCCCATGGTGGCCGGCCCAGCCGTGGTTTCAGGCGCTGCTTGCCCGGTGTCGGAACCCAGAGGTTTTTCCGCAGCTCCGCCTCTTTCAGGAGATCGGCCCGGTCCGTTACGAAACTGGTTTGCGAGTCTTCGCGTTTGGTGTGTTCGACTCGTGTTTGTTGCCATCTCTCTGGTGATTAGGTGGCTTCCTTGCTGGTTTCCCACCTGCGGGCTTCCTCTCAGCAGCAGTATAAGGTTTCCTGGCGGTCCTTCCGATTCTGTTTGTCCCTTCGTCGTTGCTCTTTGCTTTCGATTCGGGTGGTGGTGTCCTTTCTCTCTTGGTTGTTCCAGGACAGTCATCTTATGCCTAATACTGTCGCCTTGTATCATGCTGCACTGGCGGAGCCGCTGCAGGTTGCTTTCCATATCGATGTTACTTCTGCACCATTTTGCAAGCTGTCTCGTGTGTTTTCACCTCCGGCCTGCTCATGCGCCGCCTGAGCCATCCTGGTCTTTGGACAGAGTGCTCTCCTATCTTTCTTCTCCTCGGTTTCTTGTGACCCTTTCGGTTCAGGATTGTTTTGCTAAGGCTCTTTTTCTGTTGGCATAGCCTCTGGGGGGTCGTGTGGAAGAGCTTCATGCTCTTCTCCGGCGCAGAGATTTTTGCCCTTTAGGTCTTGGTCATAGGTATGTCCGTCTACAGTCGTCTCCCTCTTTTCTGGCGAAGAATGAGACTGCCGCCTTCCGTAGGGGTCCTTGGTTGTTGTTGCTTGGTTTGTCAGGCCGGGGTTCATCATTTGTTGTCCAGTTGCGGCCCTCCGCCGTTATCTGCGGGCCACGGCTTCTGTGTCCAGGAATGCGCTTTGAGTTGATCCAGTTTCCAGTCTTCCTTGTTCGCGGGTTTGGGTCTCTCAGGTTAAATTAGTAGTATGGTAATTAAATCCAGCCAGCCTGTGGTCTATCCCCCGTGCCCATGACATTTGTAAGTTTGCTGCTCTTGCTGCCATCTTTGGCATTATGTCTTGGGCTGACATTCGGACACGGGGTTTTTGGTGGTCGAACAGGATCCTGGCTACATGCTACCTCGTGAACATTCTTGGGCCCAGTTGGGCCTGTGTCATTTTGGGTCAGCGGTTGCAGCCCGTTGAGAGCTTTCCCTTCCTATAGCTCACGGTAAGCCTTGTCCATTAGTGTTCTTGGCAACACTTCCCAAGAATTGGTTAACCAGGTACGCAGTTACTGCAGGGTGTACAGAGGGGAACACTTAAGGATTGGTGCCTAGAAAATCCTCCAAGTTTTTACCTGAATTTACCTAAGGGCCACTGACACTAGTAGCTTCAAAGAGGACAGTAAACTGGCAGCTTGTTAAAGACCATACCATTTGCCCTGATTTACAAATATCGCTGTAAAGATGTACATACGTACGTATGTTTACGTTTTCGTCCGTATTCCTTTATAACAGTGTACATTCTTTGGTTCACTATAACACATCAGGGTACTTTATTTCCGTCTACCCACTGAAGCCATAAGTGCCAAAACTGTTACAATTTAAAATCCAGCTTGAAAAAAATCAGAGCAAATGGGAGAGGAGGGCCCCCCCCCCCTCCTCTCCCATTTGCCCTGATTTTTTTAAAGCTGGGTTTTTTAAGTGTGTTCCACCCTCTGGAAAGGGGGGTGGAACTTTGACAACCTGCCGGCTTCCTGTTCTTGTCAAGGCCATTAGTGTGTTAGTGGCCTTCGGGTAAATTACTCGACATATCGGCACCTTTCTGCAGAAAATACTTGCCTTCAAGGCAAGATGGGTTCACAAAAGAGTATTGCATTTAAATTTATCCATGCGGCCTTCCATAGATATAATTTTCAGTACAATTTTTTTTAATTTTTCTTCATTTGAATAATTATTTAGACAAAAGTACATGGAATTCTCCTCTGATGTTGTATTGAGATGAGAAAAGTACATTGCCTAAAGCCACTAATACATTGTATAGAAATCCAACATTCTGCCTTTAACTCATTTTGTATTTTTTTCAGCAAATCAGCTGCCAGACAAGACTGCTGAGGGCTCAGAGCAGTACAGGTGTGTTGTTCACGGAAAAAGTCTTTGTCCAACTGTTCTGTGCCTGATCTGGATCCTGTGAAACTTGACTTGTGTAGGCCTGATTAGGCAACTTTAATAAAATAAAATAAAAATAAAGGAGGGTAATCCCCTGGGGTAATCACCTGACCCCACACCCTGGGAAAATCCCCAGGATGTAATCCCTGGGTATTGGGTTACACCCTGGGGAAGGTCGGTAGTAGTACCACCTTGGAAAACCTTTGATATTAGTGATGTAATGTTTTGCCTTTGGAGCTATAAATGTTACTTGTCCCCCCCCTCCCCCCCCACACGCACGCACTCTCCCTCACTCACGCACGCATGCAACAGTGTCGGCAGGGTTTCAGCACTTCCCGGACATATCGGAAAGGATCACTTAATCAGTAATTAACTTCCTGTCAGCTGTAAGCACCAAGACAGTGCTTTAGTTCAAAATAAAACTAGTAAAACTCTTGGATAATGGGGGGGGGGGCAAAAAAGCCCTTTCACAAGCCTCTGGCTTCCTGTCTCATTGAGGCCGATGGAGATGATAGGTCTAGGGTAAATTATGGGTAAAAATTCTTGACCTAATAATGTACAGTACTGGTAATTTTTTAATGATTTTTGTTTTTGCCCGAAGGTCTTGTCGTCGTAGTAGATCTTCCAGCGAGCCTCATGTTTGCCTCTCCAGTGATGACGAACATGGAAGAAAGAAGCCCAAAGTAAATTCCTCGCCTATGAAGATGGAAAGACTGAGCCCCAGAGTAACTTGCTCACCTGTGAAGATGGAAAGACTGAGCCCCAGAGTAACTTGCTCACCTGTGAAGATGGAAAGCTCACTGTGAGCCTGTGAGATGGAAAGCTCACCTGTGAAGATGGAAAGACTGAGCCCCAGAGTAACTTGCTCACCTGTGAAGATGGAAAGGTCACCTGTGAAGATGGAAAGCTCACCTGTGAAGATGGAAAGCTCACTTGTAAAGATAGAAAGCTCGCCTGTGAAGATAGAAAGACCTGCAAGCCCCAAGTTAGGTCTTGAAACGGTTAAGTCTGGAATCAAATCTCTCGAAAGTTTTGCAGAACTGGATATTCTTCCTTTGGAGGCGAGGCCAGTGCTCAAGCGTGATGTGGGAATAACGGCCAACATAATGGAACAGGGCAACAGCTTTGTAAATTATGAATGCTTGATGGAGGTAGGTTTAGCAAATTTGTTTGTTGCATAATTTGTTTTCAATGCCATGTGAAGGTTTTCATTCAGAATATATTTTGTAATTGACTATTTTATTTCCCAATATACTTTTGTTTTAAAGCGGTCATTCCAAAGTGGTGTTAATTATAATTTTAATTCCATTTTGTATAATTTAATTATCGTGCATATGAAATGTCTTCAGGTATGCTCAGTATAAATTGTCTGGGTTAAGAGTTCTACTATCCAAGCCCAGGCTGGGGGGGGGGGGGAGAATTTAAGAGGTCAGGCTTGGGGTACCTTGAACTAAAAGGCTTGGAGTGGCCTGTGGGCCCACATACCCATAAAAACGTTACATGGCATACACACACACGTGTGGTTTACAGGCGAGAGCTGTAGTGATGCATGGTTACCACTTGTCATCTTGAGATGATTTGATGATTTCGGGGCTTACTGTCCCCGTGGCCCGGTCCTCGACCAGGCCTCCTTTTGTTACACCCCCCCCCCCCCAGGAAGCAACCCATAGCAGCTGTCTAACTCCCAGGTATCTATTTACTGCTAGGTGAACAGAGACATCAGGGTGAAAGAAATTCTGCCCATTTGTTTCCGCCTCCACCGGGGATCAAACCCGGAACCTTAGGACTACGAATAGGACTACCGTGTTTGTATTTAGTGCATATTCTCACATAGCTTAGTCAGCATTTTTTTTAAAGATATATACAAGAGTTGTTACATTCTTGTACAGCCACTAGTACGCGTAGCGTTTCGGGCAGGTCCCTGGAATACGATCCCCTGCTGCGAAGAATCGTTTTTTCATCCAAGTACACATTTTTACTGTTGCGTTAAACAGAGGCTACAGTTAAGGAATTGCGCCCAGTAAATCCTCCCCGGCCAGGATACGAACCCATGACATAGCGCTCGCGGAACGCCAGGCGAGTGTCTTACCACTACACCACGGAGACTGATTTGTAGAAATAAAGGTCCTAGTGTGTGTGGACGCAAGTTAATGTGATCATGAATAAATATTAGGAACATCTCTTGATCCAACTCGCACTTTCGCACTTTCTTTTAGTCAATATTGACTTATTAAATAAGTGCATATGTGACATACTAATTTATTGTGAATATTTTAGTTTACCTTGAAAAGCTTCATAGAAAACACCGACCTTGCGTAACCTTCTTAGTATGTTAAGATAAGCATCTTATTGCTTCGTAATTACAATTATTACTTAACCTGTACCTATAATAGGTTAAGTAATAATTATAAGATTAGATTAGGTAAGGTCGGTGTTTTCTATGAAGCTTTTCAAGGTAAACTAAAATATTCACAATAAATTAGTATGTCTCACGTGCACTTATTTAATAAGTCAATATTGACTATACGAAAGTGTGAGAACGGGTTGCTTGATTTGCCTTTTTCAAGGTAGTAGTAGTAGTAGTAGTAGGCATCCATCAATCTCAGGAGACTATGGAGTTGTGCTCTGGTGTCGGCCTGGTCTGGAGTGGCCTCACCAGGGCGCAAAGCCAGGGTAGGTTGATTCGGGGGAGAAGCTGTTACCCAGGCAGCAGGTTCCCCCCCCCCCTCTCCAGGGCGCTGAAAGACTCCAATGGAAAGGCATACGCGCATATGCCTTTTCAAGGTATTGGATGCAATTTAACCCTTTCCTGACCAAAGCACAGTGCTGGCAGTGATGTAGACACAACCTGTAGTGGCTTTTAACATTTGATAAATGTGGTACTGGTGAAGCATTACCGCCGTATTGTCCACCGTTACATAATTAATTCGGTTATCATATAACTAATTCCTTGGTTATCTCGAGTCCTTTTTAACAGAGGCACTTGTGTACATGCTAGTTATACAAGTACAGTACTGTACTGTTCCTTCTAAAGCTCCCTTCATGTCTACCTACATGGTGAAGATTCCAGGGAGCAGTGCCTCCACAGTCTGGTCTCTGATCTGATCTACCAAACTATTTCGTGCAGCTGCTCTTGCAGCCTGATGTATGAGTCAGTCTGGTTGGTCAGGTATTCTTTGAAGGTGCTTGTTGAGTTCTGAATACTTGTGAGAGGTTGGACAGTTATGTCCCCTGTGTGTAGGGTAAGTGTTAAAAAGTCTTGGCCCTTTGATGACGATAATTCTCAGCATGCCTATTGCACCTCTTTTCTTCGGTGCGGCTATTTTGCACATCCTACTATGCCTTTTGGTCTCGTGTGGCCTGTTTATGTGCAGATTTGGAACTAGTTCTTTCTATATTTCACAAGTGTCAATTATTATGCATCTCCCACCTGCGCTCTAAGGAATAGATTTTTTATTTTTAGGCGGTCTCAATAATTTTAGTTTTATTGAGTGGATTCTAGCAATAAAGGATCTTTGCATGCTCTTCAGGTCAGCAATTTCTCCATCTTTGAATATGGGTGTTAGTGTGCAACAATATTCCACCCTAGAGAGCACTAATGTCTTAAGACGGTATCATTATTGGCGTGGCATCTCTTGGTTTAGAAGGGTCTTAGCCAACCTCTCATTTTTCTTGCAGTTGTGACACCAACTTTCTTTATATACAAGAAGGTACATTGGGCTTGTAGAGTACATAACATTGATGTTTTTACATAATTACATTTCTTTACATTCTTACGTTCATTCTTGTTGTGTTCTCTAAAAGTAAAGTCCTCTGACATGATTATTCCTAAATGTTTTACATTGGTTTTTCCTTCAAAAGTGTGGTTTTGACTATTTTATACGTGGTTTCTGCTTTGATGATTTTCCATAGCACAGTAATTGGAACGTCTGCTCAATAAACATGTTAATTTTTTTGGTCCATTGAAAGACTTGCTTAACATCAGATTAGAGGTTTGCTATGTCTTCTGTTGTCTACTCTCATGGAAAATTTGTCATCTGCAATGGGATAATACAGTACTATAGTTTGTATTGTACTGTGTTTTCAACAAGGCACCGGCTTCCTGTCCTCGTCGAGGCCACTAACACCCTCGGGTAAATCAGGTATCCTTATCTGACATGAGGATGGGGCAAAAGTACTGGAGCAAGTACGGTACCTTGGGAAACCGAGCTTTTCATGGCGGATGATTCGGATTTGACTTTGTCGACTATTACACTCTGGGTTCTGTTTGTTGTAACAGAATCCTTGGTTTGTTCCATCTGCTTTCCTCCTATAATAAGATAATATAGAAAACATAATCTCTCCCTCTGTTTGTAGCCTCCACCTCCAGCATGCAAGTGCAGTGTGTATTACTCTTTGATAATAACTCCAAAGCTTCCTTCATGTTACAAAAACCAGAGTTAGGTGCATTCCACAAGAGCAGAGTTCACATTAACATCTGGGGATCAATATCCTCCTAGCCCACAGTTTAAATTTTTTGAAGCCAAAAATATATCGGACATTATTTAAATGTACCTGGATTTACTTGTGCCTATATAACCAAATTTAATATTGTGTTAGTTCTGCCAATTCAGTATTCCTAAATAGCACCAATGTTGCTATACTAAGTGGTTTAATTTTGTACACTTTGCTGTTGACAAAAATGGCTACCCAAAAAAGGAATGTGGCCCTTTGAAAGATGTTTTGACAATGTTATAGTCTATCTAAACAAATAAAGACCCTTCATTACTAGTGAACGATGAGTCACACTCTTACAAATCGAGTGATATTATAATGGAAACACTCAAATAGGCTTCTGTCGAGGTGCTACATCTCCCACACACGCACTTAATATTTGGGTTTTCCCTGTACAGTATTTTTGGCCGACTTGTATAACGTGCATTGACCTACCAAGTGTGAGGCAGGAAGGACACAGGAACATCGGTGCACGCTGGACACATAGAGTAGTAGAGATAAGGAAGTTTTTGTCCCTCAGTCCCCGTGGAGTAGTGGTAAGAAATTTCCCTGGGGTTTCCTAAGCACTTTGTCCTGTGTTCGTATCCTGACTTGGGAGGATTGACTGGGCACCAATCCTTAACTGTGGCCTCTGTTTACCCAACAGTAAAATGGGTTCCTGGTTGTTAAACAATTTGGCGGGTCATATTCCGGGGAATATTAAGAGTAAGGACTTGCCGGAAGTGCTATGCGTGCTAGTGGCTGTACAAGAGTGCTTTTCAGTTTCTAAAACTGTTGGCATTATTTCTAAGATGAGATATTATGTACCTCGCCCTGCCCTGGTGACGCTATATTACTCCCTCATCTATCCTTATCTCAATTATGGTATTTGTGCTTGGGGTTCTACTACAAAAAATCATTTGTCCTCTAATTATTCAACACAAAGCTGCTATTAGAACAATATCAAACTCGGACAGCTGGTTCCAGACAGCACTCGGTACCCTTGCTCAAATCTTTGAATGTTAGATATTGAGTCACTGCACATCATCTCATGTGTACTCTATATATTTAAAGCTCTGAACTGCAATGTTAGTCCTGACCTTAGATGCTTCCTAGAAGGTTGTAACAGAACACATGGGCACCTCACCAGAAACAAATACCTATTTGATATTACAAGAGTGTGACTTCACTAAACTAGAAATGCTCTACAAATCAAGGGATCCAGAATGTGGAATGACCTTCCTAATCATGTCAAAGACTGTACCTCTCTCAACCAGTTTAAGAGTAAAACCAAGTACAGGTACTACGTAATTAACTCCATGTAACCTACCTTACCCCCTAATGTCAACCCATGTCTTACTATTTTTAAACAATGCTGTTTGTTCTCCAACTTGTACAAGTGATGATTTCTGCCATGTTCCCCCTTTTTTTTTATTTTTATCTCATTTTTCAACACAATTTATACCTAATCCCAATTACTATTAAGTTTTAGTATGTGTTCTCTCCCCCCCCCCCCCTCCCCCACTCGCCTTGCCTGAAACGCTATGCATATTAGTGGCTTTAGGTATTGTATGTACTGGCTCCATCTATAAATCCAACATGGTTTGTAAATCAACTATGTATGTACTTTTCCTGAATACAAATTTATTATTATTATGCAAGAACTCTTGTATATATAAATTAATAAATAAAGCAAGTGTAATGCATTTAAGACATTGAACTTACTTTTTTATTATTACTAACCCTGGTTTATATTGCAGCAAATTCACACACATTTAAGGCTTCTGATCCCTGTTATGTTTTTCAGAAGGAGTGTTTAGACATGGTGAAGGTGGATGAGGACATGCAGCGGCTGCTCATTCAGACACTGCACGTGCTGAACAGGAAGCTGACCAAATATTACAGTGACGGTGATGGGCTGAACGCTGCTCCTGATGGTGTTATTACTCCTCTCACAGTGAGTCGTGTCGGGTTTGAATGTTGTGTATGGTATAATTATGGCATAGTTAATGTTAGAAAATGATCATAACTAGCTTGGCATAATATTTTATTTATTTATTTATTTATTTATTATTTATATATACAGTATACAAGAAGGTACATTGGGATTGTAAGGATACATAATATAGTAATTACAATCTTGTAAAGCCACTAGTAGGCACAGCGTACTAGTTCTAATTAGATACCTGTATTTTTGTTGATTAGATTGGCCGAAACGCTATACATGCTAGTGGCTTTAGGTATTGTATGTACTAGCTCTATAAATCCAACATTGTTTGTAACAAATCTTCTATGTATGTACTTTTACCTGAATAAACATTTGATTTGATTCTTATTTTGGTTATAGTAATGGCATCTTTATCAGAACTAGCTAGTTAACTTATTCTAAAGTTACAAAAAAATATTAAATTGTTTAATTACATTCAGATAAAGCCATTTTTAGTCTTAAAAAATTGTATCATGATGCTCTTGATACAACTAATAACAAAAATTATTTGATAAATTAGCTTTTTGTTTCCTAGAGGCAAGATAAACATTGACAATAAAAGTGTTATTTGTATTTGTTGCAGATATTTGCAGAGAAGATTGAGCAACTCATCAGTGAGCTGAGTGTAATTACCTCTGAGAGAGGTGTAGCAAGCCATAAGCCGCATGGAGGTGTATGGGAAGAGGCGCTCACTGAGGCGAGGTTTGGCACCTTGCCACAGACTGCTGTGGACACCGTGGTGGAGCCCCTCTTGTTTAACTGTGCAGAATAGTTACTATATGGCTACATCATGACTGCCATATTCCACTATTATCAAATTAGTTTTTTTGTTTCCTAGAGGAAAGATTATAAGTACTATAATTTGTATTTGTGATAAACATTTAAGAGAATTATTACATACTACATTAGCTGTTAATTTGACTTAAGCTATTGGCAACTGGTGCCAGTGTGGGGGATTTGATCACATCTGGAAGTCTGTGGTTTATTGTTTACTGTCCTCTCAGTAGCAGAGAATTTTCCATTTTGTTGAATTCTGAAGCTTTGTTTACGAGGGAAAAATAAAGATTTTGCGTTTTTGAACATGGATCATTTATTGGACTACTCTCATCCCATTACTGTACCTGCATTTTGAGTGATGCACTTTTTTAATGTAAACATGTTTAATAAAGTATTGATGGTACATTTGATCTACTTAACCAAAATCATTTAATGTTCACAATTCTATTAAATATTTGTATACGGCATGTGGGAGCTCTATGGCCTTCGTTGTGAAAACCCTTGTCAATCATTTTTTTGTTGTTGTTAGGCTTAAGGTGGTTTCCTGAAATTCATATTTTTCATTTAAAAATTTTGTGGAAGTGGCCCCCACCCCACTGCGGGGCAGACGCATTCTGCCCCGCAGTGGGTCACTGCAAAACCTGCAAAATTGGTTATAACATTCTGACCTGATCCAGGTTTAGGTTTTTTGCCGTTGCTAATTTTTCTAAACTTGCAGCAAATAACATCTACATTGTACCATATACTGCACCAACAAATATTAAGATGGTTTTGTAAGAATGTAATTAATAATTATGCATTGAATAAAATTAAAATATTGATTTGAATTGTTTTCGCAGCAGACTCGGTAGAATTCTTGGTGAATCGAACACTTTTGATATCGTTCACCTTGTGCGTTTGTTCTTGTACTGGCATCCTTGGTGATATTTAGCGCCCTCTGATTATTCCGCACATTTGATGGTGCTACAAAGCTTTCCCGGTTTGGTGCCTTCTTTTGATAATTACTACTACTACTACTTTCTTTCTCCTGCCCCCCCTAGCTCTTGCTGGGGCCCATAACTCTACTGCTCTCTTAATTCGTTCTGATATTCCCTTCGTCCCCCTACTTCTTCCATCCCCTATCCATTGTTCTGCTGCCCGTGTTTTTGTGGGTAAATGGTATACAGTATGTTCTATTTATCTCCCCCCAAATGTCCCGCTTTCCCTTCCTGATCCTCCTGGACTCCTTGCCAGAGTCGGTGCTCCTTTTGGGTGATTTCAACTGTCGACATTTACCTCTGGGGTGATGTTCTGACAAACACCCGAGGCCGTCTTCTCGAACCATTCGTCCTCGCTTCTTCTCTATCTCTTCTGAATTCTGGTGAGCCCACTCATGTGAACTCTAGAACTCACACCCTTTCCTGTCTTGATCTTTCTCTCTGCTCGTCGTCCCTTTACTTAGATCTCACGTGGCGGGTTCTTGATGACCTCCATAACAGTGATCATTTCCCTATCCTCGTTTCCTTTTTCTCTTTCCACCCTTCCCTTTCCTTCCCTAGGTGGCAGTTTGCCAAGGCTGACTGGTGCCTATTCACCCTCCGTGCTACTCTCTCTGACCTCCTCTCTGCCTCTTCCTCGTGCCCTCCGCTCTATTCCTTGCTCTGCCTTCCGGGGCACGAGGAAATGCGTTCCCTGGTGGATAGCGGACTGTACTCGGGCTGTCCGCTGTAAGCGTGCAGCTTGGAAGAAACACCGACGACGACGATTGATTGATGAAGATTAAGCCACCCAAAAGGTGGCACGGGCATGAATAGCCCGTAAGTGGTGGCCCTTTTGAGCCATTACCAGTATCAAGAGCTGAAACTGGAGATCTGTGGAGGTGCGATTGCACCCTGCGTGACGGGAGATGTCTCCTGTGAAGCTGCCGACAGACGGCTGATTCTTTTATTTTGTTTTGGAAAGCAAATCTATAAATCCATCAATGTTTGTATCTCACCTTGTTTGTATGTATGTACTTTACCTTAATAAACATTTGATTTTTTGTTTAATTTTGATGTATTCTACCTCCTAGGCCTTTTCCTTCATGAGTCCGCTGCATGGTGTTATTGTTAATATATTACTGTGCATTGTTATGCCCCCCATACATGCAAGGTCTTGCATATCACAAACATGAAAAAGTTACAAATCTGAACATTGGTGGAGTTCACTTGGAAATCTCAGAGATCTCCATATCATTTTCACTTGCAACGTTACCATAGATCTTGGTGTCATGTGCAGATATGATGATGTAGTTTGTAATAAAAAAAATTGGTAATGTGGTTTGTAATATTATCATTGATGTACAGTATATGACAAAAGGGCTGGCCCCAAAATGAACCTCTGAGGTATCCTCATCTTATGATGATGATTTTTATTTAGGCAATGATACATGTTTATACAACATAGGATACGAGAAGAATGTTGGCTATATAGGCAGGTGGAGCACCATGCCTAAAGTCACTCATACTACAGCGTTTCCTCCCATGATGTCAGGAATTTAACTAAGGACTTAAAAAAAACTAATTGTGATCAAAAGCAAAAATGAACTGAAGGAAAATAACCAAAAACTGACAATTACACCGGTGAATATTACAAGAGAAATGGCCACAGAACATTGGAGAGTAATTATCACTAAGTACCGTGAACACAATGTATTGAAGACAGAATAAGGATACATGAGAGTAATAGATAATTACCAGGGACGGGCGAGGTAAATTAATACCTGATTTTTTTTTTAGAAAGAATGCCAACTGTTTTATAAACTTGTTTTTTGTAGCTATATTTTGTATGTGGCAGTGAAGAGACGTTTGACAAGCCGTCGGCTTGTCTACTCTCCTCGTTATATGGATATATATATATATATATATATATATATATATATATATATATATATGGTCGTTATATGGATATATATATATATATATATATATATGGTCGTTATAAGGATATGTTCTCGTCGAGACCACTAGTTAGTAACCCTCAGGTAAATTCAGGTAAAATCGTTGTGGTAAGCCTTATGCGTGTTAGTGGGTTTACAAGAATGTAAAAACATCAATGCTATATACTTTCATAAACCCAATGTACCTTCTTGTATATAAATAAATAAATAAATGAATAAATATAATTATGTAATTATTTTATTATTATTTTTTGAATTGTTCAACCTGAGACGGATGGCGTCATTCATTTGTTTTTGGTGTTGTAAACAACAACAACAACAACAACAGCCAAACCAGTTGGCTAATATTTATCTCGAGTCATCCGTGTCATCCGTCATTATTTCCCAGGTTGACTTATGCAGATAATTAAAACAGCGAGAAAACAGGTGATTGGCGCCTTAATAATGGCTTCACACTTGGTGTAAAATGGAGGAAAAAACAAATGAATTGCCGGCGTCTGTCTCGGGTCGGGTTGCCAGTCAATGTTTTTATGGTGTTTGGGTCGGGCGGCCGCGTTCCTAAATCTGCTTTTTCCGTGATTTTCCCGCTGGCTGGTGAGCCCTGAGGTCCAGGAGGACGTAGTGGGTGTGTCGTGCTGGTAATGGCGCCTGTGTGAGCGTCGTTAGCGGGAATAAAGCGCCGGGTTATGGCGGGAAACGACCTGGTGGTTGGGTAATTTTATCTGGCGCTAAACTGCGCGTTGTTCCCACCACAAACATTGATGCAATTGGCGGGTAATGGAGGATAATGTTGTGGTGGTGAGGGCGGCAGGAGGGCGTGAAAGGCAGTAATGACAAGACACGTTGTGTGTGTGTGGGGGGGGGATCTATCCTCGTTTTGGGGGGGGGAAGCATTTTCTTTCACCTGATGCCGCTGTTCACACGGCAGTTTCATAAGTCCCCGGGATTAAAGTAGCTGTTTTGTGGTGTTGCATCGTGGAGAAGGTCAGGTAGGCTAGGAAGGACCTCAATAAGTCTCACAGGGGTTTGTGTCCCTAAAGTATGGGTCCCCAGCTTGCTGGCGCACAATTTGACTGGCATTGTCAAATAGTGGCCAAACATTTTCATGAAATTCATGTTCTCATCAAAATCATTCCATTGTTAAGTTAGCTTACGCTAACTTAAGGTTGGCTTTTAAGTGAGCGCGTTAGTTTGTGTGGAAGTCCAGGAAGGGTAAGGTTAGGCTGGGTTTACAGGTCGGCCGTGAATTGTGGTGTGTACGATGTGACTCGTGTCCTCACAAGCGGGTTTTAAAAGTTTCCTCGGCCAAGTGAGCTGTGTGTCTTGAGAATTTTGGAAATTGCTTTGTTTTGACTGCCCAACCACTTAGGGTGGACGGTAGAGAGAGACGGTCTTGCTTCATGCAGGTCGGCGTTCAATCTCTGACTGTCCAAGTGATTGGGCACCATTCCTTCCCCCGTCCCATCCCAAATCCTTATCCTGACCAGTGCTATATAGTCGTAATGGCTTAGCGCTTTCCCCCTGATAGTTCCCTTCCCTTTGTTACAACTGTGCCCCATTGGCGAGGAATGTTGCATAGTTGTCACTTTCTAACTGTTGCAGCTTTATGTATCGTTAGGATGGATTAGATTGGGTTGGTTAGGTTAGGTAACATAAATTGTACAAAAACTTAACAATTCGTCTATAAACTTCCTTGTGTATAAAATAACCTGCGTTGGATTGTATCATTTATAGCCATTTGCTACATAGCTTTTTCAGTTTTTTTAATTCTGTGTATTGTAAAGTTAGGCTGAACTAGGCTAGGCATTGTTGATTGATTCAGCTATGTCAGGTTAACTAGGTTTAATGAAAGAATTAAACAACAACATTGTATTTTATGACTTGGCAATGTTTTGAAGATTGTAAACTTAAATACGTACAGGATAAGCCGCCATGATCGAGAAAGATGCAAATGTTTCTGAAATGGAGTGAGAAATGGTTGGTGAATCCTGGTCACAGGTATACTCCTCCTGTGAGTGGTGGTGGAGAAGGTTACCGAGGCATTTAATGTCCTTAAGAACTACACCCTAAGCCTCTCGGTTTTTGTCCCGAGTTTTTTCTGTGTGTTTTGTGTGGTCGGGTGAAAGGTGAGGTGGGCAGTGCCTGGCGACCCTGTTGGAACATAGGTGCTGTTATCTGGTCACATTTGGCGCTAGTTGTCACCTGCACTAGCTAGCTGTTACTAACAAACTCATCGGTGCACATTAATGCCTAATTATATGGTCATTATTATTATATAATGCTCATTAGTGTGTCATTATTAGGTGTTCCAGGCTGGATAGTCTTCTCCAATTTTGTCCTTGTCCCAGTAGTTCCTATGGGCCAGTGGGTATGTTTGAGAAGATTCACGGTATGCTCTCACAAGTGGAGCCTGGCCTCAGGCTGGGCTTGAGGAGCAGAACAACTCTCGGAATCCACTCCAGGTACAATTCAGGTGCCAGGACAAAATGTCAACCTGCCTGATTATATTTAGTCTTGGTCCTGGGGAGAACAGGACAGTGCTGAAGTGAATAACCTTGTGATCACCTTGTGATGGTTTCAGGGCTTTAGAGTCCCCGCGGCCGGGTCCCCGCGGCCGGGTCCCCGCGGCCGGGTCCCCGCAGCCGGGTCCCCGCGGCCCAGTCCCCGCAGCCCGATCCCCTTGGCCCGGACCCCGCAGCCCGATCCTCTCGGCCCGGTCCTTGCCCAGGCCTCCCTTGCTGAACTGGTCAATCAGGCTGTTGGATGCGGCTACTCGCAGTCTGACATATGAGTCACAGCCTGGTTGATGTGACATTTCATGACACCCAAGTGACATTTCCAGAAAGTTGCTTTTCGTCTACATCATAGTACAATTATCTTGTTTTGTTTTGTTATTAATATTTATTTGTAAAGGGCTCTTCCCTTCCCATTGAAAGTGGGAATGGGATAATTATAGTACTATACTAATAATTGTCTTGTTTTGTTTCCAGAGTAAATATATCAAGGTGAGCACTGGTGGGCTGGGAGCTTCAGAAGTGAAGGTGGCAGTTGGCCTGCTGTCTCAGCGGCAGGCAAGATGCATCTCTACAACCTTACCTTGCAGCGTGCTTCGGGAATCACTCATGCCGTCCATGGCAACTTCTCCGGCACACGCACCCAGGAACTGGTGGTGTCTCGGGGACGCTCATTGGAGCTCCTCCGTCCCGATCCCAACACTGGCAAGGTGAGAACTGTCTCGTATGTTGCATTGGCACGAATCGACTATTTCCTCAGTAATATACTACGCTGTACTGTATTCTCATCACACTTTCCTCTGTAATATATCATTCTCATCATTATTATAGTTCTCAAAGCTCTCAAAGCTCTCAAAATGTACACTCTGGAAAGGAGACGAGAAAGGTATCAAATAATATATACATGGAAGATACTGAAAGGCCACATCTCAGATTTGAACAGTAGAATGACATACTGGAGCGAAAGGTATGGAAGGAAATGCAGAATAGAACCAGTGGGGAGTAGAGGTGCCATATGCACAATCAAAGAGCACTGTCTGAACATCAGAGGTCCACGGCTGTTCAATACCCTCCCAGCAAGCATTAGAAATACTGTATTGCAGAAACCAAGATGGATATCTTCAAGAAATCTTTAGATAATTTCCTGCATGAAGTGCCGGACCAACCGGGTTGTAGTGGATATGAAGGTTTCGGGCTGCTCCAAGCAGTATTGGTCTGTTGGTCCAAGTTAGTGCAAGTCGAGCCTGGTTCCAGGCCAAGCTCGGGGCGTAGATGAAGTCACAACCCCTGCCCCCCCCCCCATCCCTTCAAGTATGCTCTAGGTCAGTGGTCACCAACCGGTGGTCTGCGAGGCAATTTTTTTGTATATTGTATGTAACTATTGTATTTTTTAACTGTTATATTTAATTTTAATGGCTTCAAATAGTTTGACTATAATAACTATCATTTCTTGTTTGGTGGACTGCAGGATTCACATTAGGTGGTCTGTGGGATTTAAAATTCTGAATTAGGTGAACCATGAGCTCCAAGAGGTTGGCGACTGCTGCTCTAGGTACAGTAGTTGTATACTAATATTACACTATTACACTTGTATACTATCATCATTATTTTCACACACAAATCACACTAATGTGATATCAATGAGGAATTCAGTGGATTTTTCTCATCATCCTTATTATTCACAAACATATCCAGTCCGTCAGGAGACCTTTATCATTGCTGGTACTCGCATCGTTGTGCTTGCAGGAGGTTAAGCTTCGGCTCTTTGGTGCATGTGCTGTAAGAACATGACAACATGAGAATTAAACTATAATAACATGACAACATGAGAATTTAAGAAGCGAATATAAGAATTAAGGATGTAGCAGAAGGTCTATTTGTTGATACTAGGCAGCTCCAATTGGTTCATACGAGGCAGCTCCAATTGGTTCATACGAGGCAGCTCCAATTGGTCCATACGAGGCAGCTCCAATTGGTCCATACGAGGCAGCTCCAATTGGTCCATACGAGGCAGCTCCAATTGGTCCATACGAGGCAGCTCCAATTGGTCCATACGAGGCAGCTCTAATTGGTCTGTACAAGGCAGCTCCTATTGGCCCATATGAGGCACCTCATGTTATGGTCCTTGAGATTCACTCAAAACACTGGTTGAAAGCTCTAATCATCTGCTACCTCTGAGAAAGAAAAATATCGACTTCCCAAAATAATTTCTCTGGAAAAACATGGTAGTGGAGTATTCATGTCTTGAGGTCCTTCTAGCAGTCACAAGTTTTAACATGATTTGAGCGTTAATTAGGATGACTGGTCATTCACATAAATTAGGAAGAGCAGGGGTCCCAGGACAGCCCTGTAGGACCCCACTTGTTACATTCCTCCAGCGTGATGCCTCCTCTCCGACTTACTATTTATTATAGGTCCTTGGGACACTTTAATAAAGCATTTGTGGTGCCTGGATGAGAGAGTACAGAAGACTATCCCCATAGTAAAGGACGGTTGTTAAAGGGAGTACTGTAAAGCGGTTTGAATAAAGATAAATTATTAAAGGAGGAGTTTGAAATTTTCAATAATTCGTTAGTTTCTAACCTTCTCATTGCTTGGCACTTGAGTGCCCTATCTAGCCTGGCTGATAATATATTTGGTAATTGTCACCTTTGATTTCTTATCATTTTGCTCCAGATAATCTGTTCACACCTGTCTCTGTCAAGTGTGAACTATCTAAACATGAGATGACATGGGCATTTTGGGGTATATATCTGGTATCATTAGTTATCGACTCACCGAAGGTTAACATACCCTATTAATAAAAAAAAAGTACCTCCAACATTTTTTATTATTTTGGAATTACCATACGTTTAAGGGACTACGTGATGTTCCTGGTGGGCTTTATATTTCACTTGTGTTTTCTGGTCAGTGCTATGAAATGTTAGTTTTAGACACCTGATACACAAAGTTACTGATCTTTATACGCCATAATCTACATTTCTAGAGGTGCAAATTTGCATTAAAAACCACTTGCTGCTATTGAAATGTTTAATTTTGTTAGAGATTGACGAGGTTATTGTTAATAGCTGGAGTAGAGGACACATGAAGGGGACACGTATGTGATAACATAGAGGATAATGTATCCTGTAAGACATGCTGTTTGAAAATGATGTGACGGGTGAGGAACTGCTTCCATGCATGTGTTGATCTCGTCAGCTGTGACGGCCTATAGGTTCACAGTGCCCCCCAGGCTGCCAAGTCGTACCCGTGAGCCCAGGTGTGGGGCGTGCTTGTGATAAAGGGTCATTGGTCCCCCACACCGTGGTAATGGACACTGTGATAACACATCTTGCCCAACCATGCACCAAATGTTACACAATCATTTGGCAGTCGAGCGAGTTAACGTGGTTGTAGACCCGGCACAAAAAATAGTGGTAGGGTTGTTGTTTTTGGTGCTAAAAGTTGGTCTGTGACATTGATCAAAGTCACGTTTCTGTGCCGTTACTCGGCAAACCCCCCTCTGAGGAGTGCTGCTGTTGAGCCAAATGATGACTTAAGAATGACGGTAACTGTAGAAGGCCTATTGGCCCATGTGAGACCAAGCTAGTAGTTATACACAACCAAACTGGTGTGTGTGTGTAACCTTCTGTTAAAGGTAATCCAGTGATAGCACATCTAGTGTGTGTCACCTGGTAGTTGGTTGCACTGACCAATAACCATGTTTCCCTAATTATTATTTACTCGAGTTTCTCTGAATCTAAAATTACAATTTGTTGATATTTTGTATTGATTTACTTCATAGGTAACATATTTATATCCCTCTTCTTATACCCTTTCATCCATTTGTATACTTCAGTTATGTCACCCCCCCTTATGATGTCACCCCCCCTTATGATGTCACCCCCCCTTATGATGTCACCCCCCCTTATGATGTCACCCCCCCTTATGATGTCACCCCCCCTTATGATGTCACCCCCCCTTATGATGTCACCCCCCCTTATGATGTCACCCCCCCTTACTCTACTCATTATTAGGCAACAGAAATTACTTTTTTTTTTCTTTTTTCTTTGTAACATCTCCACATGGGAGGTTCCTAACTCTTGGGATTCACTTCACCAACCTGTAGAAGACTTGTATAAAGAGTCTTGGCTGCAGATGTAACTTTCTAATATGGAGAAAATCAGTAGGATCCATGAGGATTTAAACCTATGCATTAAACCCAAGCAAATGCTCTAGACCACTACACCACGGCATGGTCAAAAGCATCGCAACCTGGGATTCAGCTGAATCCTCTAGGGTTCCTGAGGTTCCCACAGAAGCCTAATCAGGGTTTCACACACTGCCCCTTCCTCCCCTCCCTCCCCCTTCCCATGCACCCTGGCTTGTAGTGTAGGAATTTAACCTCCTACAACCTCAGATCTCCAAAGGGGCCTGACAGCTGAGTGGACAGCGCTCAGGATTCGTAGTCCTGAGGTTCCGGGGTTCGATTCCCGGTGGAGGCGGAAACAAATGGGCAGTTTCTTTCACCCTGATGCCCCTGTTCATCTAGTAGTAAATAGGTACCTGGCAGTTAGACAGCTGCTATGGGCTGCTTCCTGGGGGGGGTGTATAGAAAAGGCCTGGTCGAGGACCGGGCCACGGGGACGCTAAACCCTGAAATAATCTGGAGATAACCTCCTGCACTTCAAATGCACAAAGAAAGCACATTAATGTGATGTATCGGTGAGAAAATAAGAGCCGTGAGGAGGATTCCTACTGACTTTCTCCGTGATGCATCATGGTAATGTGATTCCTTTTGTACATTTGAAGAGAATCATAGGAGGTAGAATTCCTGGACTACAAGCCAGAGTGCATTTATAATTATATAGCGGTCCATAGCTCTCTTGTGAGCATAAATGCTGCGTCTGCTGCATTATGTCATCAAGGGGGTCCTTACATATACTGTGTGGAGTTGTGAAATAATCTAACAAAAGTTTTAATTCTTTATAAATGTTTGTTTCAAATTAACATTCAAAATGTCATTTCTCTTTACCCTATCATATACTGTATATACAGAATTTCATATAAATTAAACAATAAAAACTGACACCAGTTTTTGGACTGGGTCTTTGGATGCAGTAGTTACCCCTTAATTATACACAAGTGTTGTTTTCTTTTGTTATGATGAAAGGAATTAAAGCCCTCTGACTGCAGTTATCATAAACAGTGCAACGCTGTCTCGGCAGGAAAAACAATTGTAGTCACAACATTAAGAACGTCCTTGTAGTTGTTATTGAAGAAATGACATACAGTATCTTGCAGGTTCATACCATTCTGACGACGGACATATTTGGGGTGATCCGCTCGCTGATGGCCTTCAGACTGACTGGAGGCAATAAAGGTACGTCTTAAGCAGCTTACCAATATCTCTGTTTTGATGACGATTGTAGATGTAGATGTGCGGTTGTGTCTCTTATTGTTATTCATGGACATGTTTCCCAGAGTATTCCTGCAATATACCTGGAATGTTGTTGTTGTTAAAGATTCGCTACCTGGAACAAAGTTCCAAGTAGCACGGGCTATGGTGAGCCCGTAACATACCTGGAGTGGGTTCTGGGAATAGTTCTACTCCCCAAGCTCAGCCCAGGGTCAGGCTTGACTTGTGGTAACACGGTCCTATAGGTCCTTGGAGAGGTACAAAAGTGGACATTTTCAAAAGAAAATGTTCTTGTTCCTGCAAGAAGTGCCGGACCAACCGGGTTCGTAGTGGATATGTAGGCCTGCGGGCCACTTCAAGCCAGACCCTCAGGTGTGTGTGTGTGTGTACTTACCTAATTGTTCTTGCGGGGGTTGAGCTCTGGCTCTTTGGTCCCGCCTCTCAACTGTCAACCAACTAATGTCCAGGTTCCTGAGCCTATTGGGCTCTATCATATCTACACTTGAAGCTGTGTATGGAGTCAGCCTCCACCACATCACTTCCTAATGCATTCCATTTGTCTACTACTCTGAAAATGAAAAAAATTCTTTCTAACGTCTCTATGGCTCATTTGGGCACTCAGTTTCCACCTGTGTCCCCTAGTGCATGTGCCCCTTGTGGTAAATAGTCTGTCTTTATCTACCTTATCAATTCCTCTGAGAATCTTATATGTGGTGATCATGTCTCCCTCTAACTCTTCTGTCTCCCAGTGACGTGAGGTTTAATTCCCGTAGTCTCTCCTCGTAGCTCATACCTCTCAGCTCAGGTACTAGTCTGGTGGCAAACCATTGAACCTTTTTCAGCTAAGTCTTATTCTTCACTTGATATGGACTCCATGCTGGGGCTGCATACTCCAGGATTGGTCTGACATATGTGGTATACAAAGTTCTGAAGGATTCCTTACACAAGTTTCTAAAGGTAGTTCTTATGTTAGCCAACGTGGCATATGCCGCTGATGTTATCTCTGATCTCTGGGTAGGCGGGAGTATAACCCACCCTCTCGGTGTATTTAAACTGAAAGTTTACGTAGCCCTTAAATGGCTCTGGTCATTTTCTATAATTACCTCTTGTACTTGATTTGACAAATTGTTGTTTTTAAATTAGTTTTGTGACTTGACCTGCGCACTACAATGTAGGACTTTGAATTACCGGAGCTGTTTAAGGGTTAATCTTCAACTCTTTCACAAGCAATTTCTGTTTTGTGTTTGTTAAATCCTCTGTAATCCAGTTGACTATCTGTCAGCTACTCTATCTTATCATCTAGTTTATGAGTCAGATGTATGGGGACGTAGGTGTCAGACGTATGGGGATGGAGGTGTCAGACGTACGGGGATGGAGGTGTCAGACTTATGGGGACGGAGGTGTCGGACGTACGGGGACGTAGGTGTCAGACGTACGGGGATGGAGGTGTCAGACGTACGGGGATGGAGGTGTCAGACTTATGGGGACGGAGGTGTCGGACGTACGGGGACGGAGGTGTCGGACGTACGGGGACGTAGGTGTCAGACGTACGGGGATGGAGTTGTCAGACTTATGGGGACGGAGGTGTCGGACGTACTGTACGGGGACGGAGGTGTCGGACGTACGGGGACGGAGGTGTCGGACGTACGGGGACGTAGGTGTCAGACGTACGGGGATGGAGGTGTCAGACTTATGGGGACGGAGGTGTCGGACGTACTGTACGGGGACGGAGGTGTCGGACGTACGGGGACGGAGGTGTCGGACATACATTGACGTAGGTGTCAGACGTACGGGGAAGGAGGTGTCAGACGTACGGGGATGGAGGTGTCAGACGTATGGGGACGGAGGTGTCGGACGTACAGGGACGGAGGTGTCGGACGTACGGGGACGTAGGTGTCGGACGTACGGGGATGGAGGTGTCAGACGTATGGGGACGGAGGTGTCAGACGTACGGGGACGGAGGTGTCAGACGCACGGGGACGTAGGTGTCAGACGTATGGGGACGGAGGTGTCGGACGTACAGGGACGTAGGTGTCGGACGTACGGGGACAGGTGTCGGACGTACGGGGACAGAGGTGTCGGACGTACGGGGACGGAGGTGTCGGACGTACGGGGACGGCGGTGTCGGACGTACGGGGATGGAGGTGTCGGACGCACGGGGGCGGAGGTGTCGGACGCACGGGGGCGGAGGTGTGGGACGCACGGGGGCGGAGGTGTGGGACGCACGGGGGCGGAGGTGTGGGACGCACGGGGGCGGAGGTGTGGGACGCACGGGGGCGGGGGCGGAGGTGTGGGACACGGGGGCGGACGGGGGCGGAGGGTGTCGGACGCACGGAGGTGTGGGACGGGGCGGAGGTGTGGGACGCACGGGGGCGGAGGTGTGGGACGCACGGGGGCGGAGGTGTCGGACGCACGGGGGCGGAGGTGTGGGACGCACGGGGGCGGAGGTGTGCGACGCACGGGGGCGGAGGTGTGGGACGCACGGGGGCGCACGCACGGGGGCGGAGGTGTCGCACGCACGGGGGCGGAGGTGTCGGACGCACGGGGGCGGAGGTGTGGGACGCACGGGGGCGGAGGTGTCGGACGCACGGGGGCGGAGGTGTCGGACGCACGGGGGCGGAGGTGTCGGACGCACGGGGGCGGAGGTGTGGGACGCACGGGGGCGGAGGTGTGGGACGCACGGGGGCGGAGGTGTGGGACGCACGGGGGCGGAGGTGTGGGACGCACGGGGGCGGAGGTGTCGGACGCACGGGGGCGGAGGTGTCGGACGCATGGGGACGGAGGTGTTGAAGGTCCTGGCAAGCGAGGATGATGCACTCGGGGCTCGAGCTACTTGAAGATCTCTTGCAGTCTCCTGTTCTGTTCTTCACAAACCTTCCTGTCACTTTTTTATAAGACCTTTTTTTAATATAACAAGATGGTTTCTTGTTGATTTCATCTTCTGGAACCTTGATTGATGGGTTTTGCCAGTATTATACTTCCATGCTGCCTCTCTGCTTCTCTTCTCTCTCTCTAGAGGTCTTATTTCTGGCCCTCTGTAGTGCCTGGTTTGTTTCTCAGCTCCCTCCCAGCCTTCATGTTGGTGGTGTTGGCCTCCTTGTATGTTTCTCAGCTGCCTCCCAGCCTTCATGTTGGTGGTGTTGACCTTGTATGTTTCTCAGCTCCCTCCCAGCCTTCATGTTGGTGGTGTTGACCTCCTTGTATGTTTCTCAGCTCCCTCCCAGCCTTCATGTTGGTGGTGTTGGCCTCCTTGTATGTTTCTCAGCTGCCTCCCAGCCTTCATGTTGGTGGTGTTGGCCTCCTTGTATGTTTCTCAGCCTCCCAGCCTTCATGTTGGTGGTGTTGACCTCCTTGTATGTTTCTCAGCTCTCTCCCAGCCTTCATGTTGGTGGTGTTGACCTCCTTGTATGTTTCTCAGCTCCCTCCCAGCCTTCATGTTGGTGGTGTTGGCCTCCTTGTATGTTTCTCAGCTCCCTCCCAGCCTTCATGTTGGTGGTGTTGGCCTCGTTGTATGTTTCTCAGCTCTCTCCCAGCCTTCATGTTGGTGGTGTTGACCTTGTATGTTTCTCAGCTCCCTCCCAGCCTTCATGTTGGTGGTGTTGGCCTCCTTGTATGTTTCTCAGCTCCCTCCCAGCCTTCATGTTGCTGGTGTTGACCTCCTTGTATGTTTCTCAGCTCCCTCCCAGCCTTCATGTTGGTGGTGTTGACCTCCTTGTATGTTTCTCAGCTCCCTCCCAGCCTTCATGTTGGTGGTGTTGGCCTCCTTGTATGTTTCTCAGCTGCCTCCCAGCCTTCATGTTGGTGGTGTTGACCTCCTTGTATGTTTCTCAGCTCCCTCCCAGCCTTCATGTTGCTGGTGTTGGCCTCCTTGTATGTTTCTCAGCTCCCTCCCAGCCTTCATGTTGCTGGTGTTGACCTCCTTGTATGTTTCTCAGCTCCCTCCCAGCCTTCATGTTGGTGGTGTTGACCTCCTTGTATGTTTCTCAGCTCCCTCCCAGCCTTCATGTTGGTGGTGTTGGCCTCCTTGTATGTTTCTCAGCTGCCTCCCAGCCTTCATGTTGGTTGTGTTGACCTCCTTGTATGTTTCTCAGCTCCCTCCCAGCCTTCATGTTGCTGGTGTTGGCCTCCTTGTATGTTTCTCAGCTCCCTCCCAGCCTTCATGTTGGTGGTGTTGACCTCCTTGTATGTTTCTCAGCTCCCTCCCAGCCTTCATGTTGGTGGTGTTGGCCTCCTTGTATGTTTCTCAGCTGCCTCCCAGCCTTCATGTTTCTGGTGGTGTGGTGTTGCCTCCTTGTATGTTTCTCAGCTCCCTCCCAGCCTTCATGTTGCTGGTGTTGGCCTCCTTGTATGTTTCTCAGCTCCCTCCCAGCCTTCATGTTGGTGGTGTTGACCTCCTTGTATGTTTCTCAGCTCCCTCCCAGCCTTCATGTTGGTGGTGTTGACCTTGTATGTTTCTCAGCTCCCTCCCAGCCTTCATGTTGGTGGTGTTGGCCTCCTTGTATGTTTCTCAGCTCCCTCCCAGCCTTCATGTTGCTGGTGTTGGCCTCCTTGTATGTTTCTCAGCTCCCTCCCAGCCTTCATGTTGGTGGTGTTGACCTCCTTGTATTATTATTAACCTGGGAGTTAATCTGGTCTCTCTCATACTTCTATGTGTGGTTTGTACGTATATGAACATGAAAAAAAATTAAACTGCAGAAGGCCTATAGGCCCATTACAGGCAGTTCCTATTAATGTCCACTCCAGACTTATTCTTACACATGTTAGACCTGCTCCGGAAACAGTTGAGCTGTCAAGCGTCTATTAAGTGATCTGGTAATTCGTTCTATAAATTAACAACCAGTATTTATCTGGGTCTTTCCTGAATTTAGGCTTATCTATTTTGTATCTATTGTTTTGCGTTCTGTTGTGCGCTGATATATTTAATACCTTACTTATACCCCTCTTTGTTATATTCTTTCATCTGTTTGTTTACTTCAATCATGCCAGCCCATACTCTTCACTTTTCTAGTATATGTTAATTAAGGTTTCATACTCTCATAAAGGCTCACGTGCGTTTATGGGCCGACTAGTCGCCTAGTCTTCTTTACAATGTCTACCTCTTCAGAGGGTGGGAGGAATCATCGGGGGAAAGTGCCAATCCTTTACAACTATATAGCACTTGGAAGTGGCCAGGATAAGGATTAGGGATGAGACGGGGAGGAAGGAATGGTGCCCAGCACCTTGGACAGTTGAGGAATTGAACACTGGCCTGCATGATGTGAGACCATTGTTCTACCGTCCAGCTCAAGTGGTTGGACTACCTCTTCAGAGTAGTGAGCTCTAGCTGTAGGGTCCTGCCTCGTAGCTTTGTATGGAGGTGGCTCCCAGCACCTCTGCTGTAATGTGTGCCCAACTGACTTGACACCCTCCACATGTGTTCCACTGTTCTGTTTTCCCTCTTTTTTTTAGCATGAACTGAACTGTATGTGACTAAAACATGAAAGTAAACTTTGTCCGTAACTTTACTGAAGTGAAGACTGATTATTTTTGTACCGATCACTGATTTAGTGTGTGAGATTAATTTACTTTTTTCAGACTATGTTGTTGTTGGCTCTGATTCTGGACGAATTACCATCTTGGAGTACAATCAGGCCAAGAACCAGTTCGAGAGAATCCACATGGAGACCTTCGGCAAGAGCGGGTGTCGACGTATCGTCCCTGGACAGTACCTGGCCATTGACCCTAAGGGAAGAGCTGTCATGATTGGTAAGTCCCTGTTTTAACAGCCACGCTAAAGTATTTTAGCTTGGCGGTTTAAAGTTTTTTAAAAGGTGCACAAGATACAGCCAGCTTTGTGTACCTTGACACAGTCTTCTATAACTCTTATAATTGAAGGTGATGGGACTAAGTCGTATACAGGTAATCTTCTGCTTGCACGGAACTAGTGTTCCTGGTAAACTTATATAAAGCCAAACTCGCGCAAATCTAAATTAAAGGTACAGTACTGTCGGGGAAATATAGTTATACCCCACAGTCGCAGTCAAGAGATGTGGGTAAGTGGGTAAGGTGGTCGGGGTGTTTTTTTGTACTGTCGGCCACTTCACTAGCACAAGTATTGAATGGCTCCTCATCCCTTGCTAACAAAAAGGGGGCCTGGTTGAGGACTGGGCCGCGGGGGACGCTAAGCCCCAAATTCATCTCAAGATAACCTCAAGATACGTGTCATATTTGCCAAAGAATTTTTCACCTTTATCATTAGATTCTATTCTATTGGTCTTACAATGTTTTTCCAGCTAGAGGTAATTGCCCTGGGCATCCATCTATTATTCTCAAGTCATTTTGGAGGCAGAACGCCACATGTGATGGATCGTGTCCATGGTCGCAACCATACCCTTGGCTACTCCATAGTTGGAAAGCCATACACAGCTCCCATGTCATGGCATCATTACCCCAACATCATCAGTATATAAATTAGCATTAAATATTAATGTCAAGTGTAGGGAAGATACAAATTCAAGTAGAAAAATAATCTCCTCGGAATTGCCTTGCGTGACCTATGAGGGTGTTTACTTGTGAACACTGAACAAATCACACTGTGCATCAAAACCTTTCTGTTCATCCCAGACCAGGGAATGTTGGAAACCTTTACCCTTAAAGTGCACATATCATACATATTAACCTTTTCACATTTTTGTCCCTTACCAATTTTGGGCACTACCAGTGTCTTGGGTCAAACGCAAATCGCTTAGCGATATTGTTTACTTCCAACGCATACTGTGAAGTTACTATGCATGGTAAGATGTTCAATTTGGTATCGTTCTTTTAAGCTAAAGAGTTGTACTTTTTCATGGTAGTTTAAAAAATGCAATAAAACCAAATAAAATAAAAAGGCGAGTTAAAGTTAGTTGACATGACGTTGAAAAGGATGACTACAGTCGTCAGTGAAATGTTCAGGCATTTTGAGCAGATGACAACTCTTGAAAAGTTAAAAAAACTCATAATTTTTCCTTTGCTCATAGCATGGATTTTAACAGTATAGGAAAACAAAAACTATTATTTTTGTTTGCATAGACATTAGTAGGCATCCATCAGTCTCGGGAGACTATGGAGTTGCGCTCTAGTTGTAGGTCTGGTGTGACCTCTCCAGGGCGCAAAGCCAGGGTAGGTTGATATGGGGGAGAAGCTGTTACCCATGCAGCAGGTCAATGATAGACATAATGTTTGATATATCCTGTATGCATTTCAAGGGCTGATGTTGGCGTTCTTTTCCCAGGGGCCGTCGAGAAGCAGAAGCTGGTGTACATCCTCAACCGAGATGCTGCAGCCAGACTCACCATCTCGTCGCCCCTGGAGGCCCACAAGAGCAACACGCTCGTGTATCACACCGTTGGCGTTGATGTTGGCTTTGAAAATCCTCTGTTTGCGTGCTTAGAGATTGACTATGAGGTGAGTCCTTATATAACCGAAAGGTGATTTCATGAGCCAAGTTCGTATGATTGAGAGTGAGAGGAACGCCTTGAGGAGAGTCCAAAATGAGGGTATAATGTACTTTAGTTCCCACAAGTGAGGGCACAGTAATCCCCTAGATCACCAACCCACAAGTGTGGGTACAGTAATCCCTAGACCCCCAACCCACAAGTGTGGTACATTAATCCCTAGACCCCCAACCCACAAGTGTGGGTACAATAATCCCTAGACCCCCAACCCACAAGTGTGGTACATTAATCCCTAGACCCCCAACCCACAAGTGTGGGTACAGTAATCCCTAGACCCCCAACCCACAAGTGTGGTACAATAATCCCTAGACCCCAACCCACAAGTGTGGTACAATAACCCCTAGACCCCCAACCCACAAGTGTGGTACAATAATCCCTAGACCCCCAACCCACAAGTGTGGGTACAATAATCCCTAGACCCCCAACCCACAAGTGTGGGTACAATAATCCCTAGACCCCCAACCCACAAGTGTGGTACAATAACCCCTAGACCCCAACCCACAAGTGTGGTACAATAACCCCTAGACCCCCAACCCACAAGTGTGGTACAATAACCCCTAGACCCCCAACCCACAAGTGTGGGTACAATAACCCCTAGACCCCCAACCCACAAGTGTGGGTACAAGTGTGGTACAATCCCTAGACCCCCAACCCACAAGTGTGGTACCCCTAGACCCCCAACCCACAAGTGTGGTACAATAACCCCTAGACCCTCAACCCACAAGTGTGGGTACAATAACCCTAGACCCCCAACCCACAAGTGTGGTACATTAATCCCTAGACCCCAACCCACAAGTCAATTTAAAGTGTGTGTGGTGAACGACGAGAAGGTTGAAGTATAGGAATATGTATATAAAGTAATGTATAAGAATATGCATATAAAGTATAAGAATGTTCATATGAAGTATAGGAACATTCATATACTGTAACTGCATATATACTTTACATATTACTACACTGTGATTTGTCTGTCTTCTTTTTTCCTATGCTTTCTTTCAATATGTGAATGATTATTAGAGCTAAGAATTTAAGAGGACCGAGTAAGGAAGAGTGTAGCATTACACGAGAATAGCAACAAGTAAGCGTGTGAGGACTGAGAGTGATGCCAGTGTGGAGGCCTGAGCAGAGGTTCAACTTTAACAGGACTGAGTAGAGGAGCCTTTTGGAATTATATATTACTGAGAGGAATGCCAGTATGGTTGTGATAGGGAGGAGGAGTGGTTGTTGTTATTATACATTTAGCTACTTGGAACGAAATGTCCATGTAGCACGGGCTATGGTGACGGGCTCACCGTAGAGGAGTGGGAGAGGGAGGCAATATATGGCAATAGGGAAGGTGTATATATATATATATATGGCAATAGGGAAGGTGTATATAAATTAGCAAATTCCACTTACTTTGGCTGTGAGGGCGTGGACAAGGTGCGCTGTGACGTCATCAGGGGCTGGTCGCCCGTGTGTGAAGCTCCCAGACACGGTCGCGCAGGCCATTCAAGCACCGCGTGTTGCCACAAATATATTTTCAAATATTTTTCCTATGCATTTCCAATGCGGTTTTGTTTGTTTCTTTTATCGTATATGATGCATATTTGTGACCTTTACAATATGTATACAATAGAATGTTCATAATTTTCCATGAAACTGTGATACATGTGTCAGTAATGTGTCCACAATAAATGTTTGTCACAATATTACGTGGTAAAAATGCACTAATATTACAATATGTACAGTTTCACATACTATTTACACAGTAACACACTGTATTACACACTCAGTACTTTGGAGGTGTGTAATAGTCAACGAAGTAGTCCATGGTACACAGCGCGACTTTGCTCTCCTTGCACCAGCTACAGATAGATTTTCGTTTCCTGTTTCATCGTTCTGTGTGCTTGCAAATAATGCACTCGTGTGCACCCTTGGCTTTAGTACTTGTAGGTGGTATGTAGCCAAGCTTGTAAAGCATAAAGTAGTATTGAAACGATTATAGGAAAAGCTCAATTTGTAAGGTAGTCTTGAAAAGATCGCTTTGTAAGGTCCCACACAGGAAGAGATTCAGCTAGCCTCAAAGAGTGTCCATCAGTCAGGAAGAGATTCAGGTAGCCTCAAAGAGTGTCCATCAGTCAGGAAAAGATTCAGGTATTCTTAAAATATCAATGAACACCACCACCATGGAAGCCGCTAACACTGTTCATCTATGCTACTTGTATCAGATGCATCATCACTGAACGCAGAAAACGATTCATCTATGTATCATCTATATACATTAGAGATGGCATGGGTGGGGCTCAGAGCTACACCTGGATACGCTCGCTGTATCATCCTCATAGGTGCTGTATCACAGGCATCCGACCGTTGTGTTAAGCCCTTATTGCGCCTAGCTTCACCAATGTTATGACCCTTATGTTCTTCAAACAATAGGGTCTGAATTGCACTGACTGAGTACAGTCTTTCAACACCGTGTGGGACAGGTGTTTGAGAGCCAGAGGCACGTGTGCTACAAATGGTTGCTCACGCAGTACTAACCCAGCCAGCAGCCCTTGTCTTTCATATTCGTTATAGCAAAAGGTTCGTTCAGTGTTTGTTGGGTAGGCTGCTCCATTATGACAATCTTTCTTTGTTTCAAATGTGTTCCATTTGTTTTGTATTTATCACTTACGTCTCAATAATGGAGCAGCCTACCCGACAAACACTGAACGAACCTTTATGACATTTGTCCATTTTTCAAATTGTTTCAACAGTTCTTTTATTTTTCGTTTTTTTTTTTTTTTTTTAAGAAACATGGAGCAGTCGACCTGTAGACCACCGAACGAACATTTTTGACATTTGTACTGGTTTTCAAAATTCTTCATATTTTTTATTATTTACGTTTTTTGTATGTAAGAAACATGGAGCAGCCTACCTGCCGACCACCGAACGAACCTTTTGCTATAAGACAAATGAAAAATAAATATTGAACACATTTGAAGAAAGGAAAATGTCATAATGGTTTATTCAGTGTATGTAAGGTTGCTTCTCCATTATTGAGACGTAAATGACAAATAAAAAACAAATGGAACACATTTGAAACAAAGAAAGATTGTTATAATGGAGCAGCCTACCTGCCGAACACCGAACGAACTTTTTTGACATTTGTTGTATATCAGATATTTCATTTCTTTTTTCCTACAAAAACGTCAATGCTTTGCAACATCTCAGCAGTCACCCTTTTATATCCCAGCATCATTAGCATCTTTAAACAAGAACAACATAATTTATGTGCATCGTCGGAGGCGTCTAAGAATGTGCAAGCAGCAGCGCGACCCCACCATGTGGTGTTGACGTTACTCAAACCAGCGTTCGTCATACGGGACGATTTGACGCCGATCGGGCCGTTCGTTACCCAAAATATTCGTCTTTTGGGGCAATCGTTATGCGAGGTACCACTGTATATATATATATGGCAATAGGGAAGGTGTATATATATATATATATGGCAATAGGGAAGGTGTATGTATATATGTATGGCTTAGGAAAGTGTAGCAGTAAAACATGAAGACCAAGGGGTCTTGACAGCTTAGTGGACAGTGCTTCGGATTCGCAGTCCTGAGGTTCCAGGTTCGATCCCCAGTGATGGCGGAAAACAAATGGGTAGAGTTACTTTCACCCTGATGGCCCTATTACCTAGCAGTAAATAGGTATCTGGGAGTTAGACAGCTGCTACGGGCTGCTTGGGGGGGAGGTGTAACAAAAAGGAGGCCTGGTCGTGGATCGGGCCACGGGGACGCTAAGCCCCGAAGTCATCTCAAGATATCTTGAGGTTAACCTCAAGATATCTTGAGGTTATCTTGAGGTTAACCTTAAGATAACCAAGATATAGGTGAAAATGGGCATAGATTTAAGAGAGAGAACGTGCTGTATCCGAGTAAATATCCAGGCTGTTTGATGAGGTCGAACCCACATCTTTGGACTACTCTGGCACACACACTTCTGGCCTGAAATAGGACAAGTCGTAATGCGGGCACCTGGCAAGTTTAGAGATGTGGGGTTCAAATCCATCATACGGCCTCATTATATTCTCATAACATGGATGTATGTATTGACAGAATTCTCTCCCTTTCTCAGGAAGCTGACACAGATCCAACAGGCGAGGCGGTGCACAGAACGCAGCAAACGCTTACGTTCTATGAGCTTGATCTTGGACTGAATCACGTTGTGAGGAAGTACCATGAGCCACTGGAGGAACACGCAAACTTCCTCATCTCCGTTCCAGGTAACGAAACGATGGCACGGTTGTGTGTGTTGGTGACAGGATAAGAGCATCGATGTATTGCGTTTTGTCATCTGTTACCAATGAGTGATTGTACAGTATGTTTTGTTTTTGTTATAATATTGGTGAAAAGAATTTACTGCACAAATGGGCAGTTTTGTTCACCCTGAGTCTCCTGTTCACTTAGCAATGAAGTAGGTACCCGGGAGTTACAGCTGCTACGGGCTGCTTTCTAGGGATGTGTAACAAAAAGGAGGCCTGGTCGAGGACCGGGCCGTGGGAATGCTCAGCCCCGAAATCCTCTCAAGATAACCTCATAGCAAATTTTTTTATTAGAATACAGTATTGACAAGAATATTGAATATTTCTAGACGTGTCAATGTCTAGACTACATACTATTAGATATTAAAACATATGAGTATTAGCAGAAATTTTATTACATTTTGCTGTGCTTTTAAATCTAGCAAATATGTTATTGAACGACTATTTAGGAACTGTTAGTGTTTTTTGGAGACTGTTGGCTAATACTTAATATGGATTTTTGTTTGCGTGCATTTCAGGTGGTAATGATGGTCCATCTGGGGTGTTAGTTTGCTCGGAAAACTACATCACGTACAAGAACTTGGGCGACCAGCCTGATATCCGTTGTCCAATTCCTCGGAGAAGGGTACGTCGTGTGGAATGTTTGTAGAGAATGATTTTCCTCTATTGGCTTCTTGTGAGAGACTTAGGACAATGTGTTTTGTCATGAAAATAGTTGCAGTACTAGCTTAATTAACCAAGAGGAAAAATGGGCCGGGAGTTGTCGAGCATTTACACAACCACGTACGAGACCTGTACATCTTTACTCAGTCACGGTGGCTTTGTTTACATTTGTTAGTTGGTGAATTCCGAAGCACCACGAGACTGTTTATATCAATAATAGCCTTGCCTCGTGATACAGGGGTACCTCAGTTTAAGAGTTTAATTGGTTCCTGGAGACGCCTCGTATTCCAAAAACTCGTATTCCGAAGCTAATTTCCCCATAAGAAATAAAGGGAAATGAATTAATCCGTTTCTGACTACCCCAAAAACCCCACATCAAACTAAATTTTTATACCTAATTCATCTAAATATACCTACAAAACTATGTTCAAGTTATTACTTACCTTGCTGTTGAATGCTGTAGGCGTATGGAAGATGGTGAGGAGGTGGGAGGAGGAGAGGAGTTACTGTTTGGAAGGGGAGTCCCCTTCCATTATCACATCAGGCAGTGAAGACCTTTCTGGTGTGCTCTCCCTGGGACGTTTTATCTGAGTGCCACTAGGTCCTGGTTGAGGCTCACTGCTCGATTTCCTCACCACAAATCTGTCCAAACCCTGGCTTTCTCACAATTGATGGCCTCCGAAACACTGTCACCCCTTAACTCCTTGTCGTGTATCCAAATTAATAACAACTTTTCCACTTCTTCAAGTATTTGTGGTCTTTGTTTCGTTATTGTTCTGACTCCTTTTGCCACTTTAGCACTCATAATCTCATTTTTCTTCTTGAAGTATAGTGCATATTGTTGATGTGGCTTTGTTGTACTGCCTACAAAGTTCAACAACACGTGTACCGTTCTCATGCTTCCGAATGATCTCTTGTTTCTCCTCTATTGTCATCCTCACATGGGCTTTCTGGCCTTTATCCCTACCACTGGCTTTCTTGGAACCCATGGCGAGATATATAATAACAAATTGTATAGTCAAATCACCAAAAATCCAACAAAACACTGAAAATCCGCGAGAAGAATTGATGTGGGATAGTCACTGGGCGCGAGACAATGGTAAACTGAGGGGCGGAGGGGTGGAGGGGCGATGATCGCCGAACCACCATGCGCTGGGTCGGCCTGCACGCGTATCAACAAACTCGTGTCCCGAGGTAACCCTCGCGTTCCGAGACATATTTTTCAAGGAAATCCTGCTCGTATTCCGAAAAACTCGCATACAGGGACACTCGCATTTCGAGGTACCACTGTATTTTGAAGTTCATAAACTGTTTAATGAATGTTAACCAAGCCACCGTGATTGAGGGAAGATGTTTGTTTCGTAAGTAGTTGCATAAATCCCTGATTATTGGGAAGATAGAAATGTGTTTGCCATGATAATTTGGCAGATGTAAAATTTATTGCTGTGGTGCATGTTTTTGGGTTCGGTAAGTGGACGCATTGATTTACATTTTCTGACGTGATGCTACCTGTTGTCTTCTAGAATGACCTTGACGACCCGGAACGAGGAATGATCTTCATCTGCGCAGCGACCCACAAGACCCGCTCCATGTTCTTTTTCCTGGCCCAGACCGAGCAAGGAGACATTTTCAAGGTGAGGAGAGAGGACTGAAGATGGAACTCATTTCCTGTAATACACAAGAGTGAACTTTCTGCCTCCTCTGTCATTTCAATGACTTCGGAGAAGGGAGAATATCAGTCTTCAGTTTGAAATATTGTGGAACCTTGTTACTCCAAAGATTTACGATATAGGCTCTTTCTGAAACATTGTGGTTTCTAGACGATTAAGGTTTTATGCATTTTTCAGTTTATTACCATATGTTTGGACACTTTATTACTGTGAATGATAGTACAGAAGACTAAGGTAAACTGCAGCATGCCTATTGGCCCATTCTAGGCACCCATGCGATTATGCCCATTTGGATACAGTATATCCGGGAGCCGGTCGGCCAAGCGGACAGCATGCTGGACTTGTGATCCTGTGGTCCCGGGTTCGATCCCGGGCGCCGGCGAGAAACAATGGGCAGAGTTTCTTTCACCCTATGCCCCTGTTACCTAGCAGTAAAATAGGTACCTGGGTGTTAGTCAGCTGTCACAGGCTGCTTCCTGGGGGTGGAGGCCTGGTCGAGGACCGGGCCGCGGGGACACTAAAGCCCCGAAATCATCTCAAGATAACCTCAAGATGTGGATTTGTTGAGCTAGACTTGGTATTTGAACTCGATTGATTCAAGTATTTGAAAGGAAGAGAATGTAAGTTTTAATTTCCACTTAAATTCTGTATTGTTTGTGCATATCATGCAAAAAAAAAAGGTTTGCCACTTAATATATAAATTTCTTTCAGATTACCTTGGAAACTGACGAAGACGTCGTGACGGAGATCAAGCTCAAATATTTTGACACCGTGCCGCCAGCAACTGCCATGTGTGTCCTCAAGACGGGTTTCCTCTTTGTTGCATCAGAGTTTGGTAATCATTATCTATACCAGGTAAGGGTGGCTGGGGTTTATTAGGAAATTAAAGTAATGTAATCAAAACAGTGGTATTATTTTGGTGTAGGAACTCCACGGGAAACCCGTACTACTGCGTTAGTAACCGCAATGTGTAAACTCCACAGAAAATATTATAATCCACCATATGATTAGTGATTAGTTAGGAGTAAATTTGTTAACAAGAGTGCATTGGATTCTAGAGACATTGATGGTTAACCCAATAATATTGTCTATTAATGATGTATATGCGGTGCATGAAGTAGCACCTTTATAGTACATAAATCAGTACTTACATATATATATAGAGTGTAGAGTATGTTTTTATGTGGAATGGAATGAGTGTGTAGTTGAGAGAGTTGAGGTAATCATAAATCTGTCCACCCCTTCATTGATGTGTTACATTGGCCTGGGGGGTAGGGGGGGGAGTGGGGAAGGAGACATATATACCTATGATTAGACATATTGTCTCTGCCTTAGATTGCTCATCTTGGTGACGACGACGACGAGCCAGAATTCAGCTCGGCCATGCCACTTGAAGAAGGGGATACGTTCTTCTACGCTCCCAGACAGCTGCAGAATCTTGTACTGGTCGATGAACTTGACTCCCTCTCCCCCATCATGGCCTGCCAGATTGCTGATTTGGGTGAGTGAACTTTGTAAATATTACGCGTCAAGAATCTAATTAATTTTGCCTTTTTGAGCTAACACCATCGGTTGCATCGTGAAATTAAGCTCTTTTTGTCTGTACACACAACACGTTAAGGCAGGGTTGACATACCTTACAGAGATGATAGAAAATGCCACATGGCTTGTGTTTTGTATGTTAACTTTGCCTGAATGTTCATGTTCCAGTCCATGGATGGAGGGAAAACTTATTTCGACAAACATATGAAAGATCTGCACACAAATGCTACTTTTCATATACTCGGTTGTCTCGGTAGTTAATTATGTAACATTAGTCACGCTGAACTTGTTTAGTTAGGGCTTTGTTAACATTAGTCGACTGGTTTATTGACTGGTCAAGATGATGTGTGGTAGATTACAGTGAAGAAAATGGCACACAAAATTAATGCCTTTGGAGTTGTCTTGTGAATGACAGATGCAGAAGATGAGTACCTTTGGGGGGGGGTGATGCTGAGAATCAAACCTTGCCTGGATACACGTGTTCAGAGTGCGGTACAGAACTTTGTTTAAACAATGTTTTGGTAAGTAACCTTACCTTGAGGTGATTTCGGGGCTTAGCGACCCCGCGGCCCAGTCGTCGACTAGGCCTCCTCGTTGCTGGACTGGTCAACAAGGTTGTTGGACGCGGCTGCTCGCAGCCTGATGTATGAATTACGGCCTGGTTGATCAGTAACCATGTCTTTGTTGCATGCTCACATACTGTATAGATGGATTCTTATTGAAACACATATATAGGTACACAATGATTTGGGTTTATATAGTGTATGGATTTTTACCTCATGTAAAAGCCATCATTAAATTTTTAGTTTTACCCAGGAAAGTAATTAACTTTCCTGACTGTGAGAGAGAGGTGTTTAGAAAGGTTACTCCTTATTTCCTAATATTTAAGCCTTGCAATGATACTGTTGATTACTTATTGGTGATTCCTAGGATCAATGTCCGCATGGCCCAGTCTGTGACTAGGCCTCCTGGTTGGTGGTTTGGTCCACCAGACTGTTGAGTGCAGCTGCTCGCAGCCTGACATATGAGTCACAACCTGCTTGATTTCTGAATTGGCATTTTTTCACATCAACTTGGAAAACAAATGTACTGATGATTGAACATTTGTATATACCTGGAGTTTACCTGGAGTGTGTTCTGAGAGTTCTACTCTACTCCCCGAACCCTTCCTGGGGGGGGCAGGCTTATCTTGTGATAACTTATTCTATACGGCTGTTGCTTTGAATGGCCCTCAGGTCAGCATAGCCATTACAACATGGATTGTCTGGCACTGTGCAAGAATGTGTCTTACTTTTTCTTGAACACGTCTGCTTTTGTTCAGGCAATACACTAGTATTTCTTATGTTTGCTGGGAGGATATTGGATAGTGAATAGCCGTGGATAGTGAATATTCATGAAGTGATATCTATGTTATCTCCATACAGCCAATGAAGATACGCCCCAGCTGTATACAGTGTGTGGAAGAGGCCCACGGTCATCCTTGCGGGTGTTGCGTCACGGTCTGGAGGTGAGCGAGATGGCCGTGTCGGAGCTGCCCGGTAACCCTACTGCTGTGTGGACCGTCAGGAAGCGAAGTGAAGGTTTGTGACATATGGTCATTGTGTACATGCTTGCTTCTGAATATTTCAAGCAATATTTTTCACAGCACTTTTCCACTGTTTCTGGTTGAGCGTCATCTCGCCACATGCGTGTGGAAGGAATTTTGTACATAAGTGATCGGAAGTTATAGATTGGTGTGAAAGAGGCAGATTAAATACTGTACGAGAGAAGGCTACATTACCCTGTCTTTCAGTTCTGGGGATCAACAACCAGGAGGCCCGGTCTCTGACCAGGCCTCCTGGTTGGTAGTCTGGTCAACCAGGCTGTTAGATGCAGCTGGTTGCTGCCTGACGTGACTCTCAACAGTGATGAGAAATGTAACCTAAATTTATTGTACAAATATTAGATTGTATAAGAGAGAATTCTTATGCTTGACTTCTTGTGTAAGTCTGTGAATGAGTATACTTGTGCTTGACTCTTGTGTAAGTCTGTGAATGAGTATACTTGTGCTTGACTCTTGTGTAAGTCTGTGAGTGAGTATACTTGTGCTTGACTTCTTGTTTAAGTCTGTGAATGAGTATACTTGTGCTTGACTCTTGTGTAAGTCTGTGAATGAGTATACTTGTGCTTGACTCTTGTGTAAGTCTGTGAATGAGTATACTTGTGCTTGACTCTTGTGTAAGTCTGTGAGTGAGTATACTTGTGCTTGACTCTTGTGTAAGTCTGTGAGTGAGTATACTTGTGCTTGACTCTTGTGTAAGTCTGTGAATGAGTATACTTGTGCTTGACTCTTGTGTAAGTCTGTGAGTGAGTATACTTGTGCTTGACTCTTGTGTAAGTCTGTGAGTGAGTATACTTGTGCTTGACTTCTTGCAGCTACCTGCCTCTTATGTTGTGTGGTGTTTGTTCGTATATGGATGCATATTCATATTTTGGTATCACATGCTTGGGGGTGTGGTTTCTACTTCTCATGGTGCTGCTGGTGTGTGTGTGTGTGTGTGTGTGTGTGTGTGTGTGTGTGTGTGTGTGTGTGTGTGTGTGGGCTGGCGTGAAGTTTCTTGTGATTGTACTGTGTAATTATGGAAGTGTAGTTCCAGGTTGAGAGCTACGCTTGTGGTGTCCCGTCTTCACAGTATTGTGTCATATAACGATTTGAAACTTTTGGTTTTGGCTTCCACCGCCTTCTCACTGAACTTCTTCCTACCATCTACCACTGTTTGCAAAAGAAAACTTTGTACAGTAATATTTTTTAGCCCCTTTATAGCTTGAATCTATAACCTCTTGTTCTTGAATTTGCCAGTTTCAAGAATTTTTAATTTGTCAGTTTAGTCGATTCCTGTTTCTGTTATGTATATAGTGATCATATCGCCTCTTTTCCTTCTATCTTGTAGCTTTGGCATATTTAGCGCCTTTTGCTTCTCTTCGTAGCTTTTGTTTTTCAGTTCTGTAAGCCATTTTGTAGTATGCCTTTGCATCTTTTCCAGTGTATTGATGTTTCCTGAGATATTGGCACCATACAACTGCATATTCCAATTTTTGTCTCACAAATGTTGTGAACAGTTTCTGTAATATTTCACCACCCATTGTGTGTACTCATCTAGTTGTACTTACCTAGTTGTGCTTGCAGGGATTGAGCTCTGGCTCTATGGTCCTGCCTCTCAACCATCAATCAACAGGTGTACAGGTTCCTGAGCCTATTGGGCTCTATCATATCTTCACTTGAAACTGTGTATGGAGTTTGCCTCCACCACATCACTTCCTAATGCATTCCATTTGTCAACTACAGTATTCTGACACTGAAACAATTCTTTCTAACGTCTCTATGGCTCATTTGGGCACTCAACTTCCACCTGTGTCCCCTAGTGCATGTGCCCCTTGTGTTAAATAGTCTGTCCTTATCTACCCTATCAATTCCTCTAAGAATCTTGTGTAGTGATCATGTCCCTTCTAACTCTTCTGTCTCCCAGTGACGTGAGGTTTAATTCCCGTAGTCTCTCCTCGTAGCTCATACCTCTCAGTTAGGGTACTAGTCTATGGCAAACCTTTGAATCTTTTCCAGTTTAGTCTTATGCTTGACTAGATATGGACTTCATGCTGGAGCCGCATACTCCAGGATTGGTCTGACATGTGGTATACAAAGTTCTAAAGGATTCCTTACACAAGTTTCTAAAAGCCAACCTGGCATATGCCACTGATGTTATCCTTTTGATATGGGCTTCAGGGGACAGGTCTGGTGTGATATCAACCCCCAGGTCTTTCTCTCTCTGACTTGAAGTATTTCATATCCCAAATGATATCTTGTATCTGGCCTCCTGCTCCCTACACCTATCTTCATTACATTACATTTGCTTGGGTTAAACTCTAACAACCATTTGTTGCATCATTACTCTAGTTTGTCCAGGTCTTCTTGAAGCCTCAAGCTGTCCTCCTCTGTCTTAATCCTTCTCATAATTTTGGCATCATCAGCAAACATTGAGAGGAATGAGTCTCTACCATCTGTGATATGTGTGTGTGTGTAATTACCAAAGTGTAGTTACAGGATGAGAGCTACGCTCGTGGTGTCCCGTCTTCCCAGTACTCTTTGTCGTATAACACTGAAACTGACAGTTTTGGCCTCCACCACAACCTAACTTAGCTTGTTCCAACCGTCTACCATTCTGGTTGCGAAAGAAAACTTTCTTTTAGCACCTTTGTTTCCTTAGGTTGAATCTGTGTCGTCTTGTTCTTGACGTTGCTGGTTTCAGGAATGCCTCTGTCAATTTGGTTGAATCCTGTTAGTATTTTGTAAGTGGTTATCATATTGCCTCTTTCTTCTTTTTCTTCTATTTTCTAGCTTTTGCTTATTTAACGTCTCTAGTCTCCTCGTAACTCATTTTTCAGTTCTGGAAGCCATTTTGTTGCATGCCGTTGCACCTTTTTCCAGTTTATTTAAGTGCTGCTTGAGATACGGGCACCATACAACTGCTGCATTTTCCCATTTTGGTCTCGCAAAGGTCATGAACAGTTTCTTTAGTATTTCACCATCCATGTAATTAAAAGCAAGTCTGAAGTTGGAAAGCGACATATACGCTCCTCGCACAATGTTCTTTGTAGTGTTCTTGCGACAGCTTACTTTCCCAAACCACCCATAGATCTAATTCTTTATTAGAGTTCTGTAATTCCTCTCCACATAAATTGTAAGTTTTGTGGGGTCTTATATTTATGTTGTGTTTGAGTCATTCACTATGTAGGATTTTGTGATTATTTTGTATAATTAAGGATTGGTTATGGACTGTACTAATTAAAAGGTTGTTTGATAGTTATCAAACAGCCTTTTTTTCTCTCTTTTCAGGTTGAAGTGGAGCTGGCTGAGAGTGAGGTAATATATTTAAAACCAGAGAAAGGGACAATTTTTAAACTTGCTGAGAAATGTGTTTCTGGGGAGGGGGAGGGAGGGGTTGTTGTAAGTGGAGGGAAGAAATGGTCGTGTTCTCCACCGAGCCGTTTAATGTTGAGCAGCAGCCCTAAGCAAGAGAGGTGGTAGAGTGCCGACGGCTAAAATGATCACACTATGTACGTGATCGTATTATAAATGAATAAAAGGAACTGATCATATTATCATTCCATCTTTTCCTGACGATAGAGATGATATTACAGGTTTTATGTGTGGTACAGTTTGAGAAAGTGTTGAGTGGCTTCCCCCCTCCCCCCTCTATAGTGATTGGTAACGTTTTGAACACTTGCTAAACAAAGATAAGTTACGTATATGGGGTATATTTCAGAGTTTCAAATTTAGCAATGAATCCTTTGGGTTATTTGCAAGTTACTAAGGTCGATAGTGAAGATATAAAGGGTCTCTGGCCAGCTGTGAACCAGCGTAGTAGACTGATAGCATCACCTTATTTTGATGTGACTTAAATATGAGCAGGTGGTATAATTTGATGAATTTATTATTGAGGGAGCATTTATTTCAAATTTTTGTATGGCTTAACATAAACGCAAACCCACGTATAGGCAATTCAATTTCTTTCTTTATTATGCACCCCATACCCATGCTGTGGGCGGTGGTGTAAAGGGTTACAGAGGCACATAATCGGTTCAGGAACTGAACCCTCTAGTTCGTTTAGCTAAGCAAATAACAATGTTTTGACGCTGCTTGTGTTACTGTGCTGGGTTTTAGTAGGCTGCTTATACAGTTATTCTCTATGTTCCATCACAGAGAAACCCGTGCTCTTGGGTATCTCTTGTCACATGTTCATGTTCTTGACCTGCGGCGCCTTGTTCTTTCCTATGTTCATGTTCTTGACCTGCGGCGCCTTGTTCTTTCCTATGTTCATGTTCTTGACCTGCAGCGCCTTGTTCTCTCCTATGTTCATGTTCTTGACCTGCGGCGCCTTGTTCTTTCCTATGTTCATGTTCTTGACCTGCGGCGCCTTGTTCTTTCCTATGTTCATGTTCTTGACCTGCGGCGCCTTGTTCTTTCCTAGGTGTGGTGGGAGACTTCACACAGAATTGTTGTCGTCATCAGCATCAGCAATATTATTAACCCATAGATAGAAGAGTAATATATAAAAGTTCTGTATGCTTGAAGCTATTCAAAAAGATATGAATTTGCACTATTATCTCACTATTTATTAATTTCAAGAATTTTATTTTTTTAATTTTTTTATCGTATTACCTAGATATTTTCATAGAGCAGTGTAAGTCACTGTGTAGTATTGTGATAATAGAACAGTTTTACAAAACGATATTTTCAGGTATTTTAAGAAGATGAACTGTCCCGCAATGCATTGATTGTTCCCGATACAATTCTTAACATATACAATATATTGTATAAAAACCGGGTAGGGATAACTAGTGTCATCGTATGACGACCGCTCTACTCCGGAGTTCAATGTGTGCTGGTAACTCTACCTTAAGGAATAGCAGGCGGCTGAAGGCTAAGTGGACAGCACTCGGGATTCCTAGTCCTGAGGTTCCGGGTTCGATCCCCGGCAGAGGCAGAAACAAACGAGCAGAGTGTCTTTTACCCTGATGCTCCTCTTCACCTAGCAGTAAATTGGTACCTGGGAATTAGACAGCTGCTACAGGCTGCTTCCTGGGGATGTGTAACAAAAAAGGAGGCCTGGTCGAGGACCGGGCCGCGGGGACGCTAAGCCCCGAAATCATCTCAAGATAACACATGCAGAATGTATGGTGAGGTGCACGTAGATATATATCGCTACATACATAATAGACTATACAGTGTGTGACACCCTTCCCTGCTAGGGTGTTGTGTGCCCTGTAATAGTGAGTATGGGATTATGACGCTGATGATGATGATGGTGTGACTCAATAGAGGCACAGAGGTCTCTACCAATATATTTTGTCTTAGTCGACTCTACAACATGCAGGCAGAAAATGAGATCTATCTTTTTATGGCTTGATTTCCGACTGCTTCCTTCTTTTAAAATCAGATCCATTCACATGGACTGGTTGATAAGAGTGAAGACCTCGTTTCTTGCAAGGTCAGTAATTGATTCCCAATGGGCCGAGGGGTTCGGCAGCATTAGGCACTCAATCCACGTATCTGATAATGAAGGAAGTGATGGTATTTTGGTCCGTCCTGGATCATTACCAAGTCTTTGCGTGTCTTGGTAATGGTCGAGGATGGACCAAAATGTCGTCTCTTCTTTATTTTCAGATTTGTGTGTTTGGTGTCTAATTTTCAACCATGTTATTGTGACTTATTTTCTGCATTGGGCAGCAGCAGCAGCATCATGTCCCACCTCCTTGTTCTCATACCCTCTTCCAAGATAAAGGATGTTGGAATATTAAATTCATTTAATGTTGTCTTTTCTGTAGTTGTAATTACGTAAGTTTCATTGTAGCCTGGGAGTTAATATATTATTACAATGATATCTGAATGGTTTGATTCTCAAATGCTATTCCTCCTCCTCCCTACAGATCAGTATGATTCGTACATCATTGTGTCCTTCGTTAATGCCACGCTGGTACTGAGTATCGGAGAAACTGTAGAGGAAGTGACGGATTCTGGCTTCTTGGGCACCACCCCGACATTGGCTTGTTCCCAGCTCGGTGATGATGCATTGGTACAGGTATGTTCCCTCCTGAGTCTGGTGCTGACCATTATGTAAAGTCAGCCTTCATTATTATGTTCTGTGCAGTATTCAAATTCAGTATCCACTAGTTTCCATTGAGCAACAGCCGCTCCAAGCAACAGCCTGTTGGACCAAGTTATCACAAGTCAATCCTGTCCTAAGGCTGGGCTCGTGGAGTAGAAGAATTTCTGAAACTCTCTCTGGGGATGCTCCATTATAGGAACAGGAAATATGACTGGAACAAAAGTGGACATGTTCAAGAAGCAGGTGGACAAGTTTCTGAGGAAAATGTTGGAGCCGTCAGGTTGCAATGGATATGCAGGCCTTTGGGCCACTCCAAGCAACAGCGTTTTAGATGACGTTACCTCAAGACAAGCCTGGCTGCAAGCATGGCTGCAAGCATGGCTTGGGATGTAGAGCTCTCAGAACCCACTCTGTGAATTCTCCAGATGTGTAAGATTTAATACAAAACTTCATTGAACACAAAGTGCTGGGTTCTTTGATCCCAGAAGCCATCTATTCTTCATACTGCATTTTCCCAGTCAGAGGACACAGCTTCTTCAACTTGTTGCATTAACAATTTGCTGGTAACCCACTTGCAGGTGAACCGTCATAACTGCTCTGTGAGTACCCCTTACTCTTGACACTGAGTGTTCAGATGACTTGACAAGCGGGCCACGTAGAGCAACACAGGCTCAAACACAAGCACTTGTTTGGATGTATTGAAGTAATGGCTGCTATGTAGAGGGAATCTTGTAAAAGTTTCTTTGGTTCTCCGTGACACACTTATAACACGATCATTGACTTTGGCCAGGCAGGAATGATCTTTGTTAGTCTAATGTTGTATGGATGAAGAACACGGTGAGAAGGTTGACTGCTACAGTCGACATAAAAGAATGCAACTTGCAGTGTGAAGATAAACCAAAGATAACAAAACTTTGATATCCAAACTTAACAGCTGCAAATTATTTTTTATTCCCTAGGTGTCACTTTGTAACACCTTGTTGTTATGGGGGCCATAGATCTTTTAAGATGGTTCCTCATCAATTACATATACTGCCAGACTTTGCCTCGAGGTCTAGCTCGGGGAGTAGAAGAACTCCCGAAACCTGCTCCAGGTATGCTGACAATCAGAAGTTGATGCCTCAGAATGGATAATCGCATTATAATTTGTAAATTTGCAAGTGCATTCATCTACTTCACTCGGGTATTGTTCTCTTACAGGTTTACCCAGATGGCATTCGTCACATCCGTGCTGATCGGCGTGTCAATGAGTGGAAAGCTCCGGGCAAGAAGACTATTGTACGATGTGCCTTGAACCAACGTCAGGTTGTTATTGCACTGACGGGAGGAGAAATTGTCTACTTTGAGATGGACCCGGTAAGTTGTTAGTAAATCTGTGAGCAGTCGTGATACAGTGTGCATTTGTGTATGAGTTTATTATTATATTGCGATATTGCATGATGGAGTCCTGTTAAGTTCCTCCACCATACTCAGTAATGCTAGAGACTCCAGGTATCACTAGACACTCCAGGTATCACCTGACACTCCAGGTATCGGCAGACACTCCAGGTATCGGCAGACACTCCAGGTATCGGCAGACACTCCAGGTATCGGCAGACACTCCAGGTATCGGCAGGCACTCTGGGTATTGTGTGTGATTAATGCTGTGCCTGTCTGTATGCATGTTGGAACATTATAATGATAAAAAGCACCATGGTATTGTAATAAAAAAATCCTTAGAATCAATGCAAGGTGTCTGGATATATAGTATGTCACCCTGGCTTCAGGTGGAGTTGCTGGCAACGTGTGTTACAGGTAAACGGTAATTGTAGCCAACACACGCGTTGAAACAGTTAAGTCAGAAGATAATAATTATAATTTTCCCATCATTAAACAGTCTAGCTACTTGTAGCAATTAGTTAAGAAAATTATCACTTTCTATTGTTGACCAGACCACACACTAGAAGGTGAAGGGACGACGACGTTTCGGTCCGTCCTGGACCATTTTCAAGTCGATTGTGTCTCAAGTCGATTGACACAATCGACTCGAGAATGGTCCAGGACGGACCGAAACGTCGTCGTCCCTTCACCTTCTAATGTGTGGTCTGGTCAACATACTTAAGCCACGTTATTGTGACTCCTCGCCTGCATCACTTTCTATTGTTTACTTACACTAAAGTTTTCTAAATTCATTGTTTATTTATAGAAAAAAAGCATCACTTGAATTATACATATATATTACTAGATTGGCACCTTTTTTTTACATATCTTAATTTTTCAACTGAAAATGATATTCATTGCAAACATTTTGGCCATATGCTTATATCGCCCATTGGTGCTTGCAGACCGGACAACTAAACGAATATACAGAGAGGAAGGAGATGAAGAGTGATGTTATCTGTATGGGTGTCGGCCGTGTGCCTGTCGGGGAGCAGCGCTCGCGGTTTTTGGCCGTTGGTCTCTCGGATAACACAGTCAGGATCATCAGTCTCGATCCTAATGTAAGAAATTTCTGCATTTGGGTCTTTGTTCATGTGTTTGGGGGGGGGGGTTCATCTTGACATGTCTACTCCTGTCTACATTAGATATTGACATGTTATCTAGAATAAAATGACACTAATGAGGTTTCCAATGCTAGGACTGTCTGACTGTACGAGGAATGCAGGCGCTGCCGGCTCTGCCCGAGTCTCTGAGTATAATTGAGATGGGAGGCCAGGAAGGTGCAGACAACGAGCCTCGCACACTGGGCGCGCTCTACCTCAACATCGGCTTGCAGGTATGTTATACTCGACAAGTATACTGCCATATTTTTCTAACATATAACATGCACGCCCACTCTAGACACATTCTACAAGGCTGTTATCAGGAAGAAAACCATTTTAGTGTGTTTTATTGCACATTTATTGATATGTGATTTTTAGTGCAGTGTCCTTATTCGTGTGTTCTTCTGTGTATGCTACGATGACATTGATCTTAAACTTGACATTATAACTGTGTTCTATCCACTGGAAAGTATGGAAAATACTTTAATACAGTGGTGTTGTCTTCTGCTTTAATTCTGTAAGTTGTAAAAAATGGCTTGAAATGTTTACATGTAATAGAGATGTTCATCTGCTCATGTGTCTTATGAGAGGCTATGTTTATGTTGTTTTGCAATGCTGTTCCCTGTGATACAAGAGAGCCCTGTTCCCTTTGATCCACTGGGCTCTCTTGTATCTCTCCATTTTCTTCTTGGCTTGTCTTTGTCTCTATTGTGCATCCTGTCCTTTGTTTATAGCCACTTGAGACATTTGTTTATAGCCACTTGAGACATTTGTTTATAGCCACTTGAGACATTTGTTTATAGCCACTTGAGACATTTGTTTATAGCCACTCGAGACATTTGTTTATAGCCACTTGAGACATTTGTTTATAGCCACTCGAGACATTTGTTTATAGCCACTTGAGACATTTGTTTATAGCCACTTGAGACATTTGTTTATAGCCACTTGAGACATTTGTTTATAGCCACTCGAGACATTTGTTTATAGCCACTTGAGACATTTGTTTATAGCCACTCGAGACATTTGTTTATAGCCACTCAAGACATTTGTTTATAGCCACTTGAGACATTTGTTTATAGCCACTTGAGACATTTGTTTATAGCCACTCGAGACATTTGTTTATAGCCACTTGAGACATTTGTTTATAGCCACTCGAGACATTTGTTTATAGCCACTCAAGACATTTGTTTATAGCCACTTGAGACATTTGTTTATAGCCACTCGAGACATTTGTTTATAGCCACTTGAGACATTTGTTTATAGCCACTTGAGACATTTGTTTATAGCCACTTGAGACATTTGTTTATAGCCACTCGAGACATTTGTTTATAGCCACTTGAGACATTTGTTTATAGCCACTTGAGACATTTGTTTATAGCCACTTGAGACATTTGTTTATAGCCACTTGAGACATTTGTTTATAGCCACTTGAGACATTTGTTTATAGCCACTCGAGACATTTGTTTATAGCCACTCGAGACATTTGTTTATAGCCACTTGAGACATTTGTTTGTAGCCACTTAAGACATTTGAAGTTTCATGCATACCTGCAAATTGATTGAAATCATGAAGGCTAACGTTTTTGAAGTCTAGATAATTATTTTCCTAAGGTAGTAGAGCTGTTAGAGTGGGTGACTCGGGAAGGTCGCTGTCGTGGAGTAAAATGGCTGCTTCCTTTGCCAGACCATTTTTTTTTTTTTTTTTTTTTAGCAGCTGCACTCACCAAATTAATGGATGGTTGAAGTTAGGTAACAGGTGCATCATGGGGTCACTTGTAACCAGTCAGTTGTTCTTGCCCTCGTCATGATCGTGTTTCCTTCAGCTATGAATCTTTTCCTCGGCTACTAGCACCACTCTCAACCTCTACTTGAGCACCACTCAAGTGGAGGTTGAGAGGCAAGACCAAAGACATCTTGCTTATTCCCTATTAATATTATTATGGTTTTCCTCTCCATTCTGGAGACTACTGGTACTGTACTTCCAGAAAAGCAGAGAGCTTTTAACTGTTTTAAGTTAAGAGCTCCCCCTTCCCCACTCCTCATCTTTAGGTATACCCAACTACAGTAGCTTCTTCCCAGAACATGAATTGCTATCCGATATACAAACAGGTTACCAATTACTGCCGAGTGATCTTGGTTGAGAAGTTACAGAGCAGGAGTTTAATCATCCCGTTGTGCCTAAAGTACGAACCCAGGGCTGTTCTCTCTTACGAGACATGCTGATATGGCACACTAACCGCTGCACTACACGAACTTGTGCCGCCTGCCTTCTGTACCAGTTATTGGGCTGCAAGTATACACCTGAAAGCTGTAATTCTTTCCTTCCGTACCAGTTAGTAGGTTGTAATTGCCCATAAAATTAATGTTTGTTCACTTTCTAGATTGTAAATTGAATTATGGCTGTTATACAGAATGGTGTGTTGCTGCGTACGGTTCTGGATTCTGTGACGGGCGACATGTCGGACACCCGCACACGTTATTTGGGTTCCCGGCCTGTCAAACTCTTCAGAATCATCATGCAAGGGAATGAATCGGTAAGTAAATACTCATATGCAGCACCTTAAATGTGTAAGTTAATAACTCAAGTTCAAATTGTATTTATCACATATAGATGGTCTGGGAATCACTAGGAGTGAAATGGAGCAACTTCCTTGGTTGATAGGTCTTCACAATGGCAAAGTTGCCAACTTAATAATACTTAACCATAAAAAGTTCTCGGCTTTAATATTGTCCATATACTGTGTGTAGTCACTGTAACTCGTGCTTTGGTGTATTTCATTTTGTACAATTCATTTCCCCAACGCACAAAGGGGCACTGTGAAAGGTAACGGCTCACAAATAGCCATGTTTTCTATGTGTAGGTTGATTATGTTATAGGTAGGAGGCTTGGGCTCATGCCTTTTAGTACCCCTTATTTTGTATGTTGTGGCAAATCATGAGACGGGTTGCATTATACACTGTATAATTGTGCAGATAAGATTTGATTTAATTTTATTTACTAGTTACAATTTAAGCCTTGAAACTCTTTTTGTACAATAAAATCACACAAATGTGATGTATCTCTAAATAAATATTGAAGCTTTACGATGGGATTGAACCTGCGGCCCTGGTCAGCTCGGGCACACGCACTGCTGACTAGACCACGATGGTGCGTGTGTCTGGCAAGTTGAGGGTTGCAGCTCCAATTCAGTCTTGTGGCCTCATTCATTGATAATCTTTAATTGTGATGTCATTATAGGCATGAATGCTAACTCTTGTTGATTACTTTTGTGTGGTAGGTGCTGGCCATGTCGTCGAGATCGTGGCTGTCCTACTACTACCAGAACAGGTTCCACCTGACGCCGTTATCTTACGAGAGCCTGGAATATGCGGCCGGGTTCTCGTCAGAGCAGTGTCCTGAGGGTATTGTGGCCATCTCCACCAACACACTGAGGATCTTGGCTCTGGAGAAGCTCGGAGCCGTCTTCAACCAGGTGCGTGAAGCTGCCACGACTGCACGTCCACGAATGCTCATTTGAGATGCTCAAAGTGACGTTATCACTAGTGTATAAGGGTCCAGGATGGAGCAAAATGTCATCACTAATTATGTTTCAGATGACATAGTTGGGTTCTTTGTTTTAACCAATTGTGCCTTATTCTCTGCACTGTCATTTTAATCATTACTGTATCATCTATTTTAATCATTACTGTATCATATTATTTGACCTACCATAACTCACCCACACCTCCACCTGTCTGACCTGTCCTCCACCTGTCTGACCTCACCCTCCACCTGTCTGACCTCACCCTCCACCTGTCTGACCTGTCCTCCACCTGTCTGACCTCACCCTCCACCTGTCTGACCTCACCCTCCACCTGTCTGACCTCACCCTCCACCTGTCTGACCTCACCCTCCACCTGTCTGACCTCACCCTCCACCTGTCTGACCTCACCCTCCCCCTGTCTGACCTCACCCTCCACCTGTCTGACCTCACCCTCCACCTGTCTGACCTCCCCCTCCCCCTGTCTGACCTCCCCCTCCCCCTGTCTGACCTCACCCTCCACCTGTCTGACCTCACCCTCCACCTGTCTGATCTCACCCTCCACCTGTCTGATCTCACCCTCCACCTGTCTGATCTCACCCTCCACCTGTCTGACCTCACCCTCCACCTGTCTGACCTCACCCTCCACCTGTCTGTCCACCTGACCTCACCCTCCACCTGTCTGACCTCACCCTCCACCTGTCTGACCTCACCCTCCACCTGTCTGACCTCACCCTCCACCTGTCTGACCTCACCCTCCACCTGTCTGACCTCACCCTCCACCTGTCTGACCTCACCCTTCACCTTGATCTCTCTCATCTGTATAAGTTAAAGTTCTGTAGTGTTTGTGTTTTCTGCGCATTAGCCTTGGTGGGTTAGGTGGGATGGTTGGGTGTGTAAGTTTCTGGTTAAGCAAAATGGTTGTATTTTTAACAGAATGGTAAATTGAAGGAATGGAGTGAGGTATTCCATATTAGCAAAGTAAGTTAGTCATGTATTCAACTCTGAAAATAGTATTTCTTGGTGTATAATTGCTTGTATGATGTGACAGGTGTCCCATGCACTAGAGTACACACCACGCAAGTTTGTCATCCATCCCGAGAGCGGACACCTGGTGCTGATTGAGACGGACCACAATGCCTACACGGATGACACCAAACGTCAGCGCAAGATGCAGATGGCAGAGGTATGTATTAAATGGGTGACATTTGTCTCCATCTGCCTATGGCCTCAGGTCGAGGCCATAGGCAGATGTTCTGATGCCTGGCCTCGGGCTAGGCTTGGGGAGTCGAAGAACTCCTAAAACACACTTCAGGTATGGCACCCACCTTCCTGAGGTGGTGAGTGAGGCTGGTGGGGGTGAAGGGTGTCAAGGTGAGGTTGGGGAGTAGTAGTAGTCTCGGAACCCTCTCCAGGTATGGCAGCATATTTTCAGTGGGTGTATTAGTGAGTATAATGGTAAAAGTATAGCACCACGGAACTATAGCATTAACCCAGTTATACTTCAAAGCTTCGTGCCGATATGTGTGTGTGTACTCACCTATTTGTGCTTGCGGGGGTTGAGCTTTGGCTCTTTGGTTCCGCCTCTCAACTGTCAATCAACTGGTGTACAGATTCCTGAGCCTACTGGGCTCTATCATATCTACATATGAAACTGTGTATGGAGTCAGCCTCCACCACATCACTGCCTAATGCATTCCATCCGTTAACTACTGACACTGAAAAAGTTCCTTTTAACGTCCCTGTGGCTCATGTGGGTACTTGGTTTCCACCTGTGTCCCCTTGTTCGCGTCCCACCAGTGTTGAATAGTTTATCCTTGTTTACCCGGTCGATTCCCCTGAGGATTTTGTAGGTTGTGATCATGTCTTCCCTTACTCTTCTGTCTTCCAGTGTCGTAAGGTGCATTTCCCACAGCCTTTCCTCGTAACTCATGCCTCTTAGTTCTGGGACTAGTCTAGTGGCATACCTTTGAACTTTTTCCAGCTTCGTCTTGTGCTTGACAAGATACGAGCTCCATGGTGATCATACAGCTCCATGGCCGCATACTCCAGGATTAGTCTTACATATGTGGTGTACAAGATTCTGAATGATTCCTTACACAGGTTCCTGAACGCTGTTCTGATGTTAGCCAGCCTCGCATATGCCGCAGACGTTATTCTTTTCATGTGGACTTCAGGAGACAGATTTGGTGTGATATCAACTCCTAGATCTTTATCTTAAGATCTACTCACTTTTCTTTGCTAAAGTTAGGGGATAGTTGACTGGACTTCACATTTGACGTCACCTGCAGTTATATTGTTGTATTTCTTGCTTGTGGGGAAGCATCTTTTGATTTAAATACAGTATTTGATGGATACTCTTTGGTTGTGAAGTAACGCCGCCCATTCTTAACTTTGTTGACTTATTAATTTTACTCAATGTGTCATTGGTTTTTATATTTTAGTACTGTGTGTTTTTTTGGATAATGTTTGCCTTTCAGTGGCTATGGCAGAGTTAGATCTAGCTCTTAATGCCCCACCTCCTAGCCATGTATACCTGATGGGCTGGTTACCCCTCTTATCGTTAACATTTTCATTATATTTTATTTTAAAGTTGTCGATGGAATTGGCTTCTACAGCCTCTTCCTTCAACTGCCTGTACAGGGCAGTGACAAAGTCCTTACTTTTGTTAACTCATTTGTGTCCCATGACCGGCACAAATCAAGGGTCAAATCCAATTTACAAGGGTCCAGCTTCCACTGATGTTCCCTTGGCTTACCTTCCAATAATTTAAATAGGCTTGCTATGTCCACTATGTCTATTCCACTCAGGATAAATGAATAGATAGGCAGCTTAGTAGGTAAGTAATTTTAAATAGTTTATAATGTGCTTGACTACTGTAAGTAATGGTCCACGTCACTATCAAGTCAGAGAAATTGTGTTATCTTGAACTTCAGTTCAGTAAGCACAGGTCATGTATTCAACTCTTGAAGTAAAAGATTCATAAATGGTTATTCATTTATAATAGAATTTACACACAATAATGGTACATTATTTACATAAACGAGAGTCATACTAAGAGCATATCACAGGATCATTATTTTCAACCGTGTGTGCTTATAGTTAATATTGCTCCTTGACCAAATTATCAGTTTCATGTTTATTTTCATAGTTAAATATGCCTCAGTAATTGGTTGGTTAAAGAAAACTGTAAATTGTAACAGGAACTGCGAGAGGCAGCAGGGGAGGAGGAAGCAGAGGTTGCCGAGAGGATGGCAGAAGCGTTACTCTCCGAGGACCTCCCAGATGCCGTGTTCGGAGCCCCAAAGGCCGGTCCTGGCATGTGGGCCTCCGTGGTGCGCATCATTGAGCCCATCCAGGGCAATACGTTACACATGATCAGATTGGACCAAAATGAGGCAGCCTTCAGGTAAGAAAAGAAACCCTTCAGTGTGAGTCCTAGGAAACTCGCTTCACATTGTCAAGACGACCCAGGCGAGGGAGTCGTTGGGTCACGTGCCTAATGATGTTATCATCATTACACTTTCTAGAAGGGTAGTCTCTGTATCTCCCTGAGCTACCCACCTGCAGGGGCCAAAGTCACGACGCAGTTACGCAAGTACTTACGAACGTGTACATCTTTCCTCAATCTTTGACGGCTTTGGTTATATTTATTAAATAGTTTATAAGCATGAAAACTTTCCAATCAACTGTTGTTATTGTTATAAACAGCCTCCTGGTGCTCTGGAGACACCTCTTGGTGCTTCGAAGGCACCTCCTGGTACCTCCGAATTATCTGTTTATCTGTTTTAAGCATTATCTGTTTAATAATTGTAAACAAAACCGCCAAAGATTGAGAATGTACAGGTGCGTAAGTGCTTGCGTAACTGCTTCGTGAATCTGGTCCCCTGGAATCCTCAAAACCTAAGACACCTCACCAGACTCTTAATGAATCACGAGCACCTATGACAGAGCTGGGCCCCATCAGTACAGCCACAGGGAAGTCTGGGGATATAAAATCATTTCATTTTGAAAGGAAATACTACCAGAAAGATAGAGCACACCAAAACAAACAATTGCTTGTACAACATTTGTAACCCCGATTCAAACTAGGTCCAAATTATTCTTTCATGCTGGTGTTCCTTGGCCGCTATCTTGGTTCCCTTCTCCTTGCTGCAGTGCTTCCTGGCCGCTATCTTAGTTACCTGTCCTTGCTGCAGTGCTCCCTGGCCGCTATCTTAGTTACCTGTCCTTGCTGCAGTGCTCCCTGGCCGCTATCTTAGTTACCTGTCCTTGCTGCAGTGCTCCCTGGCCGCTATCTTAGTTACCTGTCCTTGCTGCAGTGCTCCCTGGCCGCTATCTTAGTTCCCTCTCCTTGCTACGATGGCTTTAACAGGCTTGGGTTGCATGGGGTTATCCTTGCTTCCCATCAACTTGTACTTCTTATGCTGTTATTTTCCCAAGTTTACCAAAAGCATTTGATGTGTTTAGTTATTGTGTGTTCATTCACTTCACATATTTCCAGTGTGTGTAACTGCACAGGGTGCGTGCAGATTTCTTTAAATGAGTAACATACAGTATTATGCAATGTACAAACATATAATTACTTGTTCTTGTTTACAGCATTGCATTGGTGAAATTTGCCAACCAGACGGATATGGACCAGCAGTACCTCTTGGTGGGCACCGTCAAGGACTATCAGCTGAGTCCCCGGCAGGTGGACTGTGGCTACATATACTGCTACAAGTATGTACCGGCAACCTTTAGTGTCTGGCTATACCAACCCTTGGTGGGAACTGTATGTACTGGCAACCTTTAGTGTCTGGCTATACCAACCCTTGGTGGGAACTGTATGTACTGGCAACCTTTAGTGTCTGGCTATACCAACCCTTGGTGGGAACTGTATGTACTTATACTGCTACAAGTATGTACCGGCAACCTTTAGTGTCTGGCTATACCAACCCTTGGTGGGAACTGTATGTACTGGCAACCTTTAGTGTCTGGCTATACCAACCCTTGGTGGGAACTGTATGTACTTATACTGCTACAAGTATGTACCGGCAACCTTTAGTGTCTGGCTATACCAACCCTTGGTGGGAACTGTATGTACTTATACTGCTACATGTATGTACTGGCAACCTTTAGTGTAGGGCTATACCAACCCTTGGTGGGAACTGTATGTACTTATACTGCTACATGTATGTACCGGCAACCTTTAGTGTAGGGCTATACCAACCCTTGGTGGGAACTGTATGTACTTATACTGCTACATGTATGTACTGGCAACCTTTAGTGTAGGGCTATACCAACCCTTGGTGGGAACTGTATGTACTTATACTGCTACATGTATGTACTGGCAACCTTTAGTGTAGGGCTATACCAACCCTTGGTGGGAACTTAAGTTCAAAAATTGATAAATTTGATTTAATATATTTCAGGGGGGCTTGAATTCATTTTATATTTTCCCAGAAGTTCCTTAATTAAATAATACTGTGAGGTGTGCTTGGATAGGGAATTTCAAGGAATACATTCCCACTCAAAGCTAAGAGTCAATTGTACACTGATTTTCAGCATGTAATGTGTTTTTCCCACAATGTTAAAATAAGTAGAAATTAAATTTATTAAAATATTACCCTATGGCTAAAGTGCCCAGACAGGAGTCAGTGCTGTAGGCGTGTGACATCTATCTTGAGGTTATCTTGAGATGATTTCAGGGCTTTTAGTGTCCCCGCGGCCAAGTCCTCGACCAGGCCTCCACCCCCAGGAAGCAGCCCGTGACAGCTGACTAACACCCAGGTACCTATTTTTACTGCTAGGTAACAGGGGCATAGGGTGAAAGAATCTCTGCCCATTGTTTCTCGCCGGCGCCTGGGATCGAACCCAGGACCACAGGATCACAAGTCCAGCGTGCTGTTCGCTCGGCCGACCGGCTCCTCATCTAGATAGTGTTATGAAATATATGAATGCGCCTGAATGGGAACCGATGCTTTAGGTGTGAGACATAGAGATAACATGATGAAACATACTGTACTAAAATTGTTTTCCCCATATATATTGAGATTTTTACATGATAACATTTACCACGCGGCCTTATGATGGTCCAGGATGGACCAAAAAATCGTTGTTTCTCCATTTTGATTTAACTGTCAATTTAAATGCTGAACTGAAAGTGTATTCTCATAACATGAATTGTATAGGTCTGCCCTCATGACTTGTGTGGTCAGGTTACCTTTACAATCATCACAACCTGTGAGTGACAGGTTACATTTACAATCATCACAAGCTGTGAGTGACAGGTTACATTTACAATCATCACAACCTGTGAGTGACAGATTACATTTACAATCATCACAAGGTGTGAATGGCAGGTTTCCTTTACAATCATCACAAGGTGTGAGTGACAGGTATGTTATCTTCCTTGACAGAGTCGTCATGGACTGCACCAGTCTAGAACTCCTTCATCGAACGGAAGTTGAGGACATTCCCACAGCCATATGCTCGTATAATGGTAGAGTTTTGATTGGGGTCGGCCGCTTATTAAGAATATATGACCTAGGCAAAAAGAAGCTGCTTCGAAAGTGTGAAAATAAGGTAATGTGAGATGATTGTTCGTGTATGCAAAAAGAACAAAAATGTATTGTGATAGCACTTGAATATATAACAAAGACTTTTGTGTATATAGAAATAACTCATTATATATTTTTCTAGCACATTCCAAATCTGATCGTGGATATCAAAGCCAGAGGCCAGCGTGTATTTGTCAGTGACGTTCAAGAAAGCATGTTTGTTCTGAGGTACAAACGTCATGAGAATCAGCTCATTATATTTGTGGATGACACAAATCAGCGCTGGGTGACCACGTCCTGCCTTTTGGACTTTGACACTGCTGCTGTCGCCGACAAGTTTGGCAACATTGCTGTGGTAAGTGTGTGTGTGTGTGTGTGTGTGTGCTCTTACTGTGGTGTGTGTGTTTGCCCTTACTCTGGTAAGTGTGTCTGCACTTACTGGGGTAAGTTTATGTCTGCCCTTACTGTGGTAAGTGTGTCTGCCCTTACTGTGGTAAGTTTGTCTGCCCTTACTGTGGTAAGTTTATGTCTGCCCTTACTGTGGTAAGTGTATGTCTGCCCTTACTGTGGTAAGTGTATGTCTGCCCTTACTGTGGTAAGTTTATGTCTGCCCTTACTGTGGTAAGTGTGTCTGCCCTTACTGTGGTAAGTGTGTCTGCCTTTAATGTGGTAAATTTATGTCTGCCGGTACTGCAGTAAGTGTATGTTTGTTCTTGCATTATTCCACCTCGTCTAGATGATTTCCGTAAACCAGGAAAGATTTGGTATACAAGTGCGGGAACTTGCAGGACTCTGCTGGTTATTTCCCTCCATCCTCGTATTGTTCTCGCTGTGGCTGCTCTCGTCTCATGTTTGTCATGTGCTTCATGTCCATGGTCTTCCTAGCTACCTCAAGCCCAAGGTTCCAGCTAGAATGTTGTGGTTTATTGTACGTGGTGTTTACAAACTCACTTCTGTCCTCTGGTGGCTTCCATATTTACTGTACATGTTGTTTATGAGCTTAATTCCATCTTCTGATGGCTTGCATTAATGGTGGCTTTCAGTAAGATACAGGGTATTAATGGTGGTTTTCAGTAAGATACAGGGCATTAATGGTGGTTTTCAGTAAGATACAGGGCATTAATGGTGATTTTCAGTAAGATACAGGGCATTAATGGTGATTTTCAGTAAGATACAGGGCATTAATGGTGATTTTCAGTAAGATACAGGGCATTAATGGTGGTTTTCAGTAAGATACAGGGCAATAATGGTGGTTTTCAGTAAGATACAGGGCAATAATGGTGATTTTCAGTAAAATAAAGGGCATTAATGGTGATTTTCAGTAAGATACAGGGCAATAATGGTGGTTTTCAGTAAGATACAGGGCATTAATGGTGATTTTCAGTAAGATACAGGGCATTAATGGTGATTTTCAGTAAGATACAGGGCATTAATGGTGATTTTCAGTAAGATACAGGGCATTAATGGTGATTTTCAGTAAGATACAGGGCATTAATGGTGATTTTCAGTAAGATGCAGGGCACATAAACAGTCGCTTTTAAGAACATGCAGTGGCACAATACAAGCATTTTGTTCTACCTTCCCTCTTCTTTTGTGAAGGTACGGCTGGGCAGCGACATCAACGACGACGTTGATGAGGACCCCACCGGCAACAAGGCGCTCTGGGACCGTGGTCTTCTGAACGGAGCTTCGCAGAAGGCGGAAGTGATCGCCAACTTCCACGTAGGGGAGACCGTCAATACGCTAGAGGTACACTTAATAATTTTGTTTTTATTAGTGGCAAGGTTTTTCTTCACCAGAGGCCACTTGTATAATTATTTCTTTGGTTGTATAATTATTCCCGTTGTTTTAGTAATGTGTGTATGATATGTAACACTGTGTGTGTGTGTGTGTGTGACTGCATTATGTGTGAGTATTGCTATGTACTGTATAAAGATGTAAATATGATTTATGAAAGTATCAAATTGTTTGTATTATGAAATAAACTAGCACAGGAACTTATTGCATCAAGTAGGATATCCCCAATTTTTCTTAATTAGTCATCCCGGAAAAAAAAAAGAGATACTGTAGTGGTGATATGTCTAGCATAATAAGTATTTGTATTTCAGAAAGCTACACTGATCCCTGGAGGAAGCGAGTCACTGGTGTACACAACGTTGAGCGGGACGGTGGGAGTGTTGGTGCCCTTCACGTCTCGGGAAGATCACGAACTATTCCAGAACTTGGAAATGCACATGCGCTCGGAGCACCCACCGCTCTGTGGGAGAGACCACCTCTCCTTCAGGTCCTATTTCTTCCCCGTCAAGGTCAGCTGCTGCTTACAGCACCTTCAAGTTTTGTTGTTGATGTAGATGGAAAAAGCAGGTTTTATTTTTATACTTGAAAAAAAAAAAATATTTTTTTATTTTTTTATTTTTGGTGGGAACAAGGGACTGAAAGGAACCTACACTATGTTAGCAAATTTCTAAACTACATTTAATATATGTAGATAGAGAAATAAAAAAAAAGCAATCTGTGAGACCGAAATTGGAATATGGAGCAGTGGTGTGGTATTTTTCACCCATAGGGTTGTAAACCTGTGCAACCACCTACCCGCCGAAGCTGTAAACACCAAAAGTCTGATAGATTTTAAAATTCAGCTGTTAAAGACCATCAGGGTAAAGGGAGGGGGGGGGGGACCTTTGACAAGACACCGGCTTCCTGTTGTCTTCATCGAGGCCACTAGTATTACTGGCCCTCATAGAATATCTGAAGATACACATTAAGAATCCAAAATGAGATTCCATCTGGTCTGGCTGCCTTATATCTTAACTTCTTAAGTAAGTTCAACTTCTCTTACTCATGAACAGTTACTGTGTAGTCAATAAAATGGGATGAGTTTTGCCCATCTAGCAATCATCTTTAGTTTGAGTCGTCAAATCTTCATACTCATTACACCACTCTGTTACTCATTATTTTTTGTCCCAGAGTACACCATCTTTGCTCATTATGTTCCATCCTCTCGATCAAAGGTATGCAGGGGTGAGTACGGCCAGTATAGCAGTGACAAAGTCCAGTCCCTGGTATCTGGTGACTTGATAAGTACTGTACAGTAACTGGCAAGATAGGGCCAAGCCACCCAGACCGTCCCTGGCATCTGAGGACATGATCTGTATATCAGATCGGAAAATAACTTGACTTTTAACAATTGATAAATTGCAGATACTCGAGTATGGTAATAATTAATGTCAGGTTAGTGAAAAGAGTATACACTTTTCAGTGTTACCGCTCGATCTCCCGAAACGCCGCGTGCACTGGGGCAAGTTTTTCTTGCTTGCCGGGAGCGCGAAAGTGTTAAGAAGACAGAGCCAAGCTACATAGACAAGTGTCTACATAGAACAAGAACTGGCTTTTTAAAAAATTGTGAAAGTAGCTTCCATCCAGTATATTCCACTTATGACTGCGTCATAAGATTATTTTCATTGTCTCGGCGAATCATGTGCCTCTAATGCCCTTGTTCTATTTGTCTGTTATTTAATTAGAAAAATGATTTTCAGTCTACCTTGTTTATATTTTGACTTTTAATGCTTGTTAACTTTGTGAATATTGTAGTGGACCCACACTAGCTATTGGTGTATCTCTCACTTAAATAACATTATATTTGATTGAAGAGCACTAAAGAAATATTATTGAATAAGATTTAAAGCCATGTTGGATAGTAATATTATTTTCAATTAAATATTTTGAATTGCTTTTTTTTTATGATGGCATAAAATATTGACTTTTGAGAAATATTTTGAACTGTGAAATGTGTATTAACTTTCTATTTTTATTCCGCCAGAATGTTATTGATGGAGACTTGTGCGAACAGTTTAATATGGTGGATCCAGGCAAACAAAGAAGTATCTCAGAAGATCTGGACAAGACTCCCAATGAATTGTCCAAGAGATTAGAAGACATAAGAACTCGTTATGCCTTCTAAAGATTATATATTAACAGTATTCCTGTAGTTGTTTCACTGACAATATCTGCCACAGAGCCTCATTGCACGGACAATATCTGCCACAGAGCCTCGTTGCACGGACAATATCTGCCACAGAGCCTCGTTGCACTGACAATATCTGCCTCGAAACATTGTTGCACCAACACCATCTGCTGCAGCACATTGTTGCACCAACATCACCTGCTGTAGCACAGTGTTGCACCAACATCATCTGCTGCAGCACATTGTTGCACCAACATCACCTGCTGTAGCACAGTGTTGCACCAACATCATCTGCCACAAAGCCCTTGTGCCAGTAAACTTTGAAAATCTCTACCCATCCTCCACAAATGATAGATCCTATAGCTGTTATTGAGGGAGTGTCCAAAGTCTACATTTATCCAAGAAAGATTCATGTTTTGTACTGTTTATGTACTAAAAAGGATGTACTGCCAGAAAGTTGAACAATAAGCATGAACCTGGGCCGAGTTTAGTACATGAACACACTGTACGAGGCCTGGCAATGTTTGAAGTTAGGTTGTTTGTATCTTGTACAATATGAATAGTATAGGATGTTGATTTCTTTGTGGTCAAACAGTTCATAGACTTTTTGAAACCCGTCCTCCTGTTAAGATAGTCCTTTTTGTAACTATGTGGACCATTGTACGAATATAGACGTAATGGACAATTAGTAAAATTTGGTACTATTCACTTTTTATAAAGAGTCCAGAAAAAGTTAAGCTAAAAACCAAACTTCAATATTCCTAGACCTAGTATAGCACACATATGTACTATATTAGGCCTCAGATAGCATATATTAGGCCTAGGATGGTTAGGTTCAGTTTTATTAGCAAATATTAAACCCTTTCGAGTTTGTCCAAATTTAATAGTGTCAATTGCTACTGTCTAATTGTCCATTATTTCAATATATGTACGATGGTCTGCACTGTTTATTACAAGTACTATCTAAGCAGGAGGATGGGCTGACTTTCTGGGTAAAGAGAGACTAGACTTTTTTATGTACAAACAGTCCATGTTTTATACTTGTATTCATAGTAATAATGAGGGGGGGGGGAATATCAGTGTTTGGAGGCCAGGTTGGAAACTGCGCAGAAACTTGATTAGTTTATACATTGACGATGTACTGTACCTCATGTCCAGCCCGTTGCCTTGATTTGCTACAACATATGAAATAAGGGGTACTAAAATGTGTGTGTATGTGTATTCACCTAGTTGTGCTTGCGGGGGTTGAGCTCTGCTCTTTCGGCCCGCCTCTCTACTGTCAATCAACTGTTTCTACTACTATTTTTTTTCACACCACACACACACACACCCCAGGAAGCAGCCTGTGACAGCTGACTAACTCCCAGGTACCTATTTACTGCTAGGTAACAGGGGCATAGGGTGAAAGAAACTCTGCCCATCGTTTCTTGCTGGTGCCCAGGATTGAACTCGGGACCACAGGATCACGTGTCCAGCGTGCTGTCTGCTCAGCCACCGGCTCCAGAGCCGTGTGTGTGAGAGAGAGAGAGAGAGAGAGAGAGAGAGAGAGAGAGAGAGAGAGAGAGAGAGAGAGAGAGAGAGAGAACGAGAGAGAGAACGAACGAACGAACCAATTTGCGCATAGAAAATGTAACTGTGGATATTTGTAAGCCACCCCTTTTCATAGTACCCCTTATTTTGTTCGTTGGGGGAGGACAGAGCGCACAGGTACATTTGTTGAGAGGACGGGTGGCATAGTTAATGCTGCCCTGTATATTAGTGATGGATGGTGTCTATTGCACCTCTGTCCTCCCATCATAGTTAAAACTGAAGGCTAGTTTAAAAAAAAAAGTTGGGATTTGTACTTTTATTAATTATTGTCAGTATAATGTAGGATTAGAACTGTTTTCTAGACTCTGTATGATGTCTTTTTTTATATATAAAAACTTATATAAATAAAACTAGCTTCAGGAAAGTTGTTTTGCAGAAATTCCTAATGATTAAAACCCTTAAGACAAATTAGAAAAAATGTGAGGGAACACTTAGTAGTTTCAGTAGTTCTCTGACCATCGTGGCAACGATGCGCGGTTCGCAGTGCCTGGTGGCCTCGTCATCAGTGTGAGGAGGAGGAGGAGGAGGCCTCGTCATCAATGTGAGGAGGAGGAGGAGGAGGCCTCGTCATCAGTGTGAGGAGGAGGAGGAGGAGGCCTCGTCATCAATGTGAGGAGGAGGAGGGAGGAGGAGGCCTCGTCATCAATGTGAGGAGGAGGAGGAGGCCTCGTCATCAATGTGAGGAGGAGGAGGCCTCGTCATCAATGTCAGGAGGAGGAGGAGGAGGTGGCCTTGTCATCAATGTGAGGAGGAGGAGGAGGAGGCCTCGTCATCAATGTGAGGAGGAGGAGGCCTCGTCATCAATGTGAGGAGGAGGAGGAGGCCTTGTCATCAATGTGAGGAGGAGGAGGCCTTGTCATCAATGTGAGGTGGAGGAGGAGGAGGCCTTGTCATCAATGTGAGGTGGAGGAGGAGGAGGCCTTGTCATCAATGTGAGGTGGAGGAGGAGGAGGCCTTGTCATCAATGTGAGGTGGAGGAGGAGGAGGCCTTGTCATCAATGTGAGGAGGAGGAGGCCTCGTCATCAATGTGAGGAGGAGGAGGCCTTGTCATCAATGAGGAAGACCGAAATAGTTTAGCAGAAGATCCACCACAGAAAAAGAAAATGATAAGTCACAACTGAAACAATTAGTACAGCTTATTGCGCTGCGTCACCCAGACCTCAGCGACTACAACCAGCTTTATCCTGATAGACAGTGTGCCTGCACAATGAGAAGAAGTCAAACCCAAAAAAAGAAGTCAGAGAAAAAACAATAGGAGTGAAGGTGCCAGCTGTCTCTTGTTTTAATTTCTGCCTAATTCTGCCTATCGCCAGTCAAGCGGCTGCTTAAGCCCTGACATGTCTTAACTTGGTCCTCTCCTCGGTTAAGCCCTCAGTCAAGGCCCTCAGTCAGGGCTTAACTCTCCTCTCCTCAAGCTGTTCTTCACTTGTACCCGCCTCCCACTGGGTATCTTTTCTTTATCTGTTCAGATTAAAGTTCAAACAAATATTTTAAGTGCTTGGGGGGGGGGGGGGTTCTAAACGTCTTAATCCTGCCCTGCAGCAACTAGAGATCATATTATCAGGCTGACAGAGTTCAATATAAAAACGCCAGCATTAGTTGGTTTTTGTTTAGTATGTTGCTTAATATTAGGTGTCTTGAGGTTAATGTTGAAGTCATACATTGTTTTACCTTTGCAATAATGAATATTTTGTACTCGACTAGTTGTGCTTGCGGGGGTTGAGTTCTAGTTTTGGGCCCGCCTCTCAACTGTCAATCAATCGACTGAATTTTTTTCCAGAGACAGACAGACAGAAAGAGAGAGGGTGGAGTGAGGGGAGGAAGCAGCCCATAGCAGCTGTCTAACTCCTAGGTATCTATTTAATACTAAGTGAACAGGTGCATTAGGGTAAAAGAAATTACCCATTTGTTTCCACCTGCGCCGGGGATCGATCCCCGGACCCTTAGGACTACGAATCCCGAGCACTGTCCACTCAGCTTTCAGACCCCCTAATCGCTCTCTATGAATGAAGAATGAAGCTCTCAGTTCTCACTGTTAAATTTATATGAGAACCCTTAAGTCTGAATTAGGAAAATACGTGCTCTCAACAGGTGCCTAGTTCTGTTAACTGTTGTAAATTGCAGTACTTCTACCTCTCGAGTTCAAGTAAGTTTATTTAGAAAAGGAAGTACCTCTCAAAATGATAGAGTAGTTTAAGCTATTTCTACCCTCGTTACCACCTCTTGTTTGGTCTACAGTTGTAGATAGTTGATTGATTGATTGAAAGAGATTAAGCCACCCCAGAGGGGACTCTGGCATGAATAACCCGTAAGTGGAGGCTGGAGCCATTACCAGCACCAGTAGCTAATATTGTACATCTGTGGGTGATAATTGGACATCTTATTGATCATGTTCCTCGTCCCCGCAGTCCCCGTGGCGTAGGATTAGGATTAAAGACTTACCGGAAACGCTATGCGTACTAGTGGCTGTACAAGATTGTTAGAACTCTTGTATATATGAATAAATACATAAATAAATGTTAGATAACTGGGTTGAGGAGTCTAGTGCAGTTGGAAACCAACAAGTGCTGACAGCAGGCAGTTTGCATAGAAACTGACTGATTACAAGTGTTGCCAAACTTGTGAAGTTGAATATTAATATTATAAACAATATTTGAAGGTGACTGACATAAATTATAATTTAACGCTGCGCGTACTAGTAGCTTTACAAGAATGTAATTACTATGCTAATGTATCCTCACAATCCTAATGTACCTTCTTGTATATATATAAATAAATAAATAAATAAATATATATAATCAAAGAAAACGGTGTTGACACAGGAACGCAAGCGACCGACACCATCACAACAACAGCCATTACCAGCATCAAAGTGCGCCTCAGTTTTAGTCTCCGCTCTGCGTCCACCAACATCAGTACTGGTGCAGTCATCGGGAGGACAAACCCTTCATGCAAACTGCACCTACTATTAAGAAGTGCGTTTATTGGCCGCGAGGCGCATTAGTTTCCGCTAATAAGCGACATTCAGGCTTCGGGATTAACCCTTTACGGGTTCGGGGTTCATCCGGTCGCACGATCGTCGTCGCCCATAACACCAGCATCAACCATGGCGGACAACACTGCTTAATTATCCTACCCAGCGGCAGTGTTGTCTCCAAGAGACGCCCCAAGTCTCAAAACATCTCCAGCAGTCATCAGGAGGACAATCCTCACACAAATTCTACGTATCATAAATAAGACGATGAAACATAAGGGGTGTCTGGAGTTTGGGAAAAGATTCAAGCAACGTGGAAGGGTGAAGAAACACACGGATGTGCAGACGAAGGATAAACGTCACGAGTGTCCAGTGTGTGGGAAAAAATTCAGTCGTCGTGGAGAGGTGAAGCAGCACCTAGTTGCGCATGTGGCAGATAAGCCTCATGAGTGTCCGGAGTGTGGGAGAAGATTCAAGCAGCTTCAACATCTGAAGACACACATGGGTGTGCATATTGGGGATAAACCTCTTGAGTGTCTAGTATGTGGGAAAAGATTCAGTGGTCATGGCTATATGAAGACTCACATGCTTGTACATACAGGGGATAAACCTCACGAGTGTCCAGAGTGTGGGAAAAGATTCAGTCAACTTGGACATGTGAAGACTCATATGGCTGTGCATACAGGAGATAAACCACATGAGTGTCCCGAGTGTGGGAAAAGATTCAGTCTTCTTGGAAATTTAAAGACTCACATGATGGTACATACGAACAAGAAACCTTTTGAATGTGCCGAGTGTGGGAAACGATTCAGAGAACGCAGTGGTATAATCAGACACGTGCTTGTGCATACAGACGATAAACCTCATCAGTGTCCAGAGTGTGGAAAAAGATTTAAGCACCGGAATTACGTGAGACGTCACATCATATTATGGCATGCAGATGATTAATCTGACTTGGCATAATGTCCTGTTTTGTGGGAAAAAAAAATGTCATGGTTTCCAAATTTGTTAACACTATGAGATTGTGTGTATGTTAACACTTTGAGATGGTGTGTATGTTGCTTATGTTAACACTATGAGATGGTGTGTATGTTAACACTATGAGATTGTGTGTATGTTGCTTAACAAAACAAAATCTTGAGTGTCATTCAGTTAAGCAGATCAGAATTGTATCAGATACATATAAACACATAAAGTTTGCACAAATCTAAAATGCTCTTTGGAAACTGTGAGCGTTATTGCAAGAATTCTGTGCTATATCAGTTGGACTTCCTGCGAAGGTATTTTTGTTTTCATTATACTGTATGTGTGAGAAATGTCATTGGCCACTGAAGGCAAAACTCTACCTTGTGAGGTATTAAGGTTATATTTTAATCATTTAATCATGTGTTTTCTAGTAACATTTTCATGCTTTTATAGACCAAGCAAGCACCAGGCAAGCTATGACAATATAAATATTGGAAATCATATTTTTTGCAAGATACAACATAAGTTTAAACCAATTTTTGTCAATTTTGTAATGCCTAATGTTTAGTTTCTTTTATGAAATTTATATACAATATGAGTGAGCTTTTGGTTGCTAAGGTAATGGCATTTCAATTTTAATAAACATTTTATTAAACACTTTGGCAGGCAGTAGAAAAACAATTTGATAAGTACTCAATATGAAGATATTTTATTGGCAGGAATAATGCACAGGGGTTTTCATCCAGGAATTTTGAAACAAATACTATATTTCTATTCCAATTTAAGAAATTCATTTATATATCATCTTTTTCTTTTTTTTTAGCCTTTGTCTTTATTTCATTTTTGCTACTTTTATTAACAAGTGACTTTTGTGTTATCTTTTTCATGACTGACAAAAGTCAATGGCTTTGAATGTATAATACAGTAGTTTGATTAACATTTATTTTCTCTACACAGTACTTCAACTTTCTATGGGCTTATTTGCCTGACTTAAATGCTTGTATCAACTGCCTCAGAAGTTTATTAGTCTGACTCATGGTAGTTTTATTAGTCAGAATTTGGGAATTGTATTTATCTGAGTCTGGCAGTCCCTTCAGCGAGGCTTTAGCATTTACATAAACCCAACTTCAGAATTTGTATTGTTCTGGCAACATTGACTTCATAGTATTCAGCCTAGGCCTAATTGCTGTTATTTTTTATGTATCTACTGCACTTAGAAAACTATTATTTACAAAGATACCTACTTTTTAATCAGTGATATTAATTTTTATGTTTAGGTTTAAGTTTAAAGGTTGCTCATTTTCTAAGCCTATAATCATAGCCTATAGGCCAGAGTTAGAAGTAGCAAATATTAGTTTCATTGTCGTGTAATTTGTTGTTGTTTTGATGTGAATAATGTAGTTATTGTTTAGTATTAATTTATACTATAGACAGAATAGTGTAATAGTTGGGCCTTATTTATGGTCCATTAATTATTATATACAACATTATAGTTCTCTCTACATCCAAGGTCACTGTAGCTAGGAGTGTTCTTTTAATTAATAAACAAATGTGCTTCATGCAACCTATAATTATCCTTGGATGATGATGTTGATAAAGATTTGCTACTTGGAACAAAGTTCCAAGTAGCACGGGCTATGGTGAGCCCGTAGTGCCTTAAAATATATCCTTGGAGAATTTTCCTTAAGTCATAATTGCAACGATGCGGACTTGCAGGTAGAGTGTCGCCCTCGTTTTGCACTAGGCCGATGTTCGATCCCTGATGGTCCAGGTGGTTTGAACCCGTTCCTTCATCTCATATTCCAGCTCCTGGCCTTCATATCCCATTCAGAGCTCCCCTGCACACTCTAGACCTTGTGTCAACATCAGAAGGTCTGATTGTATGTATGATTATGATTGTATGTAAGATTATGATTGTATGTAAGATTGATAAAAACCAGGTACTGTTGAGAAGCTTACCCCTTTACGAGACCACAATATTCCAAGATGGAATACAATTATAGAAACAATCAAGGTCCAGGACTGACTTTCTGGACCGCCTATGGGGAGACTGTCATAGAATGAGAGGAATTACAAAGTATTCGGAATCAAGAATACAGGGAGTTAATAGGATATCAAGATATGGAAGCGTCATGGGAAAAGTTCAAGGGATTATCTATGGACTTATTAAAAACAATGATGACTCATGGAAAAAGGTCTCAACAGTTAAGCTCAACATCTGGAGAATGTGTCAATCAAGAATCAGAATGATTGAGGTATACAGACGGGCATTAAATTCATCCACCCAAGAAATCAGACGAGGCAAAAAAAAAAAAAAAGCTTACTAAAAAAATTATCATTCATTTTTAGCAAAACTCAAACCGAGTAATCAAAGGGAATATTGTAGCGGAATTTGATTTCTACATAATAACTACAATAAAAATTGACATTGTTGATTAAACTGGTGATGTTACATGTCTTAAGTACTAATATTGGGGGAGTGGGTAGCATAAGATAGTGTGAGATTGAAGTATGTTGTAGGAAACTATTATATATATATTTTTATTTATTTTATTTATTTATATATATACAAGAAGGTACATTGGGATTGTGAGGATACATAGCATAGTAATTACATTCTTGTAAAGCCACTAGTACGCGCAGCGTTTCGGGCAGGTCCTTAATCTAAGAAACTTATAAGTAGGTAAATACTTGCAAAATTTATAAAAATGATAACAGTTACATAGCATGAAAAAAATAAAAGATGAGAGAAAAGTTGTAGGTATATTAAAGCACATAGGTAGCTCAGAGTGATTGCAATGACAGCTTGAATGGTGGTTTAACAAAACTTAGCAGGCACAATACAGCATATGGCTAGCACATAAAAGAAGACAGCAATGAACACAATGATAAAGTTGTTTGGGTTAAGTACATAAAGATTGGGAGATTGGGTAACACTAGATACAGAGCAAATTTAAAGCTCAGTGTAGGAAACTACGAAGATGAAATTAGGTACTTTTTGGTTTTGTTTTTAAATGAGGCAAAAGTTTGACAGCTTTTCAATTCACTAGGGAGTGAGTTCCATAGACTAGGTCCCTTAATTTGCATAGAGTGTTTACACAGATTAAGTTTGACCCTGGGGATATCAAAGATATATTTATTTCTGGTGTGGTGATAATGGGTCCTATTACATCTGTCCAGGGAGAGTTTCAGAGCATGGTTTGCATTTAAGAACAGGGTTTTGTAAATGTAGTTGACACAAGAGAATGTGTGGAGGGAGTTAATATTTAGCAAGTTTAGGGATTTAAACAAGGGAGCTGAGTGTTGTCTGAAAGCAGAGTTTGTTATTATTCTGATAGCAGATTTTTGCTGGGTGATGATGGGCTTAAGGTGGTTTGCAGTGGTAGACCCCCATGCACAGATACCATAATTAAGATAGGGATAGATTAGTGCATAATATAGTGAGAGGAGAGCAGAGTTAGGAACATAATATCTTATTTTGGAGAGTATACCAACTGTTTTAGAGACTTTCTTAGTTATGTGTTGAATGTGGGTGCTGAAGTTGAGTCTCTTGTCTAGGAATAGGCCAAGAAACTTGCCATCATTTTTATTACTGATGTTAATGTTGTCTATCTGTAGCTGAATTGCATTTGATGATTTGCTTCCAAATAAGATGTAGTAGGTCTTTTCTATGTTTAGTGTTAGTTTGTTAGTTGACATCCATAAGTGGACTTTTTTTAATTCATTATTCACAACATTATTTAGTGTATGTGGGTTGGGGTCTGAATAGATAAGGGTAGTATCATCAGCAAACAATATAGGTTTAAGAATATTAGAGACATTAGGCAGATCATTGATATATATAAGAAATAGAAGAGGTCCTAAGATGCTGCCCTGTGGCACTCCAACGGTAATTGGTAGAGTGGAAGATGTATCATTGATGGTTACATATTGGTATCTGTCACTAAGATAGGATCGGATTGTTGAACAGTAGAGCTATGGGTGGGGCAAGGGCATGGGAGGCGCTCTTGTATACAATGGACGGAATTTCACTAGTGTTCCCTGCCTTGGTTTTTAGAGTGTATGATGGACACAACATCTGTCGGGCTAACTGGTGAAAGGAGAAGAGAGTTTGGATAGCTGCCTGAGAGATATGTCTTAATATGTGTCTGAGTCTGTGGGATTTTTCTTGCAAGATTAGCACCAACCGATGAAAAGAAGCTATTAAATTCATTTGCCATTTCTAAATCAGTTGACGGTGTATACCCATCCTTATAGAGTTTTATACATCCTTATAGAGATATATACGAGCAAAGACTTGTTGCTCGTATGTTGCAATTTTTCTCTACTTTTGGACTGCCTCGGGTCGTGCAAACCGACAATGGTACTAACTTTAAATCTGATACGTTTGAGCAATTCTGTAAGGACCATGGAATAACTCATAAGGTCTCCAGCCCATACCATCCACAGAGTCAGAGGGTAATTGAGCGGTTCCATCAGACGTTAAAACAGATGCTGAAGACATCGTGTGAGAATTCAAATAGGTTTTGGGATGAGAACTTGCCATATGTTTTGTTTGCTGCTCGAGAGGGGTAACAAAGCTCACTGGGTTGTTCTCCTTTTGAGTTAGTCTTTGGCCATAAGGTCCGTGGATCCTTGCAAATGTTACAGGAGAAGCTGTTAGGGACGGTAAGGTTGACCGAAGGTTCGGCGTTCTTAGCGCAACACCACCAGAGACTCAGTGACTGTAAGGCGGCTGCACTAAAGTATCTTGGGAAGGCGCAAGACAGTATGAAGGAACGATACTATGCTAAGGCTAAGTTGAGGGTATTTCAGCCTGGTGACCCTGTCCTGGTATTAAAACCTCGATTGGGGAACACTGTCGACGGGAGACTTCTCCCGTCACGCAGGGTGCAGTCGCACCTCCACAGATCTCCAGTATCAGCTCTTGATACTGGTAATGGCTTCAAAGGGCCACCACTTACGGCCTATTCATGCCCGTG